GCGATCCATGTCACGCGACGCAAGCTGCGTGGGGCGGCGCGTCACGTGGTGCTGAGCCCGCCCGAAGCGCTCTATGAAATACAAATCGAGGGCGTGGCTATGCACGACAGACAGACAAATAATCCCTGGTGGGCAGTGTTGAACTGTTGTTCCTACCTGTACCAGTCTTGCTGAGTCATTCTCCCCCCCTGCCACTGTGGGGTGGATTTTCACACAACTCTCTCGAAAATGTACCAGTCTTGCTGGGTATGCTAATTTCTCTGCTCCAGCAGACCCACCTCTCTCTCTCTATTTAAGGCCTCGACAGAGGCATTGGGTCTGTGTGTGTCTATGTTGTGTCTCTCTGTCTCTGTGTTGTCTCTCTCTGCTTGTGTGTCTGTCTGTGTGTCTCCGTATCTGTGTTTTGTCTCCCTCAAATTTAGTTCTACCTGATGATGATTGCTTGTGTTGCAATCGAAACGTATTCTATTGTTTAATTAATTTTCTTTCTACGTGACTTTCACCGAAAGAACCAAAGAATAAAATATACAGTTATTTTGTGAGACGAAGCGTGAATCTGACCAATTGCGGAGGCCCAGAGGTGCCTCCTAGTGGGAGTCTGTGAGACAACATCGCGGTCGCTACATGGTAGCGCCAATTTTGATTTCACGACTCGGCACGACTTGTGATTCGCCTATCACTGAAACCGAGATGCTCGTGGTTGGTAAACAGGTATACAGCTCAGACCCCGCTTGCTTGCCCATCACCACATATATAACCTTTTTGTAACTGCTCTCTCACTAGTTCAGCAGTTCCACTGCTGGATTATATGTTTCCGCCTGAGGACGACCGCTTGTGTTGCGATCGAAACGTCGTTTTTTTTTATACCGTGACTTTACCGAAAGAACCAAAGAGTATAGGTATACAGAAGTACATCCGCGTATACTCAAATCTCACGGTTGGTAAATTTGTGGTTGGCAAGGGATTACTGTATCTTTAAAAGGCACACATACAATATGGTTGAATGGCGATGTGGGTTGTGTGTCGCAGGCGAGCGTTGTGTACGGACAGAAGGAGCTCAGAGACAGCAGCATGCACTTCATAGAGAAACACGTGCAGGTGAGACGTGCAGACACAACAGTGACGCACATGGGCCAACCTGCGACCTCCGAATGAATTATTTTTAGTTAGAAAGATAGTGTAGTGTAATGAGTGACTTCCGCAACACGTCGTGAAGAGGGTACTCTTCTTTGTTTCACGTACGGGCACAGCACAGGCCAACGTTATCTTCTTCCTTTCCAAGTACACCCTTAGATATTAACATTCTACAGACTACATACACGGTTGATCACACGGCGGGTTCCGCCCGTCCGCTCCCGGTCTCGCCGCTGGCTGACGGCATGCCGGGGAGGGCGGTGGGACTCCGTAGGAGATCCGCCACGTGGCCGAATGACGGGGAGAGATGACGGTGAGCAGCGACGCAGTCCGGACGCAAAACTCCACACACCGACCCCAAGTCCTCCCCCGCTTATATTGCCCCAGGCACGGATAGGCTCCGCCTCCGGCCACGCCCTCTCGTGGAACTTTCTAGCTGGTTCTCAGAGTTTTTCGGCCAGCCCTGCCCTTCACCTTTGGCCCAGATACCTCTCCCTTTTGGGGATTGGATCATGTTTATAGTGTGCCTGTACCCGCGCTTCCCTTTTCCAACCAGTAGATGTCACTATATCATTCCATCAGTATTACTGTGAATCTTCCCTTAGACGCAAGGTAAAGCAGAGACATTGTTACACAGAAGTGATATCCCCTGGTTTTAAACAGCATGAATGTACGTTCAGGGTCCGGCACTTCACAGACCCTGAACAAGTTAACAGAATGAGACACCGCGTTGCTATGCAGATACTTCCTTCAAAGCAAGTATCATTCAATTGATACAATCTACAAGAATACACAGATTTATGGAAATAACTGCAGATGCCTCAATCCATGGCTAGTCACAGAAAATTTGAAAATAAGAGTGGGTTAAAAGTCAGATGTGATTTCCTGCCCAAATAAGCACTGAGGTGGTGCTCATTTCCTGTTTTCAGTTGAGCCAGTGGTGGAAATTCCACATTCTTGTCAGGGAATATCTATCTGTTGGACAACCCCTTGATTTCCCCACTAATTTGTACTTATTATATTGACCCTCTACTGTGGAACCGGTGGGCTGGCTGGATTCGGGGAAAAGAGGTTGACTAATGAGAGCTCTGGGTTTGCATTGCTTCCACCAATCTTAATAGCTTCATTGAATGTTCCATAGGAATAGGTAATATTTCTCAGTCCTCAAAACTCATCTACTGAGCCATAAATTCGGGCAGCAGGTTGGGCAGTTGCAATGCTTGTGCCTCAAACAAGATGGGCCTGGGTTAGATTTTAGACTTGGCCACCTTCTTGTGTTCAGTTTGTATTGTTCTGCATGGGTTTCCTTCAGATTTTTCCAGTTCCCTACCATCACCATCGCCAATATAAACCACACGACACCTGGCATTGGCCAAATATCCCAATCCCAACATTACCTGTAAATTACTCAATTGGGATTACACACAGAACAACATCGCCCCCCCCCCTACTGAAAAAACTTGGCAGGACCCTTCTGAAAGAAATCCTTGAGAACCAGCGAGGATGTCCTGGTTAAACAGGCATAGTAATCAAAATAATAATACAACCTCATCCGATGGTTGCAGGATGTGGTTCGGACGCCAGGGTTTTGGGAGCTGTCCGACCATGCCCTCTCGGTTTTGCTCCAAAGTGATGAGTTGGATATCGACGAGGCCGATCTGATCACGGCGGTTACACAATGGGCAAATGTAAACTCTGTGAGTATCCCTGCATTTACATCTACAGGGCATCTATGATTCTATGAGCGCAGTCATGCATACACAGTAACATAATACTCATACTCTTTGGTTCTTTCGGTAAAGTCACATAGATAGAAAAAATAACTAATAAATCACGACGTTTCAATAGCAACACAAGCCACAGTCTTCAGGTGAAACAATACAGCAGGCGCACTGCTGAGGAGGAAATGTAGCGAGAGAGCTACTGCAACCAAAGGTAAAACAGTGGTACCCCGGAGATCGAACTTAATTCGTTCCAGAAGGCCATTCGAACACCGATTTGTTCGAACACCGAATTAAATTTCCCCATAAGAATTAATGTAAATGATATTAATTGGTTTCAGACACAAGAAATCTCTCATTATAAAGCATTTTTACACGAAGTTTACAGTAGTTGCATGCATAAAATCATACAAAAAAACAAGAAACACAATAAATAAATGGAATAAATATATGGAATAAATGAAATAAATGAACATTGAACTTCACTTTACCTGTAGTAAAGAGAGTTGATGGCTTGAGTAGAAGGAGGTGGTAAAACCTTTGTCTGGGCAAGCGTCATGCACGCTGGCCATACGCGTCTTAGACGTACAGGTTCTTTCAAGTCGCGATTGCCCGTTCGACCTCCGAATTTCGTTCGGTTTCCAGGGCAATATTGTTCGAACACCAATTTGTTGGAGTTCTGGTGCGTTCGATCTCTGAGGTTCTACTGTATACGTTTGTGGTGGATACAACCCAAGGGTAAGTGGGCGGGACTAGGGATGGAATTTGCAAGTAAATGTAATCGCAGAGGGGAGGGGTGGATGAGCTCGGCTAATCCGAGGAGAGGGGAGTGAAATTTAGAGGGAAAAACGTGATAGAAAAAAGATAGCAAACTTAGAAATGTAATGCATCTCAGAGTCGGCCAACACAACAGTTAACAGTATACCTGGTTGATCAGCGTCCTTCCAAAGATTGCAAAATTTTGCATCCATCTTCTCGGTTGAAGTCATGTCTGAGTTGAATTTAGCAATCTTTTGAAGGACATTGATCAACCAGGCATAGTGTTAACTGTCGTGTTGGCCGACTCTCTGAGTTGCATTACATTTCGAAGTTTGCTATCTTTTTTCTATCGCCGTTTTCCCTCTGTAAATTTCATCCCCACCCTCTTGCCCGTTGCAGCAGCCCCCCCTCCCCCCTCCTCGGATTAGCCGAGCTCATCCACCCATACCCTCCCTGCGATTACATTGACTTGCAAATTCCATCCCTAGTCCTGCCCACTTACCCTTGGGTTGTATCCACCACAAACGTATAGAACCTTTGGTTGCAGTAGCTCTCTCGCTACATTTCCTCCCCAGCAGTGCGCCTGCTGTATTGTTTCATCTGAAGATGGTGGCTTGTGTTGCTATTGAAACGTCGTGATTTATTAGTTATTTTTTCTATCTACGTGACTTTACTGAAAGAACCAGAGTATGAATTACTGCAGTCATGAAAGCTTCAAATGAAGAGTAAAATAATAATTTGGTATTTGCGCCATTCTAATAGTGTAGGGCTATCACAAAGGAGCTCTTTCACTTTGTCTCAAGTAGTTTAATCATGGTCTATATCTACCATATTCAAAAGAGTATCCACAAATGACTCAATTCGAATTACACATAGATCACCTCTTTTAAACTACTGCAGACTATATCTGTAAAACAAAAGCTTTCGTGATAACCTTGCACTATAACAATGGTGGGAATACCAAATGCACTAATTTATTAGCATGAAAGCAATTGTCACTCACTACTGCAAAAAAAGAATCTAAAAGTTTTGAAACTCAGGAAAGTTCTCCTAGATAAAAATACATAATAAAAAACGAGAACAGAAATCAAAGCTGGTCTTTTTTTTTATAGAAACGAGATTTACTTGTATTTATCCACCTGATATGGCGGGTGGTTTGTCTGTGCTGCATGCTTCAGGCTGTGTTAGGAGAGCCGGTGAGCAAGGTTGCGCAAGGAGTCCTGGGCGGATTGCGGCTTCTCCTTCTGTCTCCAGAGGAGCTGGCATCACTGGAGCAACAGAGCATGCGAGAGCAAGTTATACCAGTGAGTATGGTCGCATACGTGTGTGTCACATCACTGGGGAGCAGTTATAATTAGCGTGCTGTACTACGAACCCGGTGACCAGAGTTCGATTCCCGCTCACAGCCACAACCATTGGCAATTATCTGAACCGGTCCAGGGCCTCTCCTAGGTCGACTCAGCCTCAAATGCATACCTGGTACGGTGTGTCAACATCGCCACTTGTGAGACAAAGGTGGTCGGGCGTATGTATGTTATAGAACTTCTTTCGCACCGTACATAGCCAACCATGCTAATCGGAGGTGTGGATCCTAGCCACCCACCCCCTTGTGTACCGTTCCAGCTTTTACAGGTGCTCGCGAACAGCACTTGCCCCAACAGTCTGTTAAGGCTATACAGGGGATATTTTTATTGTGTGTCATACAAAGCATTAACCAAGTCGTTTGGGTGCCCCGCGGCATGTGCTGAACAGGTGGAGATGGTTGCTGCAGCTTGGAGATTTCATGCGCTCAGGAGGGCCGAAGGGATTCCTAGACACTGTCTGCGATGTCGCAAGGGCACGAGGCCGCGGGATCACCATGTCTACCTGAAGTCTTAACGATGCCTTGGCTGCGTGGCCCTCTCAAAGCTAGAGCGACTCTCTGCTCAAATGAGCATTGAGGTATTGGTACCCATCTTTTTACAGCCCTGAGTCAGTGGTGGAAAACTCCACATTCCTATGGTGGAGACAAGTCTACCAGACAACCACTGTTGACGTCTACAAAAATTAACACTCATTTTATCAACCGCAAACCAGGATATTGAACTCATAAACTTCCGATTATGAGCCACTCGCTGTGCTACTGAGCCACCTGGCCCCAGGGTCTTTCTAGCTGCAGAAAATTAATTCCAAGAAATAAAAAAAGCATGTTCTCAAAGTTTGTTACATGTATTTTTTTTATTAACAATGAAAAAAAACATTTTCATGTTTCCAGATACTTTTTGCAGGCAACTTTATTAGCAGCTTGGTATCTCAAGGTAATTTCATGCTCAAATTAGCATTGAGACGGTGCCCATCTGTTTACAACTTTGACACAGTAGTGGAACCTCCATATCCGTATGGTGGAGGCAAGTCGATAGGACATCCACCGATGACTTCTCCATAAAGTGATCCTTATTTTATCGAACCTGGAGGGATTATAAGCCGAGTCAACCTACCAACCAGCTCAGTATCTAAAGGCCTAGACACACTCGCCCTTTTGTAATCGATGGTTAGCACTCAACATCATTCCCAGCGGTTGCCGGTTCAGTTCCATCCTACAGTTGAAACTCTGGTGGCAAGTTTCTCAAATCCCTCTCCACCACCTCCGTCCACCCAGCAGACAAATGGGTACAGCTCAGTCAATCAGTAGAGCACGTGGTGGGGTAGAGTGTGGGTAGGCACACCTCTTCCAACGGCTTGTCAACGTGGAAGAGTAGACTAAATACCCTCTAGAATTCACTGCAGTGGAGGCCCTTTCGCCACTAGTACCGTGCAATTATAGGGCTGTACCTCTACCTTTTGCACTGTTGTAATTCAGTTCTAAGAGGTAAACACTTTCTTGTTCACGTGTATTCTTTTCCACAACTTACTATTCGTTGAAATATAAAATGTTTTTAAAAATAACATTTCAAATGAAATCACAGCCGATCCCAATTCTACTATCAAGACATCTGGGACACGTAAAGCACTGTGTAACTGCACTGTGAGCAGAACACCACATAGGGAAAAGCCTTGAAAGATACCACAGAATGACTGCTGGATTTCATTCAATGCTTCTCACTTAACACCAGCCAGCAGGTGCCTGTGGACAAAACAATTGCATGTGTAGGGTGCTTGCTTACATTTCTCAGCAACTAAAAGCTCCTTATCGGATCTCATTGCAACCATTTTAATGCTCTGCTGCAGCCTAGCCAAGAAGAGCAGCAGTGGCACTATCTCCCTACACAGCACAAGGTGTACACAGCACTGGCCTACAAATGGGCATTCGTCTGCCAGTAGGAGGCGATGTTGGGTATATTTTCCCCAATTTAATAATTGCTTAGTGATAAATAAAATTGCGGGTGTGAAGTCGACACATGGCCAACTGTTATTTTTCGAATGTCATTGGATCTTGAACGTCCACTGTGAAGCAAACGAAGTGCGTGTATGGAATATTGTTCCCCAACAGCACAATCTGAGATTTCAGTCATGTCAGCAGATGAATGGAGGAAAATGTTTTCGTGGAGCATCGAATACAACCTCCCGGCTTCCTCATGCCCGTTATAAAATAGGATCGGCAAAAACAGCTGCACTGCAGCTGGGTAGGACGTGTGTGTGCAGGATGGGGGGAGGGCCGATTACCAAGACGGGCTTTGGAATGGTCTGCAAGAGTCCAGTAACCAAGGGGAAGACTTAAGAGCAGATCGTGGTGTGATACCGTTGTGGCCAGTCGCATGTCTACTGACAGTAGAGCACGCTGGGGAGGAGTGGTGGCATCAAACAGCTTTGGCCACGACGACGTCTGATGTTCGTCTTGATTGCCTAATACACCTCTTGTCGCAGTTCCGAATACAGCTCGTGTTCTCTGCCATGCTGCGCCACCACCAGGGTAGTGGTTATGTTCTTCTATTCGCCCGAGCTGCCCTGCAATATCCAGTTCACCGTCTCCAGCAGGAACGGCATCGCATAGTGTCTCGCAATGTTTCTGAACACTTTCAACTGCTCCACAAACTCCTAGAGACACAACACAAGCCAATGCAATGTGCAATGTCAAAACAAAAGTGATAGGATGCACACAAGACAATGGATTTGCAACTGATTTTGCAGGTTAATTATTTAGCTCAGGGCTGTGGGAAAATGGTCTGCAAGAGTCCAGTATGTTTAAGGAACAGTGGCTTAAGACATGATTTCTGGAGACAAGCTTTGAAGACAGCATCGCTCTCCAAATAACCACAAACACAATGCATGACTCCATTCCCTGCTAGTCACACACTTCACCTTGTGCTCTCGGTACCTCTTCACTTCTCTCCTGCAGTCATGTCTAACTGCCTTTACGAATGTGACGTGACAATCACTCTCCGCCCCTCTTGGAGGGAAAGGCCGATTGCAGAGATAGACATTAAGAGTGGTCCCCATGATGCCGGTCTTCTTTCGTTTGTCAAGGTGATATTTACATTATATGCACATATCAAGGTTATTAAGCCAATGACTAGCCTCTATGGAGGCGTGATGGATGTCAGAATCCAGTGACCAAAGAGAAGACCTAAAGCCAGATGGTGGGAGAATGTCGGGGCAGATTGCGGAGGTCGTATCTCTCCTGTGCAGCAACTACGGGGTCTGGTGGATAGAACGCCGGTAGCGACGCATGGTGGAATATTTGGCCGCTATGACATCACGATTTCGATTTGCACTGCCCCGCCCAGTTCTGCCCATTGCCCCACCCGCTCCTGCCAGGTTTCTCCACCGAATCATTTTGTTGCCCTCTACACCAGCGTATAAACAGAAAATGTCTTTCATAAAAACACCAATGTTGCACGGAGAAGCTAATAATGGAGCAGCAGAGAGTATACGCTGCCCAACATGCGACCTCTGCACTGGCTGGACGACCTCATGTCCCCACGCATTTGGGGAAACGGATTGCCATTTATAACAGACATTTCACGTTGGCCACATCGGGGCTCCCATAAGAGTATTTTCACACCACATCTCTAGATAACTGCAGACTGCTCTTGTCATGAATGTACGGGAGTGCAAAGATGGATGATGAGGGCGGAGTGTACATGGGGGAGCATCATGGGTCTTAGTGTGTGGAAAGGCATAGAACCTGGGCAGGGTGGGCGAGCTGGAAATCACCGGCACAATCGCAGAACGCAGGCATATTGGCCTCCTTCACCCCCTTGCACTTCTCACACACCTGTGGTGAAAGACGATTTTTGAGCTTTAAATTCGTGGTTCTTTTGTTTAAACAAATCCAGCATACAAGCACTACTGTATAGACACACCGCAGATTTCAGCAAGATAAGATTTAATCACCCCTAGAGTAAAAACCCACACAGGCTCTCTCGCTCAGACACCACTGCTTCCCCTCCGAACGATCTCGCAGACGCACTAACATGCCGCCAGTCTCAACTATAAGAAACACCTCATTAAAACTCAGTCAACGTCTGAAAGAGCTAGGTACATTCTGTATGCACCGGCAGTGTGCACCGTTTAACTATATGTATGTGGGTGAGATATTGTGAGATATTCATGGTATACATGCAAACTGCGAAATTATAGATATGTTTGAAGTGTCATGACGTGTTTGTGATGTATGTGTGCGAGTGTATATGTGCATGATTGTGGCAGTTGTACAGTGGTTAACACACTGTGCTACAAACCGAGTGATTCGAGTTCGATTCTCGCTCACGGCTAATATCCAGTGACGATTATCTGAACCGGTCCTAGGCCTCTGCGAGGTCAACTCACCCTCCAATGAGGACCTGGTGTGGTGTCTAAACATCGACACTCCAGAGACTAAGGCAGCCGGGCATGGTGGTGGCCACCCACCCCCTCGTGCACCGTGCCAGCCTTCATAGGTGCTCGTGACAGCACTTGCCCCAACAGTCAATAAACGCGAAAGGGGGGGGGGGGGGAATCTTTGAATGTGTAATTATATAGTGACATCTACTGGTTGGAAAAGGGAAGCACGGGTACAGACACCACTATAAACATCCAATCCCCAAAAGGGAGAGGTATCTGGGCCAAAGGTGAAGGACAGGGCTGGCCGAGAAACTCCGAGAACCAGCTAGAAAGTTCCACGAGAGGGCGTGGCCAGAGGCGGAGCCTAGCCGCGCCTGGGGCAATATAAGCGGAGGAGGACTCGGGGTCGGTGTGTGGAGTCTTGGGTCTGGACAGCGTCGCTGCTCGCTGTCATCTCTCTCCGTCGTTCGGCCACGTGGCGGATCTCCTGCGGAGTTCCACCGCCCTCCCTGGCATGCCGTCAGCCAGCGGCGAGACCGGGAGCGGATGGGCGGAACCCGCCGTGTGATCAATCGTGTGATCAACCGTGTGATCAACCGTGTGTGTAGGCTGTAGAACGTTAATATCTTAGTGTGTACTTGGAGAGGAAGAAGATAACGTTGGCCTGTGCTGTGCCTGTACGCAAAATAAAGAAAAGTACCCTCTACACGACGTATCGCGGAAGTCAGTCATTACATATGTATATACATGTCATTATGTGTGAGACAATCCTTGCAAACCAGATGTTCAATTTCATGGGAGGTGTTGATCAAATCATCCAATACACCAGTGTGGAGATTCCATGTGACTTTGAATACCCTGTGCACCACGGCCAGATGGAGCACCTGGGTGCAAAGACAACGATTCCCTGCATAGCTCCTGGGTGCACGCAGTATGTGACATGTAAAGTGCAAGGCAAAAGTTTCTGAGGGCTACAATGAAGACACAGAGGGTCAAGAGAACAGACTGTTTGGAGCTTGACTATTGGGACTCTGATGTGGCCCAGTGGCAGCACGATTGCCACAGAAGTTCACAGTTCAAATCCGACAGACCACTCAGTACTTTTAATACACCTGCAGTATTAAATTAACCAGTGGCGTCATTCGAATAAGATTAGGCCATGGTGTGGACAATGTCACAGTCAAAATTGGCCCAATCTAAAAAAAAAATACTTTGAGGAAATGCATATCAAGCGTCGCCCCCGAAAGCGAAACTTGGCAGGATCATCCTGATACACGCAGCTCTGCGGCCAGCCTCACCAGGTCCTGCAGCACGTGGGACATGATCTTCTTCTGAACGGTCTCCACCAGAGCAGCTTGCACTTGCTCCACGTCGTAGTCTGCCGAGCAGTTGGTGCACTGCCACTTGGGAAGCACGGATCCATCCTGCGAGTGCCAGCAAGCCGAGCCCCCATAACAACCACCGCTACTCATTCGCTTTGTCACAGCTTCGTCGGAGAGCACGTTCCAAAGCAACTTTCGCAAGCTCTTGAGCACAACTGATTTTCCGGTCACAATTGATTTCTGGGTTAGAAAACATAACGATCTGACCAAATCGGCATCATTGAGACCACGTAAGTAAAAACATTAAAAAATAAAATAAGATAAAAATCACGACGTTTCGGAGGCAACACAAGCCTCCGTCTTCAGGTGGTACCGTCACAGCCACGACTGCTGTATCAAGTATATGAGAGATTGCAGGAGCTACCACTCCGTTTATATAATGGTTGGAGAAGGTGGTGGGGCAAGGGCCGCATACTTATTATTAATATGGTAAGGTGAGGCTTGAGACTAAGAATAGACTGCATAACAAAGGCTGAGCCTTTGTTATGGAGCCTTTGTTATGGAGAGGTGCGGTTTGTGACTCAACCTGTAACAGGGAGACTACCACTAAACATGGTAAAACAATAATAGTTGTCTGTCAAATAAGATTGGCAAATAAGTGTAGTTAAATCTTTTTTGCATGGTTAATCACATCTTTCCAATGATTACTCAGTTTGTAACCGTCATCACGGTTGAAATTATGTCTGTGTTTGTATATTTGTATGGCATTCGTGTACAAACCTTTGATGGTAGCCAGGAGGTTTGCAGAGAACCTTGGTCTCGGAAAATACAATTTCATGAGAGCCCACCGAGTTGGAGCAATGATCGGCAACGGCCGAAGAATCAGTTCTGCCGTGTTTCAGATCTGACTTGTGCTCGCGGACACGATCAGAAACATGACGTTTCGTTTCTCCAATGTAGCAATCACCACAAATGCAACTCAATTTGTAGACTCCAGGATACTGTAAGTCAGGAACGACATCCTTCACAGATGAAATCAGATCACGGATTTTATGCACTGTACTGAATCGGACTTGGATCTTATGTTTGTTTAGAATTTTGGAGATCTTTTTGGTCACGCCTGCTATGTATGGTAACGTGATAGTTTTGGTCGGAGTTTCATGTTGCTGTTTCTGTGTGGTGGGAGAAACAGCTTGGCGGATAGTGCGGTCAGAGTATCCGTTCATCCTGAGGGCCCGATGTACATGTCTTAATTCACCGGCCAGGTGGTGTTGGTCAGAAATGCCATGGGCTCTGTGGTATAGCGTTTTGATGAGATAATTATTTTGAGATGGGTGGTGGTGGGAATCCGGTTTCAAGTAGGAATCTGTTTGAATTTGACAGACAACTATTATTGTTTTACCATGTTTAGTGGTGGTCTCCCTGTTACAGGTTGAGTCACAAACCGCACCTCTCCATAACAAAGGCTCCATAACAAAGGCTCAGCCTTTGTTATGCAGTCTATTCTTAGTCTCAAGCCTCACCTTACCATATTAATAATAAGTATGCGGCCCTTGCCCCACCACCTTCTCCAACCATTATATAAACGGAGTGGTAGCTCCTGCAATCTCTCATTTACTTGATACAGCAGTCATGGCTGTGACGGTACCACCTGAAGACGGAGGCTTGTGTTGCCTCCGAAACGTCGTGATTTTTATTTTATTTTACTTTTTAATGTTTTTACTTACGTGACTTTACCGAAAAAAAAACCTAAGAATATGAATCATTGCAGTCACGAAAGCTTCAAATCTAGAATCATTGAGACCCTCCACCACCCACCCGACAGTCACACAAACGAAATGTTACGCGCACGAGCGTTTTAACGCTGTGGCCGCTTGTGCACTCACATGCTGCAACGTTTGCGACTCCAGCTTAAGCACATTATATGTGAACTCGTGATGTGCACCATTTAATTCGTTATGTACCAGTGTGTTGGACTGGCTGTGATATTCATTGCATAAATATAGGGTGGGCAAGAAATACCTGACACATTTTAAAGTCATGTAAAAAAATAATTTATGTTGATATTCTTTTTATTTCAGATTTTAAAGGGCTCTTCCAAGAGTTACTTAAATGGCAGTGTAAAAATGTCAAGAGAGCAAGGATCCTGGAGCTTTACTAAAAGCCAGGCTCAACCATTCAAGCTCAGAGACTTCAGCCACAAGTCCGGACTTAACAGAGCCCAACAGCTTCTTGTCGGGATACCTTAAAATCAACTGTGTACCAGACAAGACCAAGGGCCATTCAGGACTTATGTAGGCAAATTGAACAGGAAATAGTTCCCTTATTCCACTTGAAACCTCAGTTGTTCGTATGCATCAATGCATACATGAAAACAGTGGTCACATTTTCGCACTGTTTTCAAGACCCAAGTCGTGATCTGCGGACCCCCTGCAGTCGCTTCATAGACCATCAGGCTACTCCAGGGGGTCCGTGGAAAAAGAAACATAATAACATCCTCACAATGAAAATGTACGAATTAAAAAAAAAAGTTCATATAGTTTCTAAAATATACTATTGTAATTTATTTTGCAAGTATGTTTATATAGCATTGTTTTTTGTTTTCATTTTGGTGTCTGGTGCCAGTGTGTGAATACGTCACACGAGAGCAAGACAGCCTAACAGAACTTTCGTGTGACAACTCTGTAAAGCTGTCTTCACACAACAGTACCTAACTGGCTTCAGACTACACGTTGGTTCTGAGTACCCAGAACTGTCTAACAAGACAGCGAAGTAGCTGATGCCTTATGCCACAGCGTAAGTTTGTGAAAGTGGATTTTCAAAGCCCTGAAGTAGGTCGGATGTAGAATCAGATATAAGGTAAAAACTGTCATCACTCCAACCTGACATCCTGCATTTGAAGACAGCGAACAGCAACAGCCATAATCACGTTTTCGCACACAGACGGCTATGCTCTGCAAATGTATTTGTTGAGGTAATGAATAAGAAATTTCTAAATTTAAGGTGTGACAATTACAAATGATTACTGAGTGTGCATATTATAAATTTGTTATTACGTTAAATTTCCATATATAACGGAGTGTAAAAAACAGCGAGTGGTGGTGGGGGTCTGCAAAATGTTTGGAGGTTAAAAAGGCATCTGCACACTCAAAAAGGTTTGGAACCGCTGAAATCGAGTACTCGCCTGAAAGAAAAGGTGTAGTTTTGTTTGATAACAAGATGTTCCATCAAGGGATTATTTGGGTGAAATATTTAGATGAATCAGTCAAAAATAAGTTGAGGTTTGGCACTGCTCTGTATGTTATGTCATTACAGGCAAGAAATGATGCATGATAAAAATCGATTCTTGTGTACACATCAAATTGTGGTAATCAAATTAAATTTACAATTGATGCTAATTGCATTCAAATTGCATTAAAATTATACGCCAATTGACATTGATCAAAATACAAAAGGGACGTGGAAAATGAGACATGAGTGTGTGGTTATATGTAGAGAGTGTGGTGGCGCAGAAGCACACTGTGCAATGAACACAGTCCAGGGTCTCCCTAAGGTCAACTCAGCCATAAATGAGTACCTCAAGCAGTGTGTAATCACCACCACTGGGGAGACAAAGACTGTCGTGCTTGGTGCTGGCCACCCACCTCCTCACGTGCCATGTTGGTCTCAACAGGTGTTCAATGACAGGACTTAGCCCAACGGTTTGTTAAACGCGATACAGAGGATATCTGTCTTTTCTGCGAGTTTCGGCTACCCACCTGAGCCAGTGCTGGTTCCCTGCACAAGTCGATGTCACGGCAGTAGTTGCAGTGGTGGCAGATGAGCTCAGGCAGCACTAGCGAGAGGCATGGATCCCGGAACTCTGCGTCACTCGAAAACTCCCCCACGTCCAGCAAGCGAAGCAGATCCCTGCGCAGTTTGCTGACCTGCAGCGCCACTGCACCATCCAGTGACAGAACCTGCACACCCACAATAACCATCATTGTTGCACCCAGGAAAGCCTCCCTGAGTCACAAGACTCTTTTTTCCCCGTATGGTCTTGCCAAAGTTATTACGGTAGGGGGAAATCTTGATAAGTAATTTGCAGGTAAATTTTCAACAATGGGATGTTTGGCCAATGCCGGTTAAATGGTATGGATTTTCTTTTAGCTATCAGAAAAAACCGGAGAACCTGGATGAAATGTGTACAGAGGGAGAACATACAAGCTCCACACAGAAAGCCGCCCGAGCTGAGGCGCGAGTGTTTCCACTGCGTCACCCTGCCACCCTAAACCATTATCAGCATCATCTTCCTCGTTTGTTGTTGATATCACACCTCCCACGCAGTAACATCGAGGCACCAGAACCAAGGTGGATTTAGAGATATTTACTCATTACGAAAGTAATCGCAGCCCAAATAAAATGTGTCGGCAGATTACAGAATTGAGATGGCGACATGGCCAAGCGGGTAGCCTGTCTACAGCTTATTGTAGAGGTTTGCGATTAGAATATAGCAGACCACCTTGGTTAAATCATGGGACCTTTTTTCCAGTATTAAAATATAAAACCTATTCTTATTTTTCACACCCTGGTTAATATTGAGGGTGTATTAATCATACACAGCACACCAGGTATTTATTTGAGACCAAGTCAACCTAGGGGAGGCCCAAGACTGGTTCAGATATTCGTCACTGATGTTGACCGTGAGCGGAAATCAAACTCGGGCCACCAGGTTCGTAGCGCAGCGCACTTACCGGTACACTACTTACACGCACCCACATGCACACATGCCCCCCACGTACCTTACACACGGCCTTAGCGAACTCGAGAGCTGGGTTGGCCAGGGGTAGGTGAGACCCCGGAAGCTCAGGGAAGAGGGGCGACAAGCCATCTGCGTTCCGCCGGCCTGTCACACGCCGCTGGATCTTCTGGGTGATGGTGAAGAGGTTGTGTGTAAGTTCCCCGGCAACGTACTCCTGACAGAACGACGTCGTGCCTGCACAAGCGAAGAAACACACGCGCACACATACCTCTCTTTCCACTGCACAACTGAGCCAGGCCGGGGCAGTATGGTGAGGCCGTCGGCGCAGCCAGCTCGGTGCCGCTCACGTGGTACCAAGATTGTTTTTCCCCTGCAGAAATCGAGCTATGCCACCGTTGTCACATGCAGCAAACAATTCGAGAAGCATGCAGATGATGTGGTGTTGCCGTGTTTGAGTTGTGTATGGACCGAGCCAGATTGACATGACTTATGAGGCCGGCTTATCATGGATTGGTTCTGGTTCGGCATACAAGATTTAAATTGAGCAATATCACATCTACAATTAGTTAATCACTTTAAGGTCACATGACATTTAAGCATGCTTCCAATTGGTTTAAAGCAGTAGGTGTGGGGTAGGAAAAAACGCAAGAGGGAAGTATAAATGTATTACAATTTACAATAGGCATTAGATTGACATTCCTTGGGCTTGAATGGACACCTGTCAACATTTCATGTGCTGACAATAATGCTCTTGATTGTCAAAATGTTTCTTTAGGAAAAGGGGAACCGGTTGCATCACGGGACTTTGGGAGGTGGTGAGCAGCTTGGGGAGGCCTTCAACCAGCAGATCGACCATGGCTCATGATGAATACTTATATTTGAGTCAATCACAGATATGCAGTACTTGATCAATTCGAAGTTTAGATTATTCAATGAGGGGTTTTATTTTCTCTATTTCTGTACAAGGCTCCCTGTGATGTGGCTGTGTCCATCAGTTGTCAGTGTCTGAGTCATGGACGTTCAAGCGCTTGCGTAATTGGAGAGTCATGTGATTGCCTCCTCGTTGGCCGTGTGTAGCTCTCGTAGCTCCACTGACAGCTGATGACTGTCAGTTGACGGCATGAAGACCCTAATCGTGAAGACCCTAATCGTGGAAAGTAACTGGTCATGAAGACCCTAATCGTGGAAAGTAACTTTAAAAATGGTGCTTTAAAAATGGGCAACAATTTAAATGTTTACTTGCCCTAGAATCTGCCACTGCCGGAGATGGCCGACATGCACTGACTCACGTGTGCATGTGAGTGATTTCGTGCGCATGTGGGAGCGTGTCTACCAGGCAAGCCGTCCTTGTCTGCAGCCTGTGTGGACTGGCTCCCGTGTCCCCTCCGCTTCACCGGGGTGTCTCCGGGCTCGTTTCGCTTCATTTCCTCCTGCAGGCTGTGGTACACTGCCATGATATATGCTGCAAAAGACAAAGATCCCAGTATAGCCTTTAACAAACTGTTGAAAGTTGGCACGGCACACAACGATGTGGGTGGCCAGCACCATGCCCGGCCATCTTTGTATCCCAAGTGGTGATGTTTACACACTGCACCAGTTACTCAGTTGAGGCTAAGTTGCCCTAGGAGAGGCTGAGGATCAGTTCAGATCACTGGCGTTGGCCGCGAGTGGGAATCTAACTCGAGTCTCGGGGTTCACAGCGCAGAGCGCTAACTGCTATACTATCCCTCCCAACTATATATGCTACAATACAAAGATCCCCCGTATAACCTTGGGCACGTGCTGTTATCGAGCACCTATGAAGGCCGGACCGGCAGACGACAGGGTCGGTGGCCAGCAACCATGCCCGGCCACTTTTGTCTCCCTAGCGGTGATGTTTACGCACGGCACCAAGTACTCATTTGAGGCTGAGTCGACCTAGAGGAGGCCCAGGATCGGTTCAGATAATCATCACTGGTGTTGGACGTGAGAGGGAATCAAACTCGGGTCGCCAGGTTCGAAGCGCAGCTCGCTAACTGCTACACTACCGCTCCACAGATGCTGCACACACATACAGAGACGTGCACAAGTGAATCAAGATCGAGACGTCATTGTGGCCAAAGCTGTGGATGCCATTGTACCTCATCGCCAGCACTTTCCACCCTCCATAAGATTCTACAGCTGTTGTCCAGCAGACACGCGACCTCCCAAGTAATGCCCTGACAGTATCATCCCAGCACTTTTAGGTCTTCCCCTTTTGTTGCCAGACTCGTGGAGACCACTCCAATGCCTGTCTCGGTAATTGTCCCTCCCCCTTCCTGTATACATGCCCCACCCAGTGCAACCATTTTTGCCTGCATACATATACGCTTCAAATAGGCCCATACTGCATATTGAGACACATAGTTACCATTGATTTGGTGATGACATGGCCTAACGGTAGGATGTTCACCTCTTGTTGTTGAAGTTCCCGGTTTTAATGTAGCAGGCCGCAATGTTTAGCCCTTTTCGTTCCGAAACGACTGCAAGTTGCAGGGTGGATCCCATTCACCACTGAATCTCGGAACGTACAAGTGATTCAGTGTTAATTTTATTTAGAGAGGCATAGCGCTGTTTTTTTAAAGACATTGCATTCTGTAGTGACTCAACCGCATTCTATGGTAGCTGGTGCCAAGCTGTACCACACCCTCCCGCATGGTCTTGTGGGAGCCTCGTTACCGATTAAGTAATTTTATGTTTTCTTCTGGTTCCATTCCAATGACGGGATGAAAGCGGAAGACAAACTGATGACATACACTTACGTCATCGGAACGGTAAATGGTTAATACTTCGGGTGGATTAACCATAACTACGCCCCGTCTGCTTCACAGTGGACATTCAAGATCCTGTGATGTCATTGTGTGCTGGTATAATGGTCTAAATTTCAAAATGACTCAATAGGGATTATAAATAGCAACATCACACCTTACTGTAAATATACCACAGATTGTGTCTGTGAAACACAGCCCCTTTTTGATAGCCTTGCGCAATAAGAATGGCCACTGACCGCTCACGATGGTAAGGAAGTACGTCTGGCAGGAGGCGGCCTGCGGCAAAAACAGCGCCAAGTTCCAGTGGTTGTCAAGACGAGACTCATCCATGGCATCCTCTTCATCATCGCCACCGTCTTCATTTCCATCATCCTCCTCCTCGGAACATTCATAATCGTTTTCCTACATTTGATCCATCTGAAGGTTTCCTCTTCCGTCTTTTTTTTGCAGGAGTCTTTATGCCGGCCTGCGGATATATAATACATAGACAGTGATCCCCTTTATAGCCTTAAGAGACTATTGGGGCAAGTGCTGTTAGCAAGCAACTATGAAGGCTGGCATGCACACGAGGGGGTGGGTGGCCAGCACCAGTACAAACTGCAATGCAAATGAGTGGGTTCAATGAGGCTTCACTGGGTGAAGACTTCAGTGATGATAATTAAGTGATTTTGCAGGAGCAAATAGGGGCAGTGACAAGCACAGCAGAAGTGCGTTGGCTGCTTTTTTGATTCTGACAGACCACTCGAGTCAATACTGCGGGTGCATTTACCATAAAATGCTACGTGCCATCTGTTTCCCAGAAGACGTTAAACATACTCGGATGGCATTCGATGAAGCGTAGGCCATTGTGTTCCATGGTTGTGGTCCAAATAAAACAATTACCCGCAAATTAGTCCTTTGGGAGATACATAGCAATCGTCATCTCCTCGTGTGAAAATGTGGCAGTACCTTCATGAAAAGGGTTGAGACTCATTGAGGCTTTCTGGATAAAGTAGCATAATAATAATTGGTAAATTGGTGAACAATGATAATAATGATAAACACATTACCTCCTCCCCCAGCAGGGCAGGTGGTAGCTGCCCCACGATGCCCGCGTAGTTGCATGAGTCGAGCCAGAGCAGCGTCTCCCAGCAGCGCGAGTAGGAGATGGATATGGAGTGGAAGATCTCCCGTGAGTTGATGCTACCGCAAAAGCGAGGTAACACACACAAAGATCCTCCGTATAGCCTTAACTTGACTGTTGGGGCAAATGCTTAGCGAGCACCGAAAAGGCCTGCATGACACACGAGGGGGTGGGTGGCCACCACCACGCCCGGCCGCCTTTGTCTAGCCAGAGGGGATGTTTACACACTGCACGAGGTACTAATTTTAGGCCGAGTCGACCTAGGGGAGGCCCAGGACCGGTCTAGACAATCGTCACGGCAGTTGGTGATGAGCGTCAATTGAACTCGGGTTGCCGGGTTTATAGCACATTGCGCGAACCACAGAACCACGGTTCCCCATAGACACACACGCAGACAGACACACAGGCACGCACACATTCAGAAAGAGAGATCCGTGTAGCCGTCTGGACTGATGCGGCAACAAGTGCTGCAACGAGTACTTATTAAGGCCGGGAGGGCGCACGAGAGGCTGGTGTGGCCAGCACCACTCCTAAAGAGCATTAACTGTCCAGGGCCGCATGTGCGTGTGCACGCTTATACGCGGGTCTTGTGTGTGCAGCAGTGTATGAGAGCAGCAGCGTGTGAGGAAAGGGGAGCGGTAGTGTAGCGGTTAGTGCGCTGCGATACGAACCTGGCGACCCGGATTCGATTACCACTCATGGCCAAAACCAGTGACGATTATTTGAACCAGTCCTGGGCCTCCCCTAGGTCGACTCAGCCTTAAATGAGTACCTGGTGCAATGTGTAAACATCGCCACTAGGGAGACAAAGCCGGCCGGGCGTGGTGTTGGCCACTACCCCCTCGTGTGCCGTGCCGGCCTTTATAGGTGCTCGCTAACAGCACTTGCCCCTACAGTCTGTTAAGGCTATGTAGTGACTACTGTGTACACACACGCACGTGTGATGTCACTATGCGGGGGAGCGTCACTACCACGCAGGTCTACACAAACGCACATGACGTCATCCCGTCTGGAGGCGGGAATGACGTCAGGGCCGGTTCAGGGATCTGGAGGCCGTGGGTGAGGCCACGGAGGTTGTGTAAGGCCGTGGCACTCTGAGTGAACCCGGCTGGACACGTGACCGGATCAAGATGGGGGCCGGGGGCCCGGGGGGCATCTTGGGGGGCCACGTGGACAGCCGAGCAGCTTCGAGAGGGTTCTCGAAGGAAGGCGTGACCGGGGTGGGGCCCGGACACGCCGAGGCCCATATAAGCAGCCTCCTCACCGGGCTTGAGGCTGCCCGTGTCAAGAATGAAGATGCATCGTGAAGACACCTCGTGAAGAGTCAAGCCTCCAGTCAGCGGACCAGCCAGTAGCCCTCCTGGCTGGGTCACACTCGTGGTATCCGAGAGTCCGTGTTAGTGAGAGATGGTGTGTGTTAGTTAGAATAGGTCGGTCGTCACCACCCTATGCTAAGTGTACGTTGAGTTAATAAAGTGTTGCCTCCCAAGAAGTTGTGTGCGCCTATCTTTGAGCCCATTACAGCTATATGGAGGATCTTTGTCTTTTGTGAGGAAAGGCTTACGGAGCCCCAATTTGTCTTCTGTATAACAGATGTCGGGGTTTCAACAGAACATACATCTCTGCTTTATTGACCTGGTTAAGGCCGATGATACCACCAATCTAGGCTAGGAATCTTGAGTTATTTTTCATGCTTTCGGGGTCCCCGACCATCTGCTCACAATCATTAAGGACCTTCATGATGGTGGCCAGCCCCAGGTAAAGCTACATGGCCGGGAATCAGAGCCATTCCATGTTCACCTTGGGGTGTGACAGGGATGTCTTCTGGCTCCTACTTTCATTTAATATATTTTTGACAACGTATTTCGAGATGCTTTTCATGGCCATACCACAGGAATTTCCATATGGTACAGATACAATGGGAGGCTCATCGATGATCAGGTACGGTCAAAGGATGGCTGATGACCCTACTATTAGCCCCACCAAAACAAAGCACCTGCCTAGTTATTTAATGTGATTAAACACTAAAAAACCTCAACTCCCCATAAGTCATGGGGCAGTGTGCTTATGACTAGTTTCAGTTTCGCAGCAAAGGTCTCTCTCCGAATCAGTCGAGCGGCATTGTCCTTTCATCGGCTGTGTAACGCTGTGTGGAAGCTGCCTGGTCTGTCGCTTCGCGCGAAGCTTCAGGTCTTCTCGGCCAGTCATTCCCTCCCTTCTCTATGCTTGCGAAACGTGGACCCCCCTAATGGAGCATCTTCGCCGGTTAGAAACATTTAGGCTGGCCTGCCTACGATCCATCCTGGGTTTAACCAGGCTGGATTGAGTGAGGAGCTCACAAATTCTTGAAAGATCTGGGCAAAGTCCCATCGGTGAGCTTCTCCGGCAAGGCAAGGCTGCGTTGGCTGGGTCATGTAGCCCGCATGCCCAGCCACCGCATGCCTAAACAGCTTTTGTTCGGCCGGATCGAGGGGGCTAAACGGGCGCAGCACGGGTTAGAGAAGAGACGGAATGATGTGGTACAGTAGTGTAACAGTTCGCGCACTGTGCTACGAACCTGGCGACCTGGGTTAAATTCCCGCTCACGACCAACACCAGTGACGATTATCTGAACTGGTCCTGGGCCTCCCCCCTCAAATGAGTACCTGGTGCAGAGTATAAACATCGTCACTAGGGAGACAAAGGCACGCAGGCAAGGTGTTGGCCACCCACTCTGTCACGTGCCATTCCGGCCTTCATAGGTGCTCGCTAACAGCACTTGCCCTAATAGTCTGGTGTGCGCGAGTGTATAGCAGTGTGTGTGTGTGTACGTGTGTACAGTAGTGTGTACGAGTGTATATCAGTGTGTGTGTGCATGTACAGCAGTGTGTCTGTGTACAGCAGTGGGTGTGTGCGCGTGTGTACAGCAGTGCGTAAGTGTGTGTGCGTCCGACGTGAGGCCTCACCTGCGGGTCACATACTCCATGTAGGCGATGGCATCCTCGATGCGGTGTTTCCGCGTGCACACGATGATGCGGTTGAAGTCAGCGTAGACAATCTGCGAGCCAAGCCGTTTGAACTCCGAGATGAGCCTGCATGTCGTGGGAAGGGTAGTGACACACGCCGCACAGCAACAAAGGCATGTGTTCCATTCCCGACACTGGCGTGTTTCTGCGTGTTGGGTTTGTATGTTCTCTCTCTGTTCTGTATTGGTTTCTACTGGGTTCTCCGGTTTTCTCCCACAGTTAATACACCAAAACCTTTCCCGTTGCGAATTTGACCATTCACGTCAAATTTATTGAGGTAAAGTTTATTGATCGCGTGCCCTATGGCTTTTGACCATTCACAGTTAACTGTTAGATTCCTGTAAGCATCGTTACTGGACTGAAGAACATACGTGCCATCTCGTCTACCATGCAGCCCATAGCGGGTTCCAGTTCACATGCCCCCGGCATCCAGTGAGGCAGCAAGGTTCCACCATGTGATTTTTTGTACTTTATCAGTGCCCTTATTTATACATTTTGCTATGACCCCTAAAAGAAAATTAATTGGTAGTGAATGTAATGAAGAGAAGCAGAGGAAGACGATGTCTCTACGCGAGAAAGTTGAACCACAAGGTAGGTTTACGAAATGTGCGAGTGCGGTATCATTGACATTGTCTTTATTTTCAGGTTTACATATGTGTACAATACACTATATTTAAAACTAAAGTCTATACATTCGCTATACGAGTTATATTTAAGACTGTAGAAAATATTCATAATATTTTACATTTAAATATTAACAGTTTTATATTTGGGTTAATGTAGGGTAATATAAAAACAAAAGGAGGGGGTATCGTATCATGAACCGTGAATCAAACCCTAGTTTTCCCATTTGCCTTTCAGTTTGCGGATCGCGAATTTGCCGATGGTAGCTATTTTCAAGAACGTAACCCCCAGCGATGGGTAAGGTTTTGGTGTAAAACAAACATCGTGTCTGGTATTGGCCAAACATCCCAATGCTGAAACGTTCCCTGCACATTACTCAATTTGGAAAACATGTAGCAACATCACTCCCCAAGTGGTGGACTATATTCGCCTGTGATACACAGCGTCATCAATGACAGCACTGTTTTATAAGTTATGGTACGAATATCAGCTGCATTAAATGATTAACGTTAAAAGAGTACGTGTTGCAGTGTGTGTAAACATCAGCACTTGGGGAGACAAAGGCGGCCGGGCGTGGTTGCTGGCCACACCACCGTTTTGTGTGCTGTGCCGGCCTTCATTAGGTGCTAGCTAACAGCACTTGCTCCTACAGTCTGTTATGGCTACACGGGAGACCTTTGTGCTTGGTGGCATGTGAGAGGCACTCACTGCAGAAAGAGCTTCTTCATGGCGGTGTGCAGCGTGCGGTGGAGCGCAGGGTCGTAGAGCAGCGATGCCGGTGAGCTTACCCAGCGGTGGAAATGCGTCACCTGCACAGTGACGTGACAACGCTTACGTTTATTTTGTTTCACCAGATGCGACCACATTTTCAAATGTTATTTGTAACTTTTATCCTTACCCATACAGATTCGATAGTTAAACTTTCATGTGCAATTTTATTGAGGGACTGTGTGTTGTCTAAGTGTGGGACAGTTTTTTCTGCCTTTTGCCCAAGCTTGCATTGTGTAAAAAAAATCGGCAGGAATTTATGTACTTATGCAATTTGTACTGATATAATTTATTGATATTTATTTTTCGTGACTTGCTTACCCTTTCTCTACATTGCACTATCGTTTTTTGTACTGTTTGTTGTTGTAACTTGCTGGCCCGCCCTTCCTGAATATCTGTGAAAAAGAACTTCATAGCTCATCGGATTCCTCCAGTCTAAATAAAGATTCTGATTCTGACATGCCTCTAATCTTCACAAGACACTAACTAGGTGCCGTGTTCATAGCCACGGCTCAACTCAGGCTTGGCTCTGGATCAAGTGAGCTGGCTCAAAGCCATGCGGCTAACTTGAGCCGGCTCTGAAAATGAACACAGTGATGCTGCAGATTTCCATGAGCTGAGCCTGAACCAAGCTATGGCTGAGCCGCTCATGCATCTTTGACAGCAACAGAGCAGCTCAAACCTGAGCTGAGCTGTCAGTGGCCAAGCCAGAGCTGAGCCATGACTAAGAATACAGTATCGCCATAACTACATATATGTATATTTGACTCGTGCTAAAATAATTCCTTCAATTTTAAGATTCGTGGAGTATACGCAGATTAAAAATCTTTTTTTTAATATTTTCACTGTTTTTAAATGCTTTTATTAATTATTTTGTTTACCAAGGAAAGCCTCACTGAGGCTCATGACTTTTTTTTGGGAAGGTCCTGGCTAGGTTTTTGCAATAGTGGGCTAAAGTTGGATTGTGCTTACCAATTTTCCAATTTAGACTGTGACATGGGCACATAACAGCCTACTCTCTTTCGAATAACATCATGGGATCTTTAGGGTCCATCGTGAAGCAGGCGGCATCTTGCCGCACTGGGCGCCGATGCGGGTGGTACCTGGTTGTCGGCGTACGCGTTCTGAAAGCGGCTGATCTCCCGCACCCACCCGACCACCATGCCCTTGAGTACGCTGCACCAAAAAGACAAAGATTCTCCATATAGCCTTTAACAGACTGTAGGGGCAAGTGCTGTTAGCGAACACCTATTAAGACCGGCACGGTACACGAGGGGGTGGGTGGACACCACCACGTCCGGTCGCCTTTGTCTCCCCAGTAGCGATGCTTACACACCGCACTAGGTACTCATTAGAGACTGAGTGAACCTAGGAGAGGCCCAGGACCGTCTCAGATAATCGTTACTAGTGTTGGCCTTGAGCGAGAATTTAACTCGAGTCGTTAGGTTCGTAACGCAGTGAGATAACCGCTACACGACCGCACCACTAACCGTTGCACTACACCGCACCACAGCACAGAAAGTCTCCACATCACAAGCATTCAAACAGTCAATCATATTCAGCCAATCACCTGGCGGCTCAGAGGGTCACTGCCTCTGAGAACCTGGGTTTGTATCAGGCCGTCACCCACGGGCAAAGCAGATGTCAGGTGTGGGGAGTTGACGGCTCAGCCTGGTTCACAATTGACTGTGAAATCTAAGTTGTCACTTCATAGGCTCAGCCCAGCAGTGAATAAAACATTCTGTAAATTATTTATTCTTATTTTTATTATGCATATTATTTACCCAGAGAAGTGGTCACTGCTTGTTGGAGGCTACCCTCGTTAATTCTGCCAGTGTGCTGTGATGTACAGTAATCTCTTGGTTAACGTTTTTAAACCATTCCATGAAATTCTAGATTTGAAGCTTTCGTGACTGCAAGGAATAAAGTATAGATGGAAGCATATTATTCTCTTACATCACACAAGTCTACACCGTGTGATGTAAGAGAATAAAGTTTAGATGGAAGCATATTATATAATTTTTACGACGTAGAATTGTAATGTATTACTTACTGTTAGTAACTCAGCTTATTGTAGAGTATAGTAAGTATACTGATGATGCTATGTAGTTTATACTTTAGTTGTTTATGTAGTTTATACTTTAGTTTTTTACGTGGTTGTTTAGTAACTGCAGCTACATACTATTAACATTCCTTTCCTTTGTTAATGCTACCCCCCTTCCCCCTCCCTTTGATGCTGCTAATCCTGCATAATGCACAGGCATAATATTAATTTGAAACCCCCCTGCCCACCTCCTACGCATTTTCCATATGCTAAATTCCTCTTGATATGCAAATTATTTTGTCAAGGCGCTCTTCTTCCCACCTCCCCCCCCTCCAATCCAGCTTAAATATACGCTCCAAGCTTGGTGGTGTTTCATTCTTCACCTGAGGACGGCTGCTTGCGTTGTGGCCGAAACGTCGTGAGAATTGTTTTGTTGTGTTTTATGTTTATTATTTTATTACTTCCCTTCTACGTGACTTTACCGAAAGAACCAAGAAGATGAATCCCTGCAGTCACGAAAGCTTTAAATCGAAATTTAAACAAAGCCAGTCGAGGTCTAAATGCTCATAAATGGGAGTCGCTCATTGGCCGATGTATGCTCAGCCCACTTATGAGTGCTCGGATTGGCGCCCGCATGCATAACGTAAACATACCGTTAATAAAAATGTTAACGTTAGAAGAAACCATGAGGTCCTATGCCATCTTTAAAATTTTGCCAAATTTGGCAACATTTTAAAGATGGCATCGCAAATTATTTAATTATTTGTTTGTATTTATGTTGTTGTAACTTGCTGACGCACCCCTACTGGACATTTGTGAAAAAGAGCTTCATAGCTCATCGGATACTTCCAGGATAAATAAAGATTCTGATTCTGATAAATTGGGAAAAAAGTAGCAATCATTGCCCCCTGCTGCGAAAACATAGCAGGACACTCACGAAAAAACAGTTTAAGGCTCGGTGAGGCTTTCCTGGATAAACGAGCATCGCAACAATAATAGCATTAACGGGTCGGCGCTCGTGTGGGCAACAGCCAATGTTGGATGGGGTGGGGAGGCCGCACCGAAAGGTGTTGGAGCACAGCGCGGCCTCGTCGTAGCTCGCCAATGCCGTGTTGGAGGACGTGCCGGATGTCATCATGTCGGCCAGCGAGGCTTGCGGCGCCGAGTCGAAGCTCACGCCGCCGCTCGCTCCACCCTCGAGGTCGTTGATGTGGTGCGACTGCAGCACGGCGTTTACCGCCAGCGACTGGATGTCCAACTCCGCGCAGACTGTGCACGGAGACGTGGAGAGGGGAGCAGGTGCCAGAGGAAAAGATCTGGTTCGTGGCTTCATCACCCGTTGGGTGGTCTGCAGTGTCAGGGCCACGTCTTTAGACATAGTTCGGTACTGGCTTGAGCCGCTCAGTTGTTTCCAAAGATGCATGAGCGGCTATGCTGTGGCTTACTTAGGGCACAGCTCATGGAAGTCCACAGCACAAGTTATGTATGGCTTTGAGTTGGCTCACTTGAGCCAGAGCCGAGCCAGAGCCAAGCCTGAGCCAAGCCAAGCCGTAACTAATCCTTCGAGTCACTGCCATGCTTAACCACCACAAATTAACAAAGTTGACACCACACTCCCCTTCCACGATTAGTTCTTATGCATGAAACAAAAATATTTTTACAGATCCAATCAGCCAAACACCCTTCCAGGAGTCCATAATACAGCAATTTTGGTTAAATAGAAGCAAACTCTGGACTGGTTTTCCTCATTCAGCGTTTCATCGGCAGAGGCAGGTTTGCTTGCACAAATGCTAGGAAACTGGCAGATGCTTATAGGTGAGTATCTTCTCAATGAGATATGTCCTAGTTTAACATTAAACTCAATAATACACCAAATAATCCCGCAGCCTGACTGCTGATGAGCCACTTAATTTTGAAACTGTTCCAGTGACTTCTTGTGTTGAACCAGTGCACGCTGAAATTACCCACTTCCAGACGGCTGTGCACGACTGATGGGATGTGTAAAAAAATACAATCATATTTTTCATCCTGCAGAACAAACATGTGAAGGAGGCGTATGAATATGTCCGAGTTATATTGTTACTTCCCTGTGCCAAAGCTCAATATCAAAAGGGGTTTGACACAACCCGTGTCTGAGTACCGCATCAGCACCTGCGTGGTAGGCCGAGGGGCAGCTGATGTGGAAGGATTTGGCGTCGCGGGTGTCACACGCCAGCCGCCCGTCATCCGCCTCCTTGCCGCCCAGGTCAGGTCGCCCCGTGGCCGAGAGCCACAGTAGGTGATTGTTACGCCGTAGGTGACGCGCAAAGAACAGGTCACAGCCAAATGCCTCCACGTCCTCGGGAAGGTTCCCCACCGGCACGTGCAGGTACCTGCAGCAGCATCAGCATTACGGCTCGCCACCCAGCAATTTAACGCAACGTGGGCACACACGTGATTTCCTGCTCCGATGTGCATTGAGGCGGTGCTCATCTCTTTACAGCCCTGGCCCAGTGGTGGAAATTCCACATTCATACGTTGTGGGCAAGGCGATCATTTGGTGCAGTAACTACTCAAGAATGTAGGCAGGGTTTTAACCGTGCTGACACTGGGATGACTGCAATAATTGATCTTTGTCACAAGGGCGAAACACCCGTTGGTTGCAGATGCATGTCAGGAAGTCACTTGGATGTGGTTGAGCTGTAGTAGGCATATTGTGGCCAAGTGAATGGTCACTCATGGAGCCAGACCACCTTGCTGGTGACATGCACGTGTGCAGGGGGAATGCCTCGGCTGCCCAGCAATGATTCATTGCTTGCTTACCATTGGTCAATTCTGCATGCTTTTCTTATCAAGGAGCTGTTTTTGGAACCGAGAGCAGCATTCTGATTTGGAGAAATTTGGTTGGTTGCCAGGTACTATGGTTCAGGATGCAGCCGCTCTCCCTGTGACAAAACGAGTATAACAACATGTGTCTAAAATCCTCTCTATCATTTTGCTCTTCGATTTGCACTGGATGTACCATACAGGACCCACCATTGTGACCTCTACTTAAAATCCAATCTTACATCACTTGATGCAAGAAGAAATCCACATTAGGCCCTGTTCATCCATAAAATCCTTATTGGCAAATCTGAACTATGCTTAGCTAATTCATTAACCCCATTGGCAAAACTAAGAAACCTAAGACGTTCACCTAATTGCCTTTTAACTTTCCCTAGAACAATAATTAAAATAGGCGATAAAGCCTTTGATGTTGCAGCACCAACGTTTTGGAAGAACCTTGTTCCCTCCCTTAATATAACTTTAACTTCAACATATATATTAAAAGAGAGGATGTGCTACATACAACCACATTTGCAAATGTTATTTGTAACTTTGATCCTCACCCGTGTATCGATAGTTTAGTTTTTACGTGCAATTTTGTTGAGAAACTGTGTTGTCTTGGTGTAGTCTGGGACTGTTATTGTTATTTTGTTGCCTTGCCCAAGCTTGCACTTTGTATTGAAAAATCAGCAGGAATATATACTTATGCAATTTGTACTTATATACTTTACTAGCTTTCCTACCCGGCTTCGCCCGGGACTTGGATTCACCACGCCCGGCCGCCTTTATCTCCCCAGTGGTGATGTTCACACACCATACCAGTTACTCGTTTGAGGCTGAGTCGACCTAGGGGAGGCCCAGGACCGGTTCAAATAATCGTCACCGGTGGTGGCCGTAAGCGGGAATTGAACTCGGGTCGTCGGGTTCGTAGCGTAGCGCGCTAACCACTACACTATCGCTCCCCCCACACACAGACGTGCGTGCGTCCATAGGTACACATACACACGTTTGCTGCAGACACACACAACTTTCAGGGTGCGTACGGCAGTAAACGACTAAAATAATAAACCAATGCTGCGGGAAGAACGCCTTACACCTGCAACTAATTTGTATTTAACTTTACCCGTGGAGGGTTTGGGGGGGGGGGGTGCGTGACATGAGCAGGCACACTCCGTTACGCTTCCGCATACAGGTCACATGATAGATGTGACGTGCAAAATATATGCATTATTGCGCCCCCCCCACCCCCCCCCCCACAAAAAAACAAAAGTAAATTTTATAATTTTTGCAATGGTGTACAGTCTGGAGAGTACCCATATGGCAAATTTCAAGTTTGTTGCATGTCGGGAAGTACGCTAAACATTTTGAACAGACACACATTCACAAATTTGCATTTTATATATATAGATTTATATTTAATTTTAGTGACATGCTTACGTTTTCTATACATTGCACTCCTATTGTTTTTTGTATTGTTTGTTGTTGTAACATGCTGACTCGCCCCTACTGGACATCTATCAAAAAGAACTTCATAGTTCGTCGATTTCCTCCAGGATATATCAAAGTACAGCAAGTCGACTAATTCCCATACTGATGGAAATAGAGTGTTTCCTCCTCACACACGTGGGTTTTCTCCGGGTGCTCCGGTTTCCTCCCCACTTGTATAACAATTGTCGTTAATTTTATGAAAAAATCTCAAAGTAAAAACCAATGCTGTCCTGGATGGATAGATAAATAAGTAAACCACAGTAATAGCTATTTTTGATTATTCAGAGCCAGCCCTCTCTCACCGTGCCACGTCGAACATCCGTGCAAGGGTTGAGTCGACGCGCAGGTAGGCGCGCACCATGTGCCGCCCCCCCTGCCTCTGCCAGTCGAGGACGCTGAGGCTGGGCGGGTCGTCCGCTGGGCCGGCCGGGCTCGTCGCACCGGCGCTGCCGACCCACACCACCGGGAAGTCGTCGAGCACCGGCATAGCGGAGCGCACGCGCTGGGATGGCCACGCCGACTCCACCGCAACCAGAGTGGGGCCCTTACGCGAGTCCTGCTCACACGCGGTGGGCGCAGGAGTTGTGGTACAAATTTGCAAGTACTAGCTTGTGAAACGTGCACAGGTATCCCTCAATTTATGAACGTTCGTTTACAGAACTTCGCGTTTTAATGCAATTGACAAATTATGGACACTTTTCGATTAACGAAATCTAATTTCTGTGTTCACATGATGTCACACGGCACACGCCATGAGATCAAACGAGAAGCATCCGGGAGGCTGCGTCATTCATCCACGACAGCGTCACGCTGTCCCTACAGTGCAAGAGTAATGCCTCCACATCACCTTTCCAGCCATTCCAACATGCAGATATTTTGGTGAGTTAGTGAAAAGGTACAATTTTTTTCAAAATTAATTATTATTCAATCGTTTTAATATTTGTTTTTTTATTAATATTTTTCCATTGTGAAAGTGATATAGGTGCATATTTGGAGTGACTGTCCGAAACACATTGATCATTTTTAGTATTAAATTAATGGGAAAGCCATTCCGATTCACCAAATTTCGTTTTACGTGTTTTTGAAGAACACATCCCTTTTGTAAATCGAGGGATACCTGTATATTTATGTGGTGAGTTATTGACAGTTAGTCAATCCATGGCACCTGGGTCTGTGTTCCGTGACCTCCTGACAGTAGGCCTTCGACACTTTACGTGGCCTCAAAGTGCATCTAGCATGGCACGACCGCCGTGGTGATGTCACCGACACTTAGTGGTGAACGGCGTTTGTTGTCGTTCAGCTAGGTAGAGATGGTAAAATACAAATGATCGTAAAATAAAAAATTGGTCCCAAAAACAACAGACCTGGTCGACTTTAATAAAAACAGCCCGAATGTAGATCGACGTCAGTTTGAAGACAAATTATGCCGTGCTGATGATCTTTAAAATACGTGTAACTAGTACACAGCAGTAAAAATTTCACCCATACAAGGTTGTCTGTAGATACTGTGCTTCATTGGCTTTAAAATACAACAATCCCATATGGTCCCGAAGCCTCTGAAGCATAATTCATAACTCGAGGGTAAACCCCCAGGCCGAGCCACCAGGCCAGGCATGGGTGAACCAGGATGGGTGGGCACCGTAGTGCATGATGGCAGGGGCAGAGGCACTCGCCTTGTATGAGAGCAGCAGGCGTTGTAGGCCGCGGTAGGCCTGCTTGAGGTCGGTCTCCACGCGCACCTCGAAGCCGTGCTCCGGAGGCGGGAGCAGCTCCTCGCCCAGCATCGCGAGCAGCGCCGCGCGCTCCGCCGTGAACACCACGCCCAGGTTCGGCATTTGGTTACTACGGACCTGCCACATCAAAGACAACAATCGCCCATATAGCCTTACCAGACTGTTGGGGCAAGTGCTGTTAGCAAGCACCTACGAATGCCGGCACAGCACATGATGGGGTAGGTTGCCAGCACCCACACCTGGCTGCATTTGCCTCCCCAGTGACAATGTTTACACACCTCTCCAGGTACTCATTTGAGGCAAAGTCGGCCTAGGGGAGGCCCAGGACCAGTTCAGATAGTTATCGCTGGGGTTGGCTGTGAGCGGGAATCAAACTCAGGTCGCTGGGTTCGTAATGCAGCAAGCTAACCACCACACTACCACTCCCCAACTCTCACACACTTACGAAAGGATAGCACAGTGGTAACACTCGTGCCTCACAGCAAGAAGTTCCTGGATCCGAATCCCAACTAGGGCGCCTCTCTTTGCAGAGTTCGTATGGGATCCTCCTATTATAAGAACATAATGTTTAGGATAAAAGTATAGGCAGTCCCCGCTTTTACAACACAATGCGTTCCTGGTAACCGCCTCGTCGTAAATCAAGAAGTAGAAACATCATAATGCAATGTGTTTTATCCTTTTATCAGCCACATTTAACGGGGGTTTAATAGGTAAAAATCCACAACACTTGAGAATAAAAAAACATCCACGTCAAGTCACATCGGAAGCCAGAGTGACTGTTAAAATTTGTGCGGAGTCATGTTAGAAGTTGTATGGTAAATCAGGTTTTTACGTCGTGAATGGTGGCATTATATAAACGTTATAAATGTGGATCGTCATAAACCACAGACCGCCTGTATTATGGAATATGCTTACTGTTGGAAAATTATATCAGCAAACCTACAGACTGTGCTCTGGAGCCATCAGCTGCATTTACAAATTAAACATTGACTTTCAGTGGTTGCTAAATTCATAACTCAATTCTGCTCATTTCATAGTTACTACTTATGCCTCGGCAAAAGGGGTCTAGGCTCTATTCCTGACTTGGCAAGCTCTGTGTGTGAAGTTTGTATGATTTCTCCTTTTTCTGTATGTGTTTCCTCCAGGTTCTCTGCCTTCCTCCCATATCTATATCCCAATGTAACTGGCATTGGCCGAACATTCCAATGCTGAAAAATTACCTGCAAATTACTCAAAATCTTTATTTAGACTGGAGGAATCCTATGAGCTGACCCACCCATACAGGTGTCCAGTATGGGTGGGTCAGCGAGTTACTCAATTGGAATTACACGAAGTTTGATCACCTTTTGGTGTGAAAACATGTGAAGACCCTCTTGAAAAAAAGGATTGAGGCTTTCCTGGGTAAACAAACCGTAATAATGATAATTATACGAAGAGATAGGAAACACATGTGGCCATCTGGAACGCTTTTTCTTCCAATATTAGGAAGCCACTGCAACTATGCACTTTTAAATATAGATTGAAAACTCATTTATTTAGAACTGCTTTTTTTGTCCAGTTTGATGTCCTTTGATTAACATGGTTGGCTACGTACGGTGCGAAATAATTTCAATGTAAATACATACATAAGAGACACCCAAATAACCAATTAATGCAGGGAAATTAAATGTATCAATAAAGATGAATGAGGCCTTCATTTTTTCTGGAAGCTTTTCAGGCTAGAATGGCAACAGTTGCACATGAATACAACAGATTGTAACGAGTTTTTAATTGTTCAAAATCTGTCATGCCCTGAAAGTGTCAAGCAGACTCCCTCTTACATCATTGGAACCTCATTTGCCAGTAAAAAATATGATAATTGGTTTTTACCCTTTTATCTGGCAACACCTTTTGGCGTCATCTGGTCCAACACCATGTGAGACTATGCTCTAAGGAAAGCTGTCTCGGGTGTGGACCAATCAACTTCAAGGACAGTGCATACATTATCAGAGTTATGTTTTTTGTTTGCATTATGACTGCAGGTATTGTGGTCTATGCAATCATGACTCCTTGTAAAAAAGGTGTCAGTTTTGTTGCCAGATAAAAGGGTAAAAAAACTATTATCAGACTCCCTCTTGTGGAACAATGGCAGGGTTGCAGTTGGAGTTAAGGTTACCACATTTTCCACAAACCATACCCGTACATATTTCTCAAGCAGCCTAGGTCTGCCATTAAAACTGAGCAGTAAACTAGAAATAAATTCCACACAATATGGTACCAAATCTCTGTGCAAATCAGTTGCTGCTGCCACCAAAACACAGATGTCAATTCCTGGACTGGTGGCAACACGACATTGGATGGGATAAAGCAAGGCTCATGGCTCTGGTAATAATTAATTACCATCATGGCACTAAGGCAAAGGAGTGTAAGTGCTGTTAGTTTTACCGTGTCTACCACAAACACGGAGGCCTTCCTCTGCGTGGGGATGAAGAGGCCCAGCAGGGCCTTGCTGCCTTGGCTGCAGTGATACAGGTACATGTGGCGAATCGTACCTGCACACACACAAAAACAAAGATCACCCATATTGCCTTTCACGGACGGTTAGAAAGTGATATTAGCGAGCATTAATTAAGGCCGACATGGCAAATGAGGCGGTGGGTGGCCACGACCATGCCTGACCACCTTTTTCTCAGTGCTGATGTTAATATATTGATTACTCCAGGTGTTCATTTAATGTTGAGTCAATCTAGGAGAGGTTCAGGACGAGTTCAGATTATCATCACCGATGTTGGCTGTGAGCAGGAATCGAACTCTGGTCACCAGGTTCGTAGTACAGTACACTAATCATGACACTACTGCTCCCCTACAAAGACACCCCGTAAAGCCTTAATAGACTTGTGTGGCAAGTACTTTTAGCGAGCACCTATGAAGGCCCGCAGGGCACACAAAGGGGGTGGGTGGACAGCACCATGCCCGGCCGCCTTTCTCTCCCCAGTGGCGATGTTTATGTCACACCAGGTGTTCATTTGAGGCTGAGTAGACCCAGGGGAGGCCCAGAACCGGGTCAAATAATCGTCACTGGTGTTGACCATGAGCGGGAATTGAACTCGAGTCACCGGGTTTGTAGTGTAGCACGTTAACCGCTAAATAACAACTCCTCTACACACACATACAAACACTTTCTCATTCAGAGGCTTGGATATTAAATATCATTCATAATCAACATTTTTGGGTTTAGATCGCGTTATTTATAAATTTGTCGTAACACTCCACCACCCGACACGGCCAATCAGTAAAAAAGTGTCACGTTGACAAAAGACAAATAGTTCACTGCTTTAGCCCACCGGTGTGTTGAAGCGTGAAACCACAACATTTACAATTTGAGTACGACGTTTCGCTGGTAATTGCATCCAGCATCATCAGGCAATTCGCCAGAATGTTTAGGCTCTGCTGTGTCTCCCGTTCTTATATAGAGCAGCAGCAGGGTGACGTCATCATTAACTCATCAGGTGCAACGATTTGAGGGGGGGGGGGTTATTGTAATTATATACTAGATTAGTATTCAGGCAGTTGTTACGATGCGAGTTGTAGATTAGTAATAATTTGGAATGGGTTTTATTGTGATTATGCTACGTTAGTAATTAGTTAGTGTTTGTTTCCCCTATAAGGAATTGTAATGTATCTTATTTAATAATACGCTTCAAGGCCGCACTAAGCCTGTAGCTGTCTGAGCGATTAAAGTTATTTCTGTTTCTCTCAATTTCAATGGATTCTCTAATTAGTCTTTGCCAGTAGTAACTAGTTTTACACAACACTTCAACGTTGTCAAAATCAATTGAGTGTCCCTGTTGGCATTCATGTTCTGCCACTGCCGACAGTTGTTTGCGATAGTTTAATATTTCTCTGGTGTTCTTTTAGTCTTACACTAATGTTACGCCCTGTCTGTCCAATATAGCATCTGCCACATAAACAATTAATCCGATATACACCTTCTGTTGATAATTTAGGTAATTCGTATTTAGTGCAAGTTACTAGTTGTTGCATTTTGTGTACTGTACCAAATCTTACTGTAATGTTTTGATTTTGCAAAACACGGGCTAATTTGTCAGTTACTCCTGAGATAAATGGTATTTTTATTGTTTTAATAATCTGATCGCTTTCAGCAGTGTTGCCTTGCGATCGTGATTTGGCATTTAGTGCTCTGTTAATTTGAGCATTATTGTAGCCATTCTGTCTTAGTGCTTCTTTAACATGTTTAATCTCTCTCACTAGACTTTCACCATCTGACACTGTTTTAGCCCGATGTATGAGCGTCTTGATAAGAGAGGATTTCTGAGCTGGGTGATGATGCGAATCTGCATTCAGATAGGCATCAGTGTGCATTTGCTTTCTGTAAACGCTGTGTGTTATTTTACCATTTAGGCCATACCCAAGTAAAATATCCAGGAACGGGAGTGTGTTATTCACCTCCATTTCCATGGTGAACTGAATGGCCGGGTTTTGTGCATTGAGATGATTTAGAAAATCGTTAAGTGTATCTTTACCATGTGGCCAGACAACCAAAGTGTCATCCACATATCTAAACCAAAAAGATGGTTTTAATGTGCTCGAGGCAAGTGCTCTGGTTTCAAAGTTTTCCATGTACAAATTTGCTATAGCAGGAGATAAAGGAGAGCCCATTGCTGCTCCCTCCCTTTGCTTAAATAATTCGCCTCTCCATAAGAAGTAAGTGATATTTAAACAATAGTCAGCGAGTTTCAGAATATATTTTGGTAAACCTGTATTCTTTACCAGTGTATCAAGTAAATTAAGCGACTCGCTCACTGGAACCTTAGTGAATAGCGAAATCACATCAAAACTCACCAAAATATCACTAGGGTTAAGTTTAATATCTTTGATCACATTCACAAAATGTTCTGAATTTCTTATGAATGAAGATGTCCTACCGATGTAGGGCTGTATTTGTTTAGTTACATATTTTGCTAATTTATATGTGGCAGAGCCAATTGTACTGACTATGAGTCGTAATGGGATGCCGATTTTATGGATCTTTGGTAGCCCATACAGTCTAGGTGGTTTTGAAGCCCTTGGCTTAATTAGGAATTGCTCATTTTTTGGGATTAATGAATTTGCAATGATTGCAGTAGTCTTACGTTCCAAAGTGTTAGTTGGATTCATATTCTTAGGTTTTTTCGGTAAAGTCACGTAGGTAAAAAAATGAAATTAATAAAAGTAAAATAAAATAAAAATCACGACGTTTCGGAGGCAACACAAGCTTCCGTCTTCAGGTGGAACCGTCACAGCCACGACAGCTGTATCAAGTAAATGAGAGATTACAAGAGCTAGCACTCCGTATATATAATGGTTGAAGAGGGGAAGGGCCAAGTACGGCACACTTTTTATTAATATGGTAAGGTGAGGCTTAAGACTAAGAATAGACTACATAACAAAAGGCTGAGCCTTTGTTATGGAGAGGTACGATTTGTGACTACGCCTAGCCTACATAACAAAAGTATGAAAAAAGAAAAAACTAAACCTGGTAAAACAAAACTGGCTGTCTATCAATAACCTGTAATAGTTGTCTGTCAAATAAGATGGTCCAAATAAGTGTAGTTAAATCTTTTTTGCATGGTTAATCACATCTTTCCAATGATTACTCCGTTTGTAACTATCATCACAGTTGAAATTATGTCCGTGTTTGTATATTTGTATGGCTTCGTGTACAAACCTTTGATGGTAGCCAGGAGGTTTGCAGAGCACCTTGGTCTCGGAAAAGACAATTTCATGAGAGCCCACAGAGTTGTAGCAATGATCGGCAACGGCCGAAGAATCAGTTCTGCCGTGTTTCAGATCTGACTCGTGCTCACGGACACGATCAGAAACATGACGTTTCGTTTCTCCAATGTAGCAATCACCACAACTGCAACTCAATTTGTAGACTCCAGGATACTGTAAGTCAGGAACGACATCCTTCACAGATGGAATCAGATCACGGATTTTATGCACTGTGCTGAATCGGACTTGGATCTTATGTTTGTTTAGAATTTTGGAGATCTTTTTGGTCACGCCTGCTATGTATGGTAACGTGATAGTTTTGGTCGGAGTTTCATGTGGCTCTTTTTGTATGGTGGGAGAAACAGCTTGGCGGATGGTGCGGTTGGATCTCGTTTAATTTTAATGTAGGTACTATCCTCTAATAAATGTTTAATTTTATAATCATAATCGGCTCATGAAATCACTACAGTAGTGCGGCCCTTATCAGCTGCTAGGATTTGTATATCTTTATTTAGACGAAGCTCTCTTAAGGCTTTTGCCTCGTTCGAGCTAATATTCACTTTTGGTACTTTACTATTCTCAATTATTTTGGCAACCTCGTGTCTAGTCATCTCTGCCTCATTAAGTGGAAGGAGTCTTACTGCTGATTCTACCTCAGCAATTATCTCATCCACTGGAATTGTGCGTGGGGTAACGGCAAAGTTAAGGCATTTAGAAAGGACAGAAATCATGTCAGTGGTTAAATCAGTGTTAGTCAAGTTCATAAAGTTTTTGTTTTTAAATTGTTTGTTTTTAATAGGGATATGTTTATTGTAAAGTCTAGAAAATGTGTTAATTTGGTTAGGAAATATCATGCATAAGGCACAGAAAGCTGTGGTTATTAAATATGTAATAACCGAGTGGTTTCCCATGAAGAAGAAGGTTATGAGAGGGGTGTGTATGTCATGTCGCCATCGAGGAGTCACGAGCTACTTAAAGAAGTGGCTCGGAGTTCCACGATGCCTTACCACCATAGGCCTCTATGGAGATGGTGTCCTCAAGCTGCCCCTCACCAGTCTAACCGAGGAATTCAAGTGTGCAAAAACCAGGCTCCAGATGACACTGAATGAATCTCGAGACCCAGTGGTGAGCAACAACGCGCCGACCTTGGCAACTGGGCGCAAATGGAGGCCAGGAAAAGCAGTCCAGGAGGCAACAGCAGCCTTCAGACATGCTGACATTGTGGGTCATGTTCAGCAAGGGAGAGGAGGCATTGGGCTAACTAGTCGTGCTGTTTGGAGTAAGGCCACTGCACCAGAGCGGCGGAAGATGGTAGTGCAGGAAGTACGCCATCAGGAGGAGGCTGCAAGGTGGGCGAAGGCAGTCTTTCTTGCCAAACAGGGACAGTGGACTCGATGGGACAGTGTGGAGAAGAGGAAGATCAGCTGGAAGGATCTGTGGGCCATGGAAGCGAGGCGATTGAGCTTTTCCATCAGAGCAACATATGACGTCCTTCTAACACCAGTTAATCTTCACCAATGGTATGGTGAAGATCCGGACTGTGCCCTCTGTTCCATGCCAGCCAACCTCAGGCACATTCTCACAGGGTGTAAAACAAGCCTCACCCAAGGACGCTACACTTGGCGTCACAACCAAGTCCTTAAAAACCTTGCGTCCGCTCTGGAGGACAAGCGAGCTGCCACCAACTCCCTACCACCCCCAGCAGCATCACACCCCTTACGGACGACCTTTGTCCGCGAAGGGGCTAAACCACCGAAGAGCGGCTCTACACCATTAGAGCGAGACCAGCTGCGCTTGGCCCGCGACTGGAAAATGCTAGCTGACATTGGCCGGCAACTTGTGTTTCCTCCGGAGATCGCAACCACCACCCTAAGACCTGACATGGTGCTCTGGTCCCGTTCGCTCAAGAAGGTCTTCATCATTGAGCTCACAGTACCCTGGGAGGACTCAGTAGATGAGGCTTATGAGCGAAAACATCTGCGCTATGCTGATCTAGCTGCCGAAGCACGACATCATGGCTGGAACACAGAAGTCCGACCAGTGGAGGTGGGCTGCAGAGGTTTTGTGGCAACATCTACAACCAGACTGCTTAGAGACCTGGGAATTAAGGGCCAGAGCCAGCGTTCGGCAAATTTTAGCTGTATCGGAGGCGGCAGAAGGCAGCAGTCAGTGGCTCTGGATGAAGAGGAAAGACCCCAGCTGGGCCCCAAAGTGAGAGGGCCAGGAGGTATGCAGTCAACAATGCTTGACTCAGGGAGGAGGATGCCCCTGCCATGCATAGTCCCATGGGATGTTGGTTATCAACAACAAGGCAACTCCTATGACTAATTGGGATGGGACGCAAGCGTAGGATTGATCACCCTGTCGCTGGCCGCCTTTGGGGAGGGTGTATAGTATGAAAGGCCGAAACACCCCGGGAACCAAAGGTTCACTACTGACGATGCGCTCCCCAAATTTCACCAGGCTCACTGTTCATGAACTCTTGGAAGTGCTTGCACAAAGGATAGTAACATCCCATCCTGTGTTCTTGGAATCTGTTCTTGGAATCATGTGTTTCATATTTAACCACACGATAATAAACCACATGTAACAAATTAAACATGGAGTCTCGTGAAAAAAAGCATAAAAGTCCATACTTGTACAAGACCACAGCCACTTACTCCCCAAAAGGTCATATTGATGTTTGTGACAAAATTCGTGTTCCTGTGTCACGGTCTACTTTATCCAGATTGGAAGATTTCCTGTGAAATACCCAATTGGGATTTAAAACAGCAATCATCAGCCCCACTGCCAGCAGACTCATGCCCACTTGCAGGCCAGGTACTGAGTCGCCTTGTGCAGAATAGGGGGACATCTGTCATCAGCGGGTACCCTTGGCTAAAGAAATATGTGCTCCGAGGGGTTTAATTTCATTATGGGCACAATACAAATGCAAGCATTTTCTTATTTGCATAAATGAATACTGCATATCTGTAAAACACAGCAGTGCCTTCTTTTATTACAGCCTTCCACTATAAGTATGGGATGAATACCAAATGTACTAGAACTGTTAAAAGGTCATCGATAAACCGGTAGTCGTTTCCAGTCTGGAACCGGTCGCCGTTTCCAGTGGAACATCCGTAACAAATTCCCTAATTGGTACAAGCAAACGTACAAACGACGTGGTGCATTATCCGTTGTTTGCCAGCTGAAAGGTAAAGGTGCAGCCCTGCAATTACTCGTTCGCCACTGCTGGCCAAATGGCCTTTTAGAAGGAGCCAGAGGATATTTGGTATACTTTTCCACACTGACCAGAGGTGGGTGTACTTAGACTTTACCCAACCATATGCAACCTGCCAATGGAATAACTGTAATGCACCTATTTATAGTAACCTCTGGATTGCTAGTCCAGTGTGTTAAACATTACGCGATGGCAGCTCCCTTAATTTCTCAGTTAAAAAGACAAAATAGTTACGTTTATAATGTTTTGATAATGTTTAGTTTCATTTCTATCATTGTTGTTCACACAAATTGCATTTCACAGTTGCTGTGAGGAACCGGTGGTGAGCCGGTGCCAACAATTGCTCAAGCTTTGCGGTCCTCTATATATCAAGATGCTATTTGCCATTTAATGAGTGTTTATAAATTTGGGAGTAAACTGGAGTACAGACAAAAAAGCAATGTGTGCAAGGGAGAAACACTATCCCATACAGAAGGGACAGATGATATTAGTCTGCAATTTTCTGTACCGCCTTCTCCTGGCGAGCCAGGTCATAGCACCTCCTCGACACCCACGGGGAAGGGGGGTTTCCCAACATCTGTACGATCCACCAACCTTCGTCGCCTGCACGGTGCTGGACTACAGGCAGCCACGTGCTGCGTAGCCACCACAGCCACCCGGAAAATAGCTAACCATTTCTAAATGTGCGTTAAACCGGTGACCGATTTTAACCGGTTATTCCCATTTGGGTAGTAGTAATGCAAAATACAGGGTGTTTTAAAAAGATGGACCCGATTTGAAATCGCTATATCTCTGCAACCACGAACCACCCATGAATGAAACTCTTACCACTTAAAAAGGCGGGGCATAGAGTTTCAAATGATTACTGCTAGATGCCTCTCCCAGTGCACAAATAGCCCCTAGCCTCAGTCATTCACAAGACACACTGCCTCAACGTTGGATATATCGCACGGGACCCCAAGACTTGGCGTTACACTCTTGGCCCCCAAGATCCCCAGACATCACACCCTGCGACTTTTTCTTGTGGGGATACGTCAAAGACCGTGTTTTTGTGCCACCATTAGCGACTAATCTGGATGACCTCAAAAACAGAATCATGGCAGCGGTGACTTCATTGGAAGAAGACACTGAGAGGCGTTTGGGACGAATTCAACTATCATCACGATGTTGTCCGTACAGCAGGCGGAGGGCACAGAACATTAAAAAATGGTTAATAAAACTTGATAAATCATTAAACCGTTTGTCACTTTTAGTGTAATTGTAACATGTTGCAATTGTGAAATATTCTGCTTTGAAATTGGGTCCATCTTTTTAGGAATGATTTATTCAGGGGCACCTACCGGGCTCCAGATAGGAGTACTGTGCCAGGGACCTCATCTCCAGCTGCTCCAGCTGGAACGTGTCAACGTCGAGGGCTCCCTGCTGCCGCGCCGACTCGCGGCTCACCGTGCACACGCAGCCCAGCTGCACTAACGCGCGGAACATCAGGGGGACCTGGTGGCAGACGGACACACACCCACACACAAGCAGCAGTGATCATTAATAATACGAATGTTTTGTTTTTATACAGGATTTTGAGATGGTCGGCACAGTGGTGACGCTCATGCCTTATGGCAAGAAGGGCCTGGCCCCAATTACCAACTTGGGCGCCTATCTGTCTGGAGCTTGTATGTTCTCCCCCTGATCTGCATGGGTTTCCACCCATAGCTAAAAAAAACCCATTCAACGTAATTGGTGTTGGCCAAAATATCCCAATGCTGAAAAATGCCTTGCAAATTACCTATTGGGATTACATGTTGCAACATCGCACGCTGCTACGGAACATTGGCAGAAGTCTCGTCAAAAATAATCTGGAGACAAGCATAATAACAATAGTAAAGCAGGCTGTATCAGAGTCCTCATTTTAGGCCAAACTGACCTAGAGGATGTAGGCGCACTCACCTGTGTCTCGTAAACACCCTCAATGTGCGGTGCGGCGAGGTCAGCGTTGATTTGGTTCAAGTGCTGCTGGTACAGCTCCTCGGCCACTGTGTACTCGTACAGGTTGAGCACCGGGTTTGAACGTGGCAGCACACGGTTCACCTGCACCGCACCCATTGCACCGCACCCATTGCACCGCACCCATTGCACCGCACCCATTGCACCGCACCCATCGCACCGCAAACAGCACCGTATCGCTCACAGCGCCACACCGCACAACCCCACACCAAACCGCACCACATCACACAAAAATAGCAAGGAAGCGACTTTAGTGTACAGTATCCACACTCGCGCTGGCCAAAAAATCACAATCTCACGATTAAAATCACATTGTCAGTATTGCAAACGAATACAATTGTAGAATTTCCATTGTTTTGTGTTTTCCTTCGTGCCATTTCTAAAGCGTTGCCATCTCGTGGTGACGACGTAATCGACACTAGCTTACTGTTTATTTGAATAGAAACCCAGCGATCACAGCTAAGATTAATTAGGATTCTACGGACAATAAATAAACAGCCAAATAATCTTCGTGCATGTTAATGTTGATTCCCATATCTCCATTATAAAAAATATTGGTTCTAGCCAATGCGTCTTTAATGTCCACTGTATGGCACAAAACCTCCATCCAACATGTTGAAAGGTCGCATCCTGAAAGTGCATGGGTGGTACCGTGGACATGACCAGGCGCACCTTGCGGTAGTTGGGCCCCTCATCGGGCTTGGCAACGCGCTGGTTCACGTAGAAGATGCGCGGGATGTGCAATTTCACAACGTGCAGCTCGGTGCCAACCACACACCACACGCGAAACATGCCCGCCTGCGTGCCCTCTGCGATCTGTCTCACACACCCACACATGTAAACAAAACGTGCCAATTAGTTACTACTTCAGCACACCGGTGTGTTTGAGAATAAACCCACAAGATTTACGATTTGACTACGACGTTTCGCTGGTGATTACAACCAGCTTCATCAAGCAATTTGCCACAATTCTGGCAAATCGCCTGATGAAGCAGGTTGTAATCACCAGTGAAACGTCTGATGAAGCTGGTTGTAATCACCACCAAAATGTCACTCAAATTGTAAATCTTGTGGGTTTACTATTCAATACACTGGTGTGCTTAAGTAGTAACTAATTATCATGTATTATTTCCGTGACAAACCTTACTAATTGGCTGTGTCGGGTGGTGGTGGGTTAACGACACATTTATAATTACACGATCCAACCCATAAAACCTTTATTTTTAATAATATTGGTCGCGAAATACTACTTGTTAAAGAAACTCCATTGAACAATGCACAATTCTACCCCGCACAACTGCACCCTGAAACTCCGCAGCACTACACCGCAGCCCTACCTCACAATACTACACCACAGCACTACCTCACAACACTACCCAGCAGCACTACATCACAACACTACCCCACAACCACTTCTAGCATCACAGAGACATAAGGTGGTGACATGGCCCAACATTCGCCGCTTATTGCATTGGTTCACAGTTCGATCCCGTAGGCCTCCCTGGTTCATACTGTGTATTACAGGAATTCCTCCATTTACGTTGCTTCTCTTTAGGTTGATTCACGAAAACGTCACCAACGAATGAGGGAACGTAATTTTGATTTAAAATGCACCGATTCACTACCTTGTTTTGAAAAATGTCAATAAATTAATTATTGGTTTGGGTAACAGCCCCGCTCTGCATCCACACCCCGCTTATATCCGCTCCGGCGTGGCCGGCTCCGCCCAGGCATGGCCGGCTCTGCCCAGGCCACGTCTCCCTTCCCCCACCTCACGGGAAGGTCTGGGTCCCTCCACCACGTGACCCCCCAGGCACCCCCTTGGGGCCCCCAGCCTTCGTACGGGCCGACACAGTAGTGACGTCCTATGTCACTACACTATTGTAGTGGGTCAATAACTAGAGGAGACTCGCTCTGAGGCAATACATATTTTATTTAACAAGTAAACCTTAACACAAAGGGGTAACGGCCCCTCACACCCGATACGCCTCTCACTGGCTATTCTAACCCTTCTTGAGTGAAGCTTGGTCTTCACTGGTCTATAAGCTGGAGTCGACCCTTGCCAGGGGTACTACTCTGCCCATGGGCTCTTCTCTTCAGGAGGCTATTGGTCTTCGGGTGGACGACGACTGCCTGGACCGTTCAAATCCGTGGCTTGCTCCGCCCCAGCCACGCCTTCCTTCCAGGACCTTCCACCAGGTCCTAGAAGGGTGATGTCATCCCCCAGCCCCTCCTCCTGGGGTCTGCGTCCCAGGATCCGTTTTCCCATCAGGGTTACCGTTGGGCTCAGTAACACTACCGCCCCCTATTGACACGTGTGGGATACTACCGGCTGATAGCATGGAGAGTGCATAACATCTCTACACTATGCTAAAAGATCCTGTCAAGTCATTCAAAGAAGAGTCGGCCATTGTTGGTAAGCACTGAGCCTCCTGAAAAGGAGTGTTAAGACACAATGAGACTTTCCTGGGTAAACAAGCAAAACAATAACAAAGCCCTAGCCGGACGCACCTGCACGATCTGCCAGGGAGTACTCAGGAGGGAGCGTGCAGCCCGCATCAGGAAGCCCCCCAGGCCGGTGTTGAGGGCACTCCCTCCCCTCAGGGGGCCCCTCGTTCCATGAGCTGTTGGGCCCCCCTCGCCCGAGCCGCACCGCCTGCGCTTGGAGCGATCCTTGCGCTGCCGTGTTTGGATCTCCCACTTCTTCTTGTGAAAGCGAATCCAGGTGGCCATCTCCTCCTGTTGAATGCACGCGAAGCACACACCCACACAGTGGAGCTGGATAGTGTCTGCCAGTCTTGTCCCTTGGCCATGCTAAATTGTGCAATAGTGTACATTGTATCTCAATAGTAAAAACACAAATTCTCTAGATGAGCGGTACCCAACCTGTGTTATGCAAGACCATGGGAAGTGGTCCGTGGAACTTTTGTAGATTCTATGATTTAAAATAGTTTTAATGTAGAAAACGGTGTTATTGGTGCAGGGTGGTCCACAAACGTCTTGTGAAGGTTCACAGGGACAATCCTTGGGTTCAGAAAGGTCGGGAACCCCTGATCTAATTTCAAATTTTTCTCTGGTTTCCTCTCATAGCTAAAAAAAGGCATACATGTTACTGATATTGGCCAAAAAATTCCAATTACTCAATTGGGATTAGACACAGCAGCAACATCACCCTCTACTGGGATAACTTGTCAGGACCCTCCTGAGAAAGAGTCTCGAGGCTCAGTGAGACTTTCATGTGTAAACAAGTAGAGCAATAATAATTCATAAGAATTTTTCACAATGCACATTTACGCGATGCACGTTGTTTTAAAAAGTGAATCGCTCCCACATGACAGCACACAACCACACATGTGCTCAGCAAGACCCACACCACACATGTCCACCCACCGCGGTGGTCCCGATGGAAGGGGGTGGCCCCAGGATCTCTCTCCACGTTTGCGTGAGCTCTAGGTCCTGGGACTCACGGTCCTGGCTCTCCACCTCCGCCCGCTTGCGCTTGGTGGCCATGGGCACAGGGCCCAGTGGAGCCACGTGGGACGCCCCGAAGTCCTCCATGTCCTCCACGCTGGCGGCACCCTCCTGCTGACCCGACACCTGTCGCAAGCATCCACGCAAGCATGGAGCTGGTGACTCGCAACATTCCTGTCTGATGGCCAACAAATACCCCTTTTCCAATTGTACATCCGAGGCGAGCCAGCGCTGAGCCCTCAAGGCACGAGTGGCTATCCACTGTGTATTTGCCGAACAAGGCATTTTTTGGTCAGATTTTAGAACGCGACCTCTGATTGCATTGAGTCACAACCAGTCTGGTGGCTCAGAAGCAGAACGAGCAGCTCGCAATCAAAGGGTTGCGAGCTCAAATCCAGGTTGCGGGATTGACTCAGCCCAACATCCCCCAAATGCTTCGCATTTTGTAGGGAAGTCAACAGTGGTTTGCCTATTTAGAGACTTGCCCCCGTATGTAATAGGAATGTTTAAATTCCACCACTGGCTCAGGGTTATAAACAGGAGATGAGCACCATCTCAATACTCAATTGAGCAGGAAATCACTATGCCTTTCTTTACTGTAAGCCACAGGTAACCAAAGGAGTCACTCCAAACTATGGGACTTGTTATTGGAGTTTTATTTGGAGAAGGGCAGCTGTTTCAATCCCTCTACTATGGTCTGTCCGTATCTTTACACACACACGTACAGAGACAAACAGACCACGCTGAGTGTGACCTTACTACCTGTCGCTTCTCAGACGCTGTGAATAGCTCGTTGATCTTCTTCTGTTTGTAGGCGTCGCTCTTCTCCAGCAGCTTCTTGTGGAGCCAGTCCGGGTGTCTGACTCGAGGGACTGGGTTCTTCACCTGCGCAGACGCGGTGATGTGAACAGTGGCAATGAAAGGTTGGGATGGCGGCAGCAGCAGCCGCCACCGGGGGGATGGCCTGGACGCACAAGGACATTGCAGCTCTGCGAGAAGTGCGCAGTAATCATTAACTTGTAACGCACACGGTGTTCACTCGCTCTCGAAGAAAAAGAAAGAATCGGAGGCAGGAGGGATCACAGTCGAGCAGGAAGGCATCCACGCAATGAGTTGGCACCAATAATTACCCAAGCTCTGCGGTCCTCTATATATTAAGCTGTTATTGGACAATCAATGAGTGTTTACATGTGAGAGGAAACCGGAGCACCTGGAGAAACCCACACATGCGAGGAAGAGACACTCTATCCCAGGGGTCCTCAAACTTTTTAAACAGGGGGCCAGTTCACTGTCCCTCAGACCGTTGGAGGGCCGGACTATAGTTAAAAAAAACTATGAACAAATTCCTATGCACACTGCATATATCTTATTTTGAAGTGAAGAAACAAAACGGGAAAAATACAATATTTAAAATGAAGAACAAGTAAAGTTAAATCAACAAACTTGCCAGTATTTCAATGGGAACTATGGGCCTGCTTTTGGCTAATGAGATGGTCAATGTCCGGTTCCATATTTGTCACTGCTAGTCGTAACAAGTGATGCAAGTGTGCATCCGTTAGTCTAGATCTGGTTGGAGATTTCAAATGTTTCATTCTGGAAAAAGTCTGTTCACAGACTTGTGCTGCCAAAGATGGTTGCCATTTTGAGTGCATGGTTCCTGAGATGAGGATATGTCTCAGAGGAGAGAGATGCATATAAATTATGAAGGCTGCTTGACTTGAATGCGTCTTTCAGAGAGTCACAATTCTGCAGTTCAGCCAGTTCCATTTGGTAAATTGTATCCACATTTTCAATGTCAATAGAAAATGGGTTACGGAAAAGCTGTATGTCCTGTTCATGGAGATGAAGCTCTTTAAATCTAAATTGGAACTCCTTTTGCAATTTTTACAGTGAATCCACACATGTTTTGTTTGGGAATGCAACCAATGGTTTTTCCGCTAACAGATTTTGAGTTGTGGGGAGATGGCAGAAGTTTTCCTCCTTCACTTGTTTGATGAGGAGGCCTAATTTTACTTCAAATGCTTGGACATGTGATTGCATATCACAGATGAGCTTCCCCTTTCCTTGAAGTTGCACATTGAAACTGTTGAGTAGCTCTGTTACATCTGTCAGAAAGGCAAGGTGCCATTTCCATTCTGCATCATTGAGCTCTGGTACTTCTTTGTTTTTTGAAAGCAGAAAAGCTGTAATCTGTGGAAGTAAGTCATAGAAACGTTTCAAAACTCTCCCTCGACTCAGCCAACGGACTTGTGTGTGGTACAGAACATCTTCATAGTCAACATTTAGCTCCGACAGAAATTCCTGAACTTGTCTGTGGTTTAGTGCATGACCTCTAATGAAGTTAACACAAGATACCACAATTTTCATAACAGAGTCCCACTTCAGTGATTTACTACACAGCGCTTGTTGGTGGATGAGGCAGTATATGGCTATTGGATGAGAATGGTTATGTTGTCCATCTCTTGGTTAATGCGAGCAATTACTCATTTCTTAGACCCCACCATGCTAGGAGCACCATCAGTTGTCACACTGGCTAGTTTAGCCCAGTTCAGCTCCAAACCATTCACAGTTTGGCAAACCTTTTCATAGATATTCTCTCCTGTAGTTGTTCCTTTGATGCTTTGCAGTGCAGCAAGCTCTTCTGTGACTTCGAAATAGTCATTCGTCCCACGAATAAAAATTAAAAGTTGTGCAGAATCACGAACATCATTGCTTTCGTCGAGTGCCAAGAAAAAATAGGAAAGTTTTTTTGTGGAGTTTTGCAAATGCTGATGCAAATTGTCTCCCATTTCTTCAATCCTCCGTGTAATTGTAGGTCCTGAAAGACTCACTGTACTAAACAAATCGGCCTTCTCTGGACACATCTCTTTGGCAACAGAAAGAAGGCATTCTTTAACAAATTCTCCCTCCACGAATGGTCTGCCAGTGCACGCTATTAGCTTGGCAACTTGAAAACTTGCTCGCAGTGATGAAATATTTAGCTGCTTCTGCTTCACAAAAATATTTTGCTGAGTTGTTAATGTATTTTTCAGTTTTAATATTTTATCTTTTCTCACTTCTCCGACCAAACAATCATATTTATCTTTATGTTGAGTTTCATAGTGTCGACGTAAATTGTATTCTTTGAACACAGACACTATATTCTGGCATATCAGACACACAGCTCTTTCCTTGTACTGCATGAAAAAGTAATCATAAGTCCACTGTTCTTTGAATATCCTACACTCCGAGTCAATTTTTCTCTTTCTTGACATCATTGTTTCCTAGGGAGTCAAAATTGCTATTAGTAAAATACCAATATATATACAGCGCTACAAAAACAATATACCTGCAATAACTTTGCCCACACAGAGACATACAAACTGCACTGCCCATCAATGCAGTCTGATTGGGGGAACTCTGCTTTTACCCCAGGCTCACACTGGTGCGGGTGCCATTAAAAAGTTAATTACATCTGCAGTTTTGTTCACAGATCGCAGTGCGGTGGGCCCAATGAGTGCCCACCGCCGCAGCTCAATCAGTGCTCACCAGCGCAGCCCAATCAGTGCCCACCAGCGCAGCTCAATCAGTGCTCATCAGCGCAGCCAAATCAGTGCTCGCCACCGCAGCCCAATCAGTGCTCACCAGCGCAGCCCAATGAGTGCTCACCAGCGCAGCCCAATTAGTGCTCACCAGCGCAGCCCAATTAGTGCTCACAAGCGCAGCCCAATTAGTGCTCACAAGCGCAGCCCAATTAGTGACCATGGGCCGGATAAATGTCCTCAGCGGGCCGCATGTGGCCCGCGGGCCGTAGTTTGAGGACCCCTGCTCTATCCCATACAGATGGTACAGGTGGGAGTCCATATTTTGTAAGCTGAATGTACCTGATAATTGGTTCTTTACCCTTCTATCTGGCAACAAAACTGACACCTTTTGCAAGGAGTCATGTTTGCATAGACCGCAATACCTGCAGTCATAAATACAAACAAAAGACATAACTCTGATAATGTGCACTGTCCTTGAAGTTGATTCGTCCACACCCGAGACAGCTTTCCTTCGAGCCTAGTCATCTGGTCCAACCCATATGAGACTAGGCTCGAAGGAAAGCTGTCTCGGGTGTGGACGAATCAACTTCAAGGACAGTGCACATTATCAGAGTTATGTCTTTTGTTTGTATTTATGACTGCAGGTATTGCGGTCTATGCAAACATGACTCCTTGCAAAAAGGTGTCAGTTTTGTTGCCAGATAGAAGGGTAAAGAACCAATTATCATATTTTTACTGGCAAATGAGGTCCCCATCTGAATGTACCTGTTGCAGGGCAGCTGGGATCGTGATGATCTTCTGTATAGCGCTGCCCAGTCGCTCTATGTAGTAATCCCAGTCCAATATCTGCAACGAACGTGTTCCATGTTAAACAATACAGCAACCCCACCACCTCCACCATCTGCATCATCACCACCCCATTCATCACCACCATCACCAAAACCACCCCCACCAAAAAGACAAAGCTCAAGTGCTGTTAGGGAGCACCTTTGAAGTAGCAATGTTTACACACTGCACCGGGTACAGGTGACCCGCAACTTTAGACGGCTCGACTTGCGACCCCCTGCTTTTACGGCCTCTCTTATAGTAAAAAAAACCTCTACAGTAATGACTAACACTCGATTCTACGACCGCCTAACGAATGCTACTGACGCCGAGTCGGTAGCATTCGTTAGGCACTGCTCTGCTCTTCCGCCGTATGCATATGTCCAATATAGCCCGTCAGTCTGCAGCTGCGTCTAGAGCGAACCTATCTCTTTCGCAACGTTCTTCAATTTTTTTCTACATTTTCGTCAAATTTTTTATTTGTTTCACCTTTCACTGTCTGAGAAGAGGAAATGCGATGTATATGCACCAAAGAATTTGCAAATGTGTTTGTTTGTACTCAGTAAATGTTTGTAAAAGTTACGTTTGCCACTAAATGGCAGTAATGTCACCACAGCACTTGTGCCAGGCTAGGTGCACTTTGAGGCCATGTAAAGTGTCGAAGGCTCACTATCAGGTCATGGAACAGACTCAGGTGCTATGGGTTGACCGATTGAGATGACTCTAAGATGCACCAACTCTGTTCCCCATTGTGCCAACTCTCTGGGTGTTCGTCACCGGCGCTCTGCTCATTGTTGAGCGTCACTCCTCTGCCCTCCATTGTTGATGGAGGGTGACTGCCTCTAACCACCACCACCTCCACGACCAATATGAGCACCTTCATGCCCATCACCACAATTATCGTCGTCATATTCCAAATTTGAAAGATTACACCCCAAATATCAATTGCCAGCTTATACGAAAACTTGGGAGGACCCTCCTGAAAAAGTCTTCAGACTTGGTGAAGCTTTCTTTGATAAACAAATGCAATAACAATACAATCTGTATATGATAGGCTCTGTAATAACAAGGTTCATAGAAGTACACATGCTAAACAACAATAGCTAATGTTGTTTAGCTGGCAAATGGAATGGGTAGGTCCACTGTTGTGCTCTTCACCGATCGGATGTCAAAGTCTTGTTGAGAGGGACTCTTGAGCCACTTGCGTAGATAGTGCTTGCTGACACTCGGCTCAGCCTGGAATATCGCCAGTGGGATAGCCCTGTCTCACACATTCACACAATCAAGCAGTAATAATCACAATTGCTCCATATCCTTCGCACATCCTTCACACTGCATTCTGCGGCCACTCTGACGAACCCTGTTAAGATTGAAAACTCTTCATGAAAGATCCACGTTGTAAGACCCAACTTAAAACCAGACATGGATGTTTTTATAAGTTAAAAAGATGTATGTCAACCTGTGAGAACATATGCAAGTCTTTGTGTCATTTTTGAAGCCTGACCGAAAATCAGACATGGATTTGCATGACAAAAATTTTAATGGAAGATGGTTTTGGATTATTAGAGCAAATTACACAATCATTAAAATCTTGTTGGTTACACAGTCATGGCATTAGCAACTACTGTCATTAAATCACAGCCTTAACGAGTCTTTTTCAGGAGACGAGACGTTTCCCAATACCGGCAATGATCAGTTTAAGTCGTATCAGTTTACGTCTTATCGTTTTAACATCGTTGGAAACTAAGGGACATTATTATCAATCGAAGTCGTCGATCAGTTTTATTGTCGTTGACAAAATTGTTTATTATCACTTTGAAGTTGCTCGATCACTAAGTTGTGTTTCTGTGCTGCGCGTGCTTGCTCTGGGGTGGCGTAGGGACTACTTTGAGCAGTGTAGTGGTAATAAGTTGCATCATTTGTTGTTGTCATTCACCCATGGACATGTACATGTGAGCAAATACCGTATTTTCCTGCATATAACCCATGGGGTATACCACTTTTTACAAACAAAATAAGACCCTGCGGGGTAGATGGAGGTGCGGGCTATCCCAAAAATATTTTACACGTGTGACATGTCATAACTCGTTTAATCTTTTCATGGTAGGACTATCCACTATGCAACCCTTACCTTTGACTAAAGCACTGCTGAATAAACCACTCACACTAAAATTGCACATGTTAAATTATTCGAATTGTTTGTACAATGAAACGACAATGTTTGAAGTGGGCGCACTTTGCTTACCATAATACTTTCAGTGGCTGTAGGGAGGTGCGATAGTTTCAGCTGAAGCTATAGATTGCACAATGGGAAGGGCCTTAGCAAGCGTCTATCAGACGCGGAATCATAATTTCTGAGTCCCGTAGGCCACTGCTATTGGCTGAGCACTATACAGTCGTGACCATGAGTTTTGTTTCAAACTTCCAATGGCTTTGTTGCCAGGAGGCAATGGTGTTACCGGAGTGCCGCTATTATTTGCGCAGTGCGCAATCTACCAGTACTAAAACTGTACAGGGGTAACTACCAGTCCAGTAGCTGTAATATGATGAGGTCGAATGCTGGCAAGCCTAACAGTTCGCTTACTTACTTATCTACCAGTTATGTATTATTTATTTATTTAATATTTACTTTTGTTACTTATTTACGGTTTTAAGTTCACTCGTTTCCGGTTAGTTTGTTTTCCTTATGCACATTATGATTTTAATGTTAACAATTGATAGTGGAATGTATTACAAATGTAAACTTTGTATTAATATGATGGAATTAAGCTGCGGTAACGACATTAAAGATATGAATGCATGCGGGGTATATGGAGGTGCGGGCTATCTGAAATTTGTTTTACACAAAACGCTATTTTTGCGGGGTATATGCGTCTGCGGGTTATATGCGAGAAAATACGGTATACCATAAGTACATATTTATGTACCTATGACGCTAAGTACCTATTACGTATCTTATTTTATTGTTTCATGGAACAAAATTAATTTATTTTTGTGTAAATTTATCTTGTAACTACTTTTCTCTGTTATTTAGTATTCTTCCTCAAAAATTGTATAATCTTTGCTTTATTAAGACTTTACATATGGAGTATTGGAGAGCTGGAAGGAATCCCCTGTATTTTAGTTAATTCTAATGGAAGACAGCTGATCAGTTAACGTCGTATCAGTTTGAATCGTGTTTTCCAGGAACATAACACCCAACTTAAACTGATCATTCCCAGTAAAGTCACGTGCAAGTCATTTTCAAAATTTACCAAATTTAAACTGGCACCAACACACAACATACTACTGTTCTTCGCATGACGTCACAGGATCGTGAGCATCAGCTGTGAAGTCGACAACGAATAGCATTTATGGTTGATAAATCTGCAATATTAATCAGGGTAGCCTGTCAGATATTGAACTGCAGCCACTGCCTAACGGTGTGGGTGCATCCCCATGGCCTCATACCTCTCTGTGACTGGGGCTCCCTCTGGCCGACGTGAAATTACGAATCGACAACTCAGTCCGGCGTCCTTCACCATTTGGTCCCCCAGGAACTCGGCAAGGCGGCGCGCCGTGCTGATGGACGTCGACTTCTGGGCACCGTAATCCTCCAGCTTGCGTGACATGGAGCGGTTCTCTGCTATGAGCTCAAACAGCTCCTGGTCTGGCATGTTGGCTGCCTGCATTCAAACACACAAAGACAAATATTCCCTATAAAGCCTTTAACAAACTGTTGGAGCAAGTGCTGTAAGCGACCACTGAAGAAGGCTGACTTGGTAACTGATATGTAATAAGAGCCTATGTCCGGCTCACGTAGTGATCGGCTCTGCCGGTCCCGCTTTACAGCCAATGGGGGGAGAGCCTGGGAGCATGGCCTCGGCGTGATTACGGGATGTCAGCTAGGGTGATTGGTTCTGCTGGTCTTGGCCTCAGCCAATGGGAAGACAAGTAAGGGGCGTGGTCCCGGGAGTTGATGGGGAATCTGGAACATTCGGCGCAGGCTATTAAGGATTGGCTGGAGTGTACCACGTGACCCAGGCGTTAAATAAGGGGAGAGATCAGAGACACGTGGTCAGACACGGAACGAAGAGAGAGAGGGGCCACGTGCGAGCGGGGCTCCGGGTGCTACGTGGCGGTGCGTCTCTTGTGGGCTGTCTGCCCACTTCCCGTTGCCTGCCAGCAACGGGGAGTGTTTGTGAACTGAAGAAGTGAAATAAAAGGACCGATTCCACAAACCGTCTCCAAGAGGTTTATTACAGACTAGCAGAAGTACCCGGCGTTGCCCTGGTGAAAAATATATTTCTTAATAACCTTACATATATACACAGATACGAAGGTACCCACCGGGATTTGACAATACCTTTCACCACACACCACTCACAACTCACCTTTACCATTCACCCTCACAACTCACCAATCTCCCTCACCAATCTCCCTCACCACTCACCGTCACTACTCACCAATCACCAAACACCCTCACCACTCACTCTCACCACTGTCCCTCACCACTCTCCCTCACCACTCACTCTCACCATTCACCCTGACCATTCAGCCTCATCACCCACCGTCACCACTCACCCTCACCACTCACCCTCACCACTCAACCTCACCCTCACTACTCACCATTCATCCTGACCAATCACCACTGACCAATCACCACCCACCACTCTCCACTAACCCTCACCACTCAATCTCACCACTCACCCTCAAAACTAACCACTCTCTCACCACTCACCCTCAGCACTCACCCCTCACCCATCACCACTCACAACTGCCACTCACCCTCACCACTCACCCTCACAACAACCACTCACCCTCACCACTCACCCTTACTACTCAACCTCACCACTAACCCTCATCATCACCACTCACCCTTACTACTCACCACTCAACCTCACCACTCTTCGTCACCACTCACCCATCACCACTCTCCCTCACTCTCACCATTCACTCTCACCATTCAGCCTCACCACTCACCACTCACCGTCACAACCACGACTCACCACTCACCCTCACCACTCACCCTCACCACTCACTCTCACCATTCACCCTCACCATTCAGCCTCACCGCTCACCCTCACCACTCACCGTCACAACCACGACTCACCCTCACCACTCACCCTCACCACTCAACCTCACTACTCACCATTCATCCTGACCAATCACCACTGACCAATCACCACCCACCACTCTCCACTAACCCTCACCACTCACCCTCACCACTCACCCTCAAAACTAACCACTCTCTCACCACTCACCCTCAGCACTCACCCTCACCACTCACCCCTCACCCATCACCACTCACAACTGCCACTCACCCTCACCACTCACCCTGACCACTCACCCTCACCACTCACCCTTACTACTCAACCTCACCACTAACCCTCATCATCACCACTCACCCTTACTACTCACCACTCACCCTCACCACTCACCCATCACCACTCACCCTCACCACTCTCCCTCACTCTCACCATTCACCCTCACCATTCAGCCTCACCACTCACCCTCACCACTCACCACTCACCGTCACAGCCACGACTCACCACTCACCCTCACCACTCACCCTCACCACTCACTCTCACCATTCACCCTCACCATTCGGCCTCACCACTCACCCTCACCACTCACCCTCACCACTCACCGTCACAACCACGACTCACCCTCACCACTCACCCTCACCACTCAACCTCACCATTCATCCTGACCAATCACAACTGACCAATCACCATCCACCACCCACCACTCTCCACTAACCCTCACCACTCAACCTCACCACTCACCCTCACCACTCACCCTCAAAACTAACCACTCTCTCACCACTCACCCTCACCACTCAGCACTCACCCTCACCACTCAACCTCACCACTCTCCACTAACCCTCACCACTCAACCTCACCACTCACCCTCACCACTCACCCTCAAAACTAACCACTCTCTCACCACTCACCCTCACCACTCAGCACTCACCCTCACCACTCACCACTCACCCTCACCACTCACCCCTCACCGCTCACCACTCACCCATCACCACTCACAACTGCCACTCACCCTCACCACTCACGCTCACCACTCACCCATCACCGCTCACAACTGCCACTCACCCTCACCCTCACAACAACCACTCACCCTCACCGCTCACCACTCAACCCTCACCACTCACCCTGACCACTCACCCTCAGCACTCACCCTCACCACTAACCCTCACCATCACCACTCACCCTTACTACTCACCACTCAACCTCACCACTCTTCGTCACCACTCACCCATCACCATCACCACTCACCACTCACTCACCATTCACACTCACCATTCAGCCTCACCACTCACCCTCACCACTCACCGTCACAACCACGACTCACCCTCACCACTCAACCTCACTACTCACCATTCATCCTGACCAATCACCACTGACCAATCACCACCCACCACTCTCCACTAACCCTCAGCACTCAACCTCACCACTCACCCTCACCACTCACCCTCAAAACTAACCACTCTCTCACCACTCACCCTCACCACTTACCCTCACCACTCACCCCTCATCACTCACCCATCACCACTCACAACTGCCACTCACCCTCACCACTCACCCTCACAACAACCACTCACCCTCACTGCTCAACACTCAACCTCACCACTCTTTGTCACCACTCAGCCTCACCACTCACCCCTCACCATCACCACTCACCTTCACCACTCTCCCTCACCACTCACTCTCACCATTCAGCCTCACCACTCACCCTCACCACTTACCCTCACCACTCACTGTCACAACCACGACTCACCCTCACCACTCACCCTCACCACACAACCTCACCCTCACTACTCACCATTCATCCTGACCAATCACCACCCACCACTCTCCACTAACCCTCACCACTCAACCTCACCACTCACCCTCACCACTCACCCATCACCACTCACAACTGCCACTCACCCTCACCACTCACCCTCACCACTCACGCTCACCACTCACCCCTCACCGCTCACCACTCACCCATCACCGCTCACAACTGCCACTCACCCTCACCCTCACAACAACCACTCACCCTCACCGCTCACCACTCACCCTCAGCACTCACCCTCCCCACTCACCCTGACCACTCACCCTCACCACTCACCCTTACCACTCAACCTCACCACTAACCCTCACCATCACCACTCACCCTCACCACTCACCCCTCACCATCACCACTCACCCTCACCACTCTCCCTCACTCTCACCATTCAGCCTCACCACTCACCCTCACCACTCACCACTCACCGTCACAACCACAACTCACCCTCACCACTCAACCTCACCCTGACTACTCACCATTCATCCTGACCAATCACCACCCACCACTCTCCACTAACCCTCACCACTCAACCTCACCACTCACCCTCACCACTCACCCTCAAAACTAACCACTCTCACCACTCACCCTCACCACTCAGCACTCACCCTCACCACTCACCCTCACAACTCACAACTCACCGCTCACCACTTACCCATCACCACTCACAACTGCCACTCACCCTCACCACTCACGCTCACCACTCACCCCTCACCGCTCACCACTCACCCATCACCGCTCACAACTGCCACTCACCCTCACCACTCACCCTCACAACAACCACTCACCCTCACCGCTCACCACTCACCCTCAGCACTCACCCTCACCAGTCACCCTGACCACTCACCCTCACCACTAACCCTCACCACTCACCCTTACCACTCAACCTCACCACTAACCCTCACCATCACCACTCACCCTTACTACTCACCACTCAACCTCACCACTCTTCGTCACCACTTACCATTCACTCTCACCATTCAGCCTCACCACTCACCGTCACAACCACGACTCACCCTCACCACTCCCCCTCACCACTCACCCTCACTACTCACCATACATCCTGACCAATCACCACTGACCAATCACCACCCACCACTCTCCACTAACCCTCACCACTCAACCTCACTACTCACCCTCACCACTCACCCTCAAAACTAACCACTCTCTCACCACTCACCCTCACCCTCACCACTCACCCTCACCACTCACCCTCACCACTCACCCTCACCACTCACCCTGACCACTCACCACTCATCCTCACCAATCACACCCTCACCACTCACTCTCACCATTCACCCTCAACATTCAGCCTCACCACTCACCCTCACCACTCACCACTCACCGTCACAACCACGACTCACCCTCACCACTCACCCTCACCACTCAACCTCACCACTCAACCTCACCCTCACTACTCACCATTCATCCTGACCAATCAGCACTGACCAATCACCACCCACCACTCTCCACTAACCCTCACCACTCAACCTCACCACTCACCCTCACCACTCACCCTCAAAACTAACCACTCTCTCACCACTCACCGTCACCACTCAGCACTCACCCTCACCACTCACCCTCACCACTCACCCTCACCACTCACCCTCACCACTCACCCCTCACCGCTCACCACTCACCCATCACCACTCACAACTGCCACTCACCCTCACCACTCACCCTCACCACTCACCCTCACCACTCACCCTCACAACAACCACTCACCCTCACCGCTCACCACTCACCCTCACCACTCGCCCCGACCATGTTGTGTTTGAAAGTTTTCAGGAGTTTTTAATAATATTTTTGCCCCGGTCAACGCCGGATATTTCCCATTCGTAGCAGTTGATATCGACACTATAATCAACTTATTTTAAAAGGGAACAGGGCGATTATAAATGAAACTACAACCATCGATTCCTTCGCGCGATTCAGATAATCGATTCTTGGCGTGTCGGGTTTAAAAGTAATTACACAGTTGTATTTTCATTGGCATGTAATGTTTTAAAGTTTTCAGAAGATTTTTAATGTATTTTCCCCCCGGGCACCGCTGGGTATATCGAGTTTATAACACAAAGTCGTCGCCTGAGACGTGTGGCGTGTCGAGGCCTAGTACCGTGCAGAGCCTCCAGCCTCGCCTAGATCGCCCACCCGGCCGAGGCTAGGGGCTGGGCCGCGACCCCCCCCCCCCCCCCCCCCCCCGCTACAATAATACTGTCTAATCGCTATAATTTTATTATCTACCGACCCTATAATAGTGTAGTGACATAAGAAGGGAGGGGCTGCTGGGGGCTCTGGGATTCCAGGCGAGTCCAGACGCTTAAGCCTCTGGGCGCAGAGGCGCTGGGTTCCCAGGGGGTCCAGACGCTTAAGCCTCTGGGCGCCAGGCGTTGGGTTCCCAGGCGCTTAAGCCTTTTTGGCGCCGCCAACGGGGGGGGGCTGTGTGTGCTCTGTGGGATGTCTGGTGGCGCACACGGCCCCACCCCTCGTTGGACCAGGCATAAAAGGAGAGCTCCCTGGACGATCAGGGCCCAGTTGTAACTCAAGACCCAAGACCCACGACCAGCCATCTGAAGACCCTGGGATGCTGTGAGAGCCAGTGGTGGGACTCTGGAACTCCCGACTCTATGACCTTGTGAGGGCGAGTTCCAGAGCGTAGCCAGAGTGGAGTATCTAGGCTGTGTACCTAGGCTGTGTACCAAGGCTGTAACAGAGTATCAGGACTGTTGGAGAGTTGGACTTGGAGTGTTGTATTGTAATAAAGAAGTTACCTCTACAAGTGTCTCCGGAACCCGTTACAATAGTAAGTGCACACATTGGGGAAGTGAAACTTTGATGTATTTACCTCAGCGTCGCGTGTTAATGCGTGTGGATATTTTTAACGGGAATTAAAAATGGCGTCCACCCGCAGCGAAGGCGTCGCTACCCGTTGCCAGGGGCAACCGCCGTGGTCCGCGCCGGTCGGCAATAGTAAATAAATAAATAGAAATCGCACAAAATCGATAATCGGACTGATTTAAAGGCGACGGACGAAAAATCGGAAATGCCTACGTTCACTGCGGGGCCGGGGGCGTGCCCATCTGCAAAAATATTTCTTCCTAAACCCCACGGCCCGAGCGCCAAATCCCTCGCAAGCGAGCGTACGCAGAGGGACAGACGGACAGACAAAAAGTGACGTTTATAGGTTAGATAGATACACACAGACAAAAACACTCTCTTACATGTACTCAAAACATTCTCACACATAGTAACACACTCAAGACAATTCCATACATCCACTCTCACACATTCGTACAAATAAATGCAAGCAAAATCACACTCATTACTTAAAAAAAAACATTCCTAAAATAATTATACAACTTAGCTCAGCTGCAGCCCAGCTAAAATGCACAGAATGATGTCTCAGTGGCCATGTTGCAAAGTGACCTGATACAACGGAAGCCATGTTGCATCAGGATTTTTGTCCTGGCAGCTGATTTGGTTGGTGTAACAAATGACAATCCCTAGCAACCACTGACACGTATCCTTATTCGAAAAGTGACTGCAACATGTCCAGATACTTCAAGTTTTACATGACGCTCTTTCGGTACCTATACTAATCAGCAGCTGGTAGGATTTACGCAGCTTTTCCATACTCAACACCCAGAATTCCTGGCAACAAATGACAGCTCAACAAAGTGGCTTATCGCGTGGACATTTACAGCAGCCAAACACTCTAAACGCATGTTGATTCTAAATGTGTAGGGAAAACCGGAGGACCCGGGGAAAAATCCACGCGACCACTGGGAGAACATGCAAACACCAAATATACAGGCATCATCAGGGTCAGGATAAAACCACGACCACCTGTATACCAGACGAGGTAGTTAATATCTCGCCACCATGACTTAATTGTGCCAGGAACAGTTTTAAGATGTAATCTGCCAGTCCTGACATTTGCTGTATTAAGTATATTTTATTTAACAGCAATTTATATTTGTGCAGTTTTAGAAATACAGGGTGTTTCAAAAAGATGAACCCAATTTCAAAGCAGTATATTTCACGATGGCAACATGTTACAATTACACAAAAAGTTACAAACGGTTTAATGAGTTAAGTTTTACTAACCATTTTATAAATGCTCTATGTGCCCTCCACCTGCTGTACAGACAACATAGAGACGATAGTTGAATTCGTCCCAAATGCCTCTCTTCTCACGTTTTTCTCTGAGGTGCGTGGTGATTTTTCAAACTTTAATTATGTTTTCTGTGCTTAAAACTCTTTAAAAAACTGTGGGGTCTAGAACGGACTCGTGAAATTCGGAGAGAACTCGGAGTTAAGTTTTGTTTGTTTTGTTGAATTACATAAAGTGTGCCATCTAATGGGGAAATGGGGGCATTACCGGAGGAAGGTAAAATTTAATTTAATAATAATATTTGGACATGTTCGGCGGGCCGGATTAAAAAGCCCAACGGGCCGTACTTTGCCCATGTCTGGGCTCGGGGCTGTTTGTACGCTGGGTAGAGGCATATAACGGTAATCATTTGAAACTATGCCTCACTCTTTCAAGTGGTAAGAGTTTAATTCATGGGCGGTTTGTGGTTGCAGAGATATAGCGATTTCAAATCAGGTCCATCCTGTACACTGCGATGTTCCTCTGTGTAATCCCAATTGAGTAACTTTGTGTAATTTTTCACTAATTTGGAAAATTAGAAGTGCAATGCCAGCACACAATGGCCTCCTCATTTAGAATTATTTCAAGGGATCTTTAATGTCCACTATTAAGCAGACGGTGCGTTGTATCTTATCCCTAATACACCTGCAGAAATAACAAGGGTGGGCTGCCGGATTCAAATCATGAACCTCTGCAACAAGCGGAAAACTCGCGACCACTGGGCCATGTCACAGTAACATTCTTACAGAAGCAGACGTCAAAAAAGCACGGGTTCCTTCAGCACCGTCACTTACCTTACTGTAGAGCACATCGAGCCAGTAATCAGCCACCTTGGCCACGGCAGCATAAACCTCCTGCAAGTTGGAGCCCTTGAGGAACGCCTCGAACACCGACGACTGAAAGATTTTGATGAGCTGTAGCTCTCCGCGCCGCTTCACCTCAAACCCCTTGAGTTCGGCCAGAGAACCGTCCTCGTTGAACACCGCATACCTGCGTCAAAAGGCAGCACAGGGACACTTGTACACGGCGACAACTCAAGCACAGGCAGACTCACAGACGTGCCATTTGAAAAACACTTGCAAATGACTTACTCTCTTTCTACTGGATATTATTATCATGCTTGTTTACACAGGAAAGCCTCACTGAATCTCAAGACATTTTTCATGAGGGTCCAGCCTAGTTTTCAGAGCTTTGCTGTGTATAATCCCAATAGAGTAATTTGCAGGTAATTATTCAGCTTTAGGATTTGATCTTATGTTATATAAATTTATATAGCGACTTATTCCAAGGAGCTTAACAACAATTATAAATTGGTACAAAATATAACAGTGGTTGAGATAAAGTGGGATTGTTATGGTGCCAGTTAAGAGAACAGGTGCGAGTGGTTAACAAGCGGTTGGGATGATTGGCCAATACCAGTTATATTGTGGAGATTTCTGTTAGCTATGGAAAACCCAGAGGAAAACCATGCCGAAGAAGTGGACATTATACAAACTCCACACAGAAAGCTGCCCAAATCAGGAATCAAACCTCGACGCTTCTTGCTGAGGCATAAGTAGCAACTATGATCTAAGAAGAATAGCAATGTAAATTGGGTAACCACTGAAAATCAATGTCTAATTTGGAAATATAGTTGATGGCTCCAGAGAAGTCTGTAGATTTGCTTTGGTTGATATAATTTCCAAAAAGTAAAAATATTTAAGAATATATTTATCCCAAACACCATTTACATTTTTCTAATAAAAATAAAGGTAAAGTTGCGGCCCTGCAATTTCTTATCATGGCACTGCTGCCGGAAGGGCTTCCACTGAAGTGAATTCTCGAGGGTATTTGGTTTATTTTTCACCATTGACAAGACGTGTTGAAAGAGGTGTACCTACCCACACTCTACCCCACCACATGCGACCGACCTGCTGATTGACTGCACTGTATCCATGTCTGGTAGGTGGATGGAGGTGGTGGGGAGGGATTTGAGAAATTTTTACCATAGTTTCAACAGGCTGGTGGAATCGAGCCGACGACCGCTGGATTGCAAGATCAGTGAGTGTGGTGCGAACCGTGACACCACTGTGACAGCTCCAATTATTGTTGAATCAGAGCTAAAATCATGACCTTTTTCCCCCAACCCACCTCTTCTTCAGTTTCTTGCCCTCCTCTTTGGACGCTGGCAGGATCATGGCCAAGTACGGCCCATCCACCTCGAAGAATATGGAATTTTCCGAGCGAGTCTCGTACCGAAGAGACCTGGGCTCGGTGAGCTCCTGGTACTGGTGGTTTGTAAAGCTCTCCTGCAAAACGCACAACACAAAAACAGCCGTGCGTTTTTATTTGTAACTAGCTTGTTAGCCCGTCCGAGGACGGAAGCTGTAATATTAAAGATGTAAATTAACGTTTAATTGTGATTGTTAATTTTATTTGGAAATGTAGCAACAAAAATATTTTTTTCTTAACTTAGTAAATGAAATTAAGGACTTTGGAAGATTTCTTGGTATACAATATTTTATGAATCTCTTATCACTGTTCAAAAGGTTTCCCTGCAGTTGGCTATCCTTGATGGACACTTTGATCTGCGGAGGATATCAGATCTAGACAGAGCCACATACAACTGGCCATGGGAAAATACGGGTTTATTGAGATAAATACCCAAATTTTCAAAAGTCTGATCCTGCAATTTGTTGATCGTCATCGCATACGCAGGAATTATCGGAATTTGTCGTCGTTTCAGTACGAAAGGAAGAGTGACATCACTTGGAGCTAGGTCGAGTCTCGGGATGAAGACGATTTCGCCTCGGTTGCAAAAGCGAACAATCTCTGTGGCTGTATAATTTGAAAAAACCCGTAATTTCACTTTAGCACTGTTTTCAAATCACCTGAAGCTGTTAACTGACAAATGTATCTTTACCGATGGACGCTTGATAGCGAAGAGTGAAGAAAGGAGAGTGCTGATAGTGTCTGAAGAAACTTAGCAAATAACGAAGCCCAAAGAGAAGCATTAGAGTTACGAATAAAATGATCAGAGTATAATTGTATCTTATCTAAATGTAATGGCAGGGATTATTGAAAAAAATGATGACATCAAACACTTAACTGCATTTCACTGTAGCACTGTATTAATGGCAGTGAATGTTGCACAAAAGGAAGTCATAAAACACCTCGCAGCATTTGACTGCAGCACTGCATTAATGGCAGTGGTTGTTGCACGCAAATGTGTCATAAAACACCTGACGGAATGTCACAGTAGCACTGTATTTAACGGACCTTCAATTACTTGAATTTCACTGCTCTGATACTTACTTATCGTCTGCTTTCGCTCGCTGGGGTTGAAAACAATTGGAATTCGATACAATGTCTGCAAGAAATGTTTATTGTAGCATAATTTGGAAGCGAAAAGTAGACTTACCTTTTGTTGGACGTGCCGAAGGAATAAATAAAGGCACCAAGTGCACTGTGATGCGGCGTAGAATTATTTATTGCCTTCACTTTCTATAAAGATACGTAAAATCGAAAGCGAATTTGCGTAAAAAAATTATCATAGCCGCTCGACCTTCTTCTGAATAATAATGAGGGGGGGGCATGTGGATTGACGTCACGTGCGAGACACACACACAGCCTTTTTTTGGCTCCTTATATTAGTTGCTGCGTTGATTTCTTTAATAGCTTTACTTTCCATAAATACAGGTCAAAATGAAAGGTAATTTGCGTAAACAAATGTTCGTTTCCACTCCACCTTCTTCATGCGGAGTGACGTCACCCGTTCATTATTAATGATGGGGGGGGGGGGGTCCATGTGGAGGACCTCACCTGTTCATAATTATTAGTCCGTTTGAACCACTTCTATGGGGAGGGTTTGTCGTGCTTGTTTGTTTCACACTTAACTTGTCATTTATCAATCTTTGGAAGAACGTAATCAACCAGGCTATGCGTTAACTATATGCTAACCGACTTTCTGTGTTGCATTGCATTACACTTCCTAATTTTACTAAATTTGATATCTACCGTGCTTGTTCCGTGCTTATTTATGGGTCCATTCTCTCCTCCAGCCACTATGGGCAGGAATTCCACACAACTCCCTCTCTGCCCCCCCCCCCTCTCTATTTAAGGCCTCGACACAGAGACGTTGCCTTTTTGTGTGCCTATGTGTGTCTCTCTCTGTTTTTCTCTGTGAGCCTCTCTCTGCTTGTGTGTATGTCTGTGTGTCTATGTTTTGTCTCGCTCTCAAATTTAGCAGTCTTTGGAGGAACGTAATCAACCAGGTGGGGTGTTGACTTGTGTTGGCCAACACTCTGTGTTGTATTGCATTATATTTCCAAGTTCACTATGTTCTTTTCTCATTCATTTGTACCTGATGATGGTTGCTTGTGTTGCAATCGAAATGTCGTATTCTATTATTATTTTATTTATTTCTACGTGACTTTACCGAAAGAACCAAAGAATAAGAGCATTGAGGCTGTACTTATTTCCTGCTTACAGCCATGAGCCAATGGTGGAATTCCACATTCTGATGGCAGGAGTGAGCTTATCCATAAGACAATTGACATGGAGCATGCTCCTGCATGTTCATATACATGTCATTTGGCATAATGTATAAATTTCGATTTAAAGCTTTCGTGACTGCAGGGATTCATCTTCTTGGTTCTTTCGGTAAAGTCACGTAGAAGGAAAATAATGGTGAGAATCTTTATTTATTTATTATTATTATTTTTCCTTCTATGTGACTTTACCAAAAGAACCAAGAAAATAATATGTATATTTACATGAGGTGTGTTCATGCATATTCAAATACACAGCACATTAGCAGAAGAACTTGGGCATGGCAGCGCAACATTTCTTGCACTGACTGAGAGAAATGGAATCACCTCAAATTAATTGTGCGTGAGCTCAGCTGTGTACCGAGTTCCAAATTAGAGACTCTAAAGTTCCCAGACAAACTCATGTTTTACGTGACACAAGACGTAGCATTACAAAAACCACTATCGAGTTCCCCACAAAGCAGTACTGATTTCATCGACCCCGGAGGCATGATGGGATATTAATTCGCAACCTTCCAATTGCGAGCCGCTTGCTCGACCACTGAGCCACGGGCCGGATGTTTCAATGACTGTCGTGGAGATGTGTGTTAGAACCTGACGTTGTCCTACAGGGTGCCCGAGGGCACAGGGCCACAACATACCTTGACCAGGATGTTGAGCATGGCGCCCGGGTACGAGACGGTGACCTTGGGCTTCTCGGCACTGCTCGTGTGGAAGATATAATTCTCGGGGAAGGAGCTGGGTAGTGCGCACCAGATCCCATCCGTGTCCAGCTCCAGCGGGCGGCTGCGGAAAGTCATCAGCGGCAAAGCAAATTAATCAGCACCGTTTAATCTGACCCGTTTAAAAGTGATATATCTTTAACTTAATATTTTTCACAAGCGTGTTGCAAGTGAATAAAGCATTGTCAATCGCTAGAACTCACCCGATCTGTTCCACGAGCTCACGGGCCTGCATGATAATGTTGGCTCCAGTGTGGCACACAATCCCGGCCATCTCCATCGAATACCAACGTGCCCTGCCACACGCAGAGGAACGGGGCAACACAACAACACGCTCATCCTCTCCTTAAACACGGGCGCAAGAGAGACATAGCAGGGCCGCACGTTTAGTTTAGCATTACTATTGCAGCAATACGTGGCAGGCTGACACCACATGACCTAAGCCGAAGCCGGCTGCACAAATCACACGTCAGTCTGTACCACATGGCAAAAGCACGAGTTGCATAATTTACACAAACACAAGATCCCTTGTACAAGACTGCTGGGGCTCATACTGCTAGCAAGCACCTAAGAGAGCCTGCGTAGTGTACAAATATTGTGGCAGAAATCTAGAACAACCCCCGGCCACTTTTGTCTCCCAGTGCTGATGTTTCATACACCAGACAAAGTACTCAGTTAAGGCTGAATTGACCTCAGGGAAGCTCAAGACACTCATCATCGATTAGAATCGGAATCTTTATTTATGCTAGAGGAGTCCGTTGACCTATATAGCTCTTTTTCATAAATTTCCAGTCGGGGCAGGTCAGAAAGTTACAACAAACAATAAAAAAACACAATAGAAGTGCAAAGTAGAGGAAAAGTAAGCAAATCATTTTAGTATATATCTATGTTCATATTACCAGGTAAAGCCAGGTAAAGCCTGGTAATATGGCTTATCGTGTTGGCCATGAGCAGAAACCGAATTCAATTTGCCGTGTTTTAGCACAATGCGCAAACGGCTGTGTTGGCGCTGCCAAAATAAATAATTTGGAATAATTTACACTCACGGGCACACAACTGAGAACAGTATTCCCTCGTTATTCACGAATTTGCTATTCGCAATTTTAGCTATCACCGAATCGCATTTGGAACTAAACAGGACTGCATCGAGAGAGAGAAAGAAAGTAATGAGATAAAGTGGTGATGCGGTAAGTTAATTTATAAACTATTATTTAATTTAATACTTCAATATATTTTTTTCATTAATGTTTATTAAAACCAATTAATTTATTTGCGTAATGATAATTTTCATGTATTTATGCCTTTCCGCAGCCCAATATCATTATCCACAACATTTTCTATTCACATGCATCGTACCCCTCGTGAAAAACGAGGGAATACTGTGTGCATAAAGAGGCATCGACACCCACCCTTTGCGCATAACGTATCCGTAGAAGGAGTTGAGGATGCACTTGTGTGCCAACTGCAGAGAGTCGTACAGGATCTCCATGTTCCGGCAGCGTTTAACCTCCGCGGCGTCACCGCTATCCGCGGCACTGCCCAGCTTGCGCTTCCAGACCTGCACCAAAACACACACACGCAACATGCGATGCCACGCATTGTAATACCACAGTGAGCAAAACATCACACCCAAGCCTTACACACCATCGGGGCAAGAGCTGCTAGAGCAGTGGAATGGCCCGGCAGTAGCGCTTTCGCCATTACAGTGAGTATTGCTACTCTGCCCTCTACTGGAGGGCGACTGCCCAGTACCGCCCTTCATGAGCCTCTTCCACAGAGGCCGATGTTGACACCGCTGGTGCCGGTCATCGGCAAGTCCAATCGGCTCCAAAACCTCCCTCAGCCCATCTCTTCTACAGCCCATACATAGGTACATACGCACGCACCTTGTGAAGGCCCTTGAAGTCGTAGCGGCGATCTCGGAACGCACGCACCGTGTCCACATAGAAGGAGTTCTCACGCTGGCACACGGTGGTCATGCGCTCTTCCATGCGCGTCACCCGCACCTTCTTGTAGGCCTTGTGGCAGTAATCTAGAGTGCACGCAAACACACGTGCATTCTAGACCTCTCTTTGTTTTTTCTCTTTATGCATGTTAGATGTTAAGGGTCAAGTTTTAAATGTTCAAGGTAATGTATTAGATGTTCAGGGTCAGGTGTTAGATCAATTTAACACGTAGGCTTTCGCGACCAATATTATTCATAATATAGGTTTTTGGGTCAGATCGCGTTATTATAAATGTGTCGAATCAGGTGCTAGATGTTCAGGGTCTGGTGTTAGATGTTCAGGTGTTAGATGTTCAGGGTCAAGGTGTTGGATGTTACGGGTCAGGGTGTTGGATGTTCAGGGTCAAGGTTCTGGATGTTCAGGGTCAAGGTGATTGATGTTCAGGGTCAAGGTGTTAGATGTTCAGGGTCAAGGTGCTGGATGTCCAGGGTCGGGTTTTAGATGTTCAGGGTCAGGTATTAGATGTTCAGGGTCAGGTGTTAGATGTTCAGGGTCAAGGTGCTGGATGTTCAGGGCCAGGTGTTAGATGTTCAGGGTCAAGGTATTAGATGTTCAGGGTCAAGGTGCTGGATGTTAAGTGTGAGAGTCAGATGTGTTGTTGTTAAGGGATTGGGGCTCTGGATGGCACCGCAGTTTACCTGCAAGGCGCTTCTTCTCGTACTTGGCTTGGTCCTCCCGGGACAGAGTGTGGAAGGCTCGCGGAGGTCCACCGGGGAACATGGATGGGAATTTTTCACTCTCCAGCTGCTGCTGGATGCGGTGAAACTCGCTCCGAGTGGCTGGCACTGTGAACGAGCGACGATATGATCACACACGTTGGAGCTGCCTGATATTGCAAAAGGATGGTGGACCAGAGAAGTAGATCAGAGCCAGAATCCAAGCATAACCTTGCTGAGTCTCAAGACTCTTTTTCATCATGGTCCTGCCATGTGTAATCCAAATTCAGTAATTTGCAGTAAGTATTTTAGCATTGAGATGTTTTTTGGCCAATACCAGTTACATTTTATGTTTTTGCTATGGAATGTATTTAAAAAACACAAAAACTCATGCAGAACTGGGGGAGAACAAACAAACTCCACACAGAAAGGCACCCGAATGGGAATCAAACCCAGGCCCTTCTTGCCGTGAGACACAAGTGCTACCATTGCTCCACTATCCGCCACCCCAAATTGCAAGTAATGCCATGGCACAAAACAAATAGTTCACTCACTGAACTCCCCACGCCACTGCCAAGCCATGCGACGCTGGCAGCTAGCACCTGGCTTGTTGAAGTCACAGGCTGCACACGTCGCCTCGTCCACCATGGCGGACGGCTGCAGTTCAAACAAAGGTAAAGACAAAGATCCACCATATAGACAGTTGGGGCAAGTGATGTTAGCAATCACCTATGAAGGCCGGCACGGCCCACAAGGGGGTGGGTGGCCAGCACCATGCCCAGCTGCATTTGTCTCCCCAGTGGTAATGTTTACACATCGCACCAGATATACATTTCAAGCCAAGTCGACCTAGGGAAGGCTCAGCACCAGTTCAGATAATCATCACTGGTGTTGACCGTGAGCGGGAATCGAGCATAGGTCACTGGGTTCGTTGCGCAGCACGCTAACCGCTACACTACCGCTGACCCCTTGCAGCTCAAACACACAGAGCATCCCTCGCAATCGCAAACGATGACTACTCAACTTCAGCCAAAATGTTGATCCATCATTAATATCTGGGTGAGGCAACATAATGATCTGGAGTCAAATGTGTGTGGTTCAGACACTCCACCACCCGACACGGCCACACAAATTAAACTGTCGCGCGTACAAGTGTCGAACAATGCGCCAATTAGAATTGTTTCAGCTCACTGGTAAGTTGAAGAATAATTCTCACTACCAAATTTAGCAATTTCATATGATGCTTCAATTAAAACTGCGTCAAACTTCATCAAGACAAAATCCAGGAAGTTAGAATAAAACTCCAGGACATAGTTTCAAATGAAACGTTGTACCTAATTTGATAAATTTGCTTGTGAGAATTGATATTCAGGCCACTGCAGAGCTCAAACAATAATTATTACAGTATAACACACTTGTGGTGGTGGAAAGCCTTACTGACACGCATGGTGGTGGAATTCCTGCAATCACGAAAGCTTCAAATCAAATTTGAACCACCTCTACAGGGAGGATTTAAGTTTGTTTTCTCTCTCTGTGTGTTTCTGTGTTATCTCTCTCTGCTTGTGTGTCTGTCTATGTGTCTCCGTGTCTGTGTTTTGTCTCTCCCTCAAATTTCACACTTAACTTCTAATTTAGCAATCTTTGAAAGAACGTAATCAACCAGGCTCTGCGTTAACTGCATGTTAACCGACTCTCTGTGTTGCATTGCATTACATTTACAAAATTTACAAAGTTTGTTTTCTCAAACTTCCTATTTCTCTCTCTAAAATTTGCCAGGTTTGTTAAGTTTGTTTTCTCCATTTGCTCTTTCTCTCCCCCGGCTGCTACGGGGTGGATTTCCACACAACTCTCTCATTGACATGCTAATTTCTCTACCCCCCCCCCATCTCTCTCTGCCCCAACCCCCATCCCCCCCCTCTCTCTATTTAAGGCCTCGATACAGAGGTGTTGTTTTTCTCTGTGCCTATGTGTATCTCTGTGTTGTCTCTCTCTGCTTGTGTCTCTCTATGTGTCTCCGTGTCTGTGTTTTGATTCTCTCTCAAATTTAGCAATCTTTGGAAGAATGTAATCAACCAGGTAGGGTGTTGACTGTTGTGTTAGCTGACTCTGTTTTATATTGTATTATATTTCTAAGTTTACTAGGTTTTTTTCTCATTCATTCTTACCTGATGACGATTGCGTGCGTTGCAATCGAAACGCCGTATTCTATTATTTAATTTATTTTCTTTCTACGTGACTTTCCCGAAAGAAACAAAGAGTAATTCCTGCAGTCACGAAGGCTTCAAATCAATACATTTTTCTTCTTGGTTCTTTCGGTAATCCTGCATAATGCACGGGCATAATATGACTTTGAAACCCCCCGCCTACCTCCTACGCATTTCCCATAAATATGCTAAATTCCTCTTGATATGCAAACTCTTTTGTCAAGGCGCTCTTCTGCCCCCTCCAACCCAGCTTAAATATACGCTCCAAGCTTGGTGGTGTTGCATTCTTCACCTGAGGACGTCTGCTTGCGTTGTGGCCGAAACGTCGTGAGAATTATTTTATTATGTTTTATTTTTATTATTTCCCTTCTACGTGACTTTACCGAAAGAACCAAGAAGATGAATCCCTGCAGTCACGAAAGCTTTAAATCGAAATTCAATACATTTTATTAATATGCTTGTTTGCTCAGGAAAAACCTCACCGAATCTTTACTCTATTTCAGGATGGTCCTGCTAAGTTAGGAAATCGCAGAACCAAGATAAAACCCATTCAGAGCAGGGAATGAATAAACTCAAAAGTCGGGAATCAAAACTAGGCCTGTCTTGCCGTGCGACATGATTGTTACCGCTACGTGACCGTGCTGCTCATATTCCTATCACGTCGCAATAATCCACCGAACCCATGTGCAAAGATCACGTGACGCTGAATGGAGCGTTGGGCGAGCGTGCAAGGCTGCACCTGCAGGCGGTTGGTCAGGATGATGTTGGGGTACATGGCCCCCACGTCCAGGTGGTAAATGAGTGGACACTCGATCCGGCTTGGCACTTCCTGCAAAGCACGAAGCTTGGACCGCACCTCCTCGCACACCTGTGTGGAGTGGGTGCACGCACACAACAGCAACGACAACCGCTGTTCAACGCTAAGTGGCGGTGACATCACCACGGTGCTTGTGCAAAGTTAGGTGAACCCTGAGGCCACGTGAAGTGTCTGAAGGCTCAATGCTGTGAGGTCATGAAACAGACCCAGATGTCATGGGTCAACTGAGATGACTGGCAGATGTGTCCCCTATGTGCCAATTGTGTCCCCTATGTGCCAATTGGCTGCCCCTCTACCCTCCACTGTTGTTGGTGGGCGACTGCTTCCAACTGCCAAGTAGCGTCTTTAATGAGCCTCTTCCATCAAAACAAATCTTGACACTACTGGTATCGGTCATCAGCAAGTCCACTCAACTCCACATATTCCTCTACCACATCAGCCCATCTCTTCTCTATCCAGTGCCGGGCACATTTAGCCCCCTCTATCCGACCAAATAGAAGCTGCTTTGGGAATGTGGGCTACATGACCCAGCCAAAGCAGCCTTGCTTAATGGAGGAGCTCAGTGATGGGACTGGGTCCAGATCGTTCAAGGATCTGTGAGCTCCTCACACAATCCAGGCTGGTTAAACCCAGGATGAAACGTAGGCAGGCCAAACTGAATGTTTCTAATCGGCGCAGATGTTCCATTCGAGGGGTCCACTTTTCACATGCATAGAGAAGGGAGGCCATAACAAACCTTTGGGTTTGAAAAAACCTGAAAGGTTCTTGCGGAGCGACGAACCTGGTAGCTTTCACACGGTGTTAATCAGCCAATGGAAACATAATACTGCCCCCGACTGATTCGGAGTGAGACCTCTGCTGTCAAACCGGAGCTGGTCAGAAGCACACTGCCCAGGTATGAAATCTTGTCCACTCCCTCCACAACTTCCCAATCACTCATGGGGAGTTGAGGGCGTGGAGTGTTTGATAGCACAACATATCCAGGCAGGTGCTTAGTATTTGGTGAGGCTGATGGTAAGGCCCCACCTCTTAGTGAACACTCGAGGTTCAGCATTAGAGCATCCAACTCTTTCTCAGAATGAGAAGCAATCACGAAATAATCATAAAAAATAACATGGTTGACTATAGGGAGCAAACCCTTGATCACACCAGGGCATCGATCAGCCTTTCATTGTATCTGTACCGGATAAAAAATTCCTCTGGTACAGCAATGAAAAACTTCCCAAACTATGTGGTCGAAAAATATGTTAAATAAAGTAAGCGCCACAAGACAGAAATGTAAGTCACGTTGAAATACCCTACATCAAGGACAGAGAATATGGCATCTATGCAGGACCGCTTCGGTCCTGCATAGATCCCCGTATCGACTAAACATAGTGGTGGGGCAAGTGCTTTTAGCGAGCACCTATGAAAGCCGGCATGGCACACAAGAGGGTGGGTGGCAAGTACTATGGCCGCCTTTGTCTACCCAGTGGTGATGTTTACACATCGGAGCAGGTCCTCATTTCAAGCTGAGTCGACTTAGGGGAGGCCCAAAACCGATTCAAAAAATCATCACCGGTGTTGGCCGTAAGTGGGATCGAACTCGGTTCGTTGGGTTCGTAGTGCATAACACTATCCACTGCTCACCACCTACGACACTCACCTGTTATCACACATCAAGGCTGGCTGCTGGCCACTAGTGATTTTTCTGGTCCCAACCAAAGATGTGTAATTTTCACATCCACCAACCTCAGAGAAGTTGTTGACCTTGTCCAGAGGAATCTTTTCCTCCTCCTCCAGCGCATGCTTCAGGGTGGTCTCAACCTTCTCCATGAGCTCCTCAAACACACCTGGGTTCTATCAGACACAGTCGCATGTTCGCAGCGTCACCCTCACTATCACTGATCAGTGCTCATCAGCACACAGTGGAAGTGTCCCGGCATCACCCTCGCCACTAATCGTCAGCAGTCAGATGTGGTGGTGCATGCCTGTAACCCAGAGACGGCATAGCGTTTAGATGCAAAGAAGACGCAACATTCTGCCACATGTTGGGAGGGTTTGAGATGTCCCGGCGTAAACGGTGCTCAATCAAAACAAATCATTATGATTCATCATCATTATAATTATTATTCAGGCACGTCGCGACACCACCACTGCAGGGAGAGAACATTGACACCAACCATCTTGAAGCGACAGGGAATGTCACTGCGGAAGACGCCGCACTCCAGGGCCTCCACGTGGCCCCCTACATAGGTCTCCGAGTCCAGCACGTGACCGTCGCCCGTTAGCCGGTTGAACTCCTCCTGCTGCTTGTTGGGGAACACGATGTTGGCATGGAATGCCTGCACCATGAGTAGTGCCTCGCACAGAGTGCCAGAGCCCTTCCGAAGCACCTGTGACAAAGCCAAAGACAAACATCCCCCGTATAGCTGATAACAGGCTGTAGGGGCAAGTGCTGTTAGCGAGCAATGCCTATGAAGGCCAGCACGGTACGTGATGGGGTGGGTGGCCAGCACCACGCCCGGCCGCCTTTGTCCCTGAGTGGTGATGTTTGCACACTACATGGTACTCATTTGAGGCCGAGTTGACCTAGTGGGGACCCAGGACCCCTTCAGATATTTGTCATCGATGTTGGCCGTGAGCAAAAATCGAACTCGGGTCGCCGGGTTCGAAGTGCAGCGCGCTAATCACTGCACCACCACCCCAAACCCGTGTGTAAGCGCATTCGCTGCCAGAGAGGGTGTTGTTAGCAAGCAGCTGTTTAACATCCCAATGATGAACTCTAAACCGTGTTATACTCGAGACAATGATGCTTACTATCACGCTTGTTTAAACATGAAAGTCCCACCGAGTTTCAATACTCTTTTTCAAGAGGGTCCTGCCATGTTTTTACAGTGGGCGGTGACGAATGGTATGTTTCCCAATTAATTAGCAAGTAATATAATAAATTTGGCCCCTGACACCAGCACAGGATGGCCGACTCTTCTTCAAATGCCATCACGGGATCTTTAACACCATCTGTGAATGTCCTGGGATCTATTCCCAACTGGGGCGCCTTTCTATGTCGAGTTTGTATGTTCTCCCCCTGTTCTACAGGGATTTTCTCTGGGTTCTCCAGTTTCCTTCCATAGCATAACAAAACATACAATCTTGACTTAAAGCTTTCATGACTGCAGGAATTCATACTCTTTGGGTCTTTCGGTAAAGTCACAACTTTACCGAAAGACCCAATGAGTATGTAAAAACATACAATGTAACCAGTATTGGCCAAAACGTCCCAATGCTGAAAAAATATTTACAAACTACTCGATTGGGATTATACATTGCAACATCGCCCCCTACCATGAAACTTGGCAGGACCCACCTAAACAAAAAATTATTGAAACTCATCAAGGCTTTCGAGTAAGCAATAAAAAATAGATAAATATTAAACCAAGGCATCCTGCCGGATTTGAAACAGCAACCTCTGCGACAAAATGGCACGCACAATACCACTGGGCCACGCGACGGCACATGTGGAGGAGTACTCGCCTCGTCCGGCTCCATGGGGATGATGGTGCAGAGCGCGAAAATGAACGGGTGCACGTATTTCATGTACATGTAGTAGGTGGCCACCGCGTCCGACACCGAGTACGTGGCCAGCGTCTACACGCAGACAGTGGGCAGCAGCAACAGTGGATCACAGACGAAGATCCCCCATATAGCCTTTAATAATAAATATAATGGTAATTTACTTATTTATTCAGGAATAAGACTCTTTTTCAGAACGGTCCTGCATTGGATTTTATTTTAAGAGGTTTTCAGACAATTAACGACTTATTCAAGTGCGAGAAAACCAGAGCACCCGGAGAAAATCCACGCACGTGAGGGGGGATACACTCGATCCCCATACAGATGGAAACCGATGGTGTGATTAGTCAACTTGCTCTATGGCCTTCTCATGGCAAGCCAGGGTATGGCAACTCAGAGCCCATGGAAAAGGGAATTTCACAAAATGTTTGCTGATCGCCAACTCTCGCCTCTATATAGAACTTGAAACGTGAACATTAATCGACATTGTGCCCACACCTGTGGCTCTTCAGCTGCCATGCGACACATCTCCTCGGGATCCAGCTCAACGGGGTCGTACCCCAGCTTCGCCTTGGCGGCCGCCTTGAGGTTGTGCGAGCCAACCGGCAGGTAGCTGTCCCTCTTCACCCAGCTGCTCGATCCCCACATATACACACGGCGCAAACTCACGATGGCTACCCGCGTGCACCTACGCAGGCGGGGTGTACCACGCCACTTCCCGATAAGCATTACACACAGCAACATTGCCCCCTACTGGCGGCCCAGTGCCCACTGCTGCGGATGCGGTAACTGTGCTACAATATGCGCCATCTGCTTCACGGTGGTCTTCGAGAAGCGGAGGTAACTATGTGCCGGCATCAAGGTCCATAATTACCTGTCAATTACATGGAAAAATTGCCACGTATTGTCGCATTGCATTATAAGAATGCAAATACTAAATTTGCATCAAAGTATTAGTTATAAGGCCGTGTGAAGTTGCCTTTTTCTGCACAGGCACAGCTACCATCATGGGGTCCACTAAGCAAAAAATAAATGTGCTCTAATAACATTTAGTGACATGATGTTACTATACGTAATACCAATGGAGTAATTTACAGTGAATTTTTCAGCATTGGGATTGTTTTGGCCAAAAACAGTTAGACTGTGTGTGTATTTTAGCTATGGGACGAAACCGGAGAAAGCACATGCAGAACAGAGGGAAAACATACAAACTCTGAAAGGTGCCCAGCATTCAGAATCAAACCCAGGACTTTCTTGCCGTGAGGCACAAGCACTATTTCTGCGCCACCTGCCGGCTATAACAATGTGCAGTGCAGACTTGGAAAAAAACTACAATTGTTGATGCTAACGATCATGACGATGACGTTGCAGAACATGTTACCGTAGACAGTCCATGTGCAGTGCTTGTGTGGCCTTGTACTCTCCCTGCGAATCCTTCTGGAACCCGGTCTCAATGAGCAGATCCAGGCCATGCTCGAGAGCACGCCGCTCCACAAACGGCCTCGAACCCCCAACACAAGACGCGCACACATGAACAACACTCAAACATATTACATACATCCATATGCAAGTACAAAGATCCCCGTATAGCCTTAACAGACTGTTGGGGCAAGTGCCCCGGCCGCCTTTTGTCTCCCCAGTGCCAATGTTTAGACACCGCACCAAGTATTAACATGATGCCGAGTCGACCTCGAGGAGGCCCAGGTGCGGTTCAGATAATCATCACTGGTGTTGGCCGTGAGCGGGAATCGAACTAGGGTCATTAAGTTCGTAGCGCAGCATGCTAACTGCAGCGCCACCGCTCCCCACTACACACAAACACACACGCACAAACAAGCAAGCAAGCTAATTACAAACACGTGCACATAAACGCATGCGCACACATGCACGAGAAGTGCTATATTACAGATTCCGATAAAGGCATTCGCATGAGAAGTTCACACACAGACTGACATGCACGCATATTGGGATGAGCTGCGTTTGCATCGGTTGAGACGCGTTGTGATCTGCGGACCTCACCAGTCAAAAGAGTCGCCGTTGTAGGTCACGAAGATGTTTGGTTTGGTTTCGTGGAGGTGATCGAAAAACCTCTGCAGGAGTCCAGCCTGTCCAAAGCACCGTGCAATGAGCTTAGTTTACAAGCTATCACGTCTCACCAACTTAAACTTGGACCTAAACTTCCATGTACTTTCCATATGGGACATGAAGAAAAATAAGTTCTTAAGTAAAAGCCGGCAATGGGCAGATTTTGATTAAACATGATCTGTTACAAAAAACAAAAGATTTATATTTGGCCGGATAGCTCAGCGGTGGAGCGAGCCATTACCAAAGTGGAAGGTTGTGAGTTCAAATTATAGTTGGGGGTTGACTCAGCCCATCATCCCTCTAGGGTCGATTAAATGAAAACCACTTTCTGGAAATGACAATGGTTGTCCTATGGATAAACTCGCCCCCACCATAAGAATGTGGAACTTCCACCATTCGCTCAGGGATGCAAATGGGACATAACCATCAATGCCTCAATCCTCATTGTTTTTTGTTTTCTGTCCTTATTTTTGTTTATTGTTTGTTGTTGTAACTTGCCGATACTCCCCACCTGGACATCTGTGAAAACGAGATTAATATATCATTGGATTCCCCCAGTCTAGATAAAATAAAGATTCTAAATTGAGCACCAAGTCACTCTGAGCTTAAGCTGGTTTAATGAAACATCAGCTGTACCTCATCGGCCTCGTTGAAGATGGTGAAGGGACCTTCATATTCGGGCTTCGGTGTAAACTCAAAGTCCTCAATGTCCTCCGAGACGACCTCCCGGTTGGTGATGAGGTATCCCTGGAGACGTAGCCAAACGTGCCAAATTATTACTCCATCACACCGGTGTGTTCGAGAGCAATCTCACAACATTTAACAAATAGGTACGGCCAGTTGCAAGAAATTGTGAATAGGTAGTGCGATGTCATCAAAGTGCACCCACAACGGAAGAGGAAGTGGCAGCAAGTGAAACTTAGATGTTAATATATTCACATGAATGATGTTATGAAGCTGATAATACATTATTTTAGATATGTTAACATAAAGGTATACTTATCTGGTGAAACAAGTTAGTTATACTTAATTAGTTGTACTAAATAGTTGTTAAATTATAAAAAATATATTATACAGTATATGTGAATGTGAGGTACAGATTTACGTGATAATACTGGTTAGTAAGTCAGTTATACTAAATGGTTAGTCACGTTATAATTCAGCTGGATTATTTTCAATCAATGTGTAGTGAGCGACTTCCATGACACGACGTGCAGAGGGCTCCTTTTATATGTCTCACACTTACAGGCACAATCACCATAATGAGCCAAGAATGTCTATTTGTGTGAAACGCACGTGACATCACTCCACATGGCGCACCCTCCCCCCCGTCATTAATATTCATGAGAGGGTGACATCACTCCACATGGGGGGGGGGGCGAGGTGCCTCCTCCCCCCTCCTCAGCGTCAACTTATAACCCTCACTACAAAGGCAGAACCCTCACGTCACGCGATCTCAGTAACGCTATTGAGACATAGAAGTAAAAAGGACGTCATGATGAACAAGAGATTATAACCTTTAAATGAAATAAGTCTGTCACCGCGCCCTTACAAATTGCACACGAATTGATGCAATGAATATCACGTCGCGGTCTGCTTTTCGCTTGCAAGTTTTAGATTTACTGAAATACACCTGTCCTTGGACAGGCAAAAGGCGAGTATATATATGGGGCTACGCATAGGTGACCCATCCACACAGCCCCATCGTCGGCGTCTAACTATATAACTGGCTGACTAATATAGAGGCGACGACGATGGGAGCCGTACAGCGGATCGGCCATGCGGCTGGACGATGGAGAAGAGATGACGGCGAAGACAGCGACGGCAGCCAGGACCCGGACCCAACGACAGCCCCGAATTGTCGGTCACGTCCCCCCTATATACTCCTCGGCGTGGCCAGGCCCCGCCTCTAGCCACGCCCCTTCTAGAACCTTCGAGCAGGTTCCCAGAGATTCCAGACTGACCCCACCTTTAACCTTTAGCACAGTTACACCCCCCTCATAATTGGTTATTATATAACGCACCCTTACCCATGATTATCCCTTCTGGTCATTACAAATGTACACACACTTTTTTAAAAGGTTGGCATGTTATTATTTAATGATACATTTCCAAGCTGCACTCATCCTAAAGCTGTCTGCTTGTTTGAAATTATATTTACTTATTTTCAATTTAAACATATTCTCCAGTTATTCTTGTCCAATCGTTATTAATTTTACATAGAACATTATCAAAATGGAGAGTCCTTGTTGGCAAATATGTTCCGCAACTGCTGACAATTGTGTTTGTGACTATTTTATATTCCAAGAAAACATGACAGTTGGAGAACATGCCTGCCAATAGGGTCATCAGCTGATTTTGATTAATGTAAAAAAAACCAGGCCAACTTAAATTAGGAGTTTCACTTACTTTCAAATTAAATTCCAGCTCTAGGAATTTTGTTACATCAGTGTGACTGACATAACAATAGCGAGCGGTAGAGCGTTCGCCGATAATGAGAGATGTTCATGATTCGAATCCGGCAGGCCACCCTGGTTAATACTGCGCATGTATTTTCAACAAAATACTACGCAACTTCTGCTTCAGTGGACACGAAATATCTCACGACTTCATTTGAAGAACAGTCGGCCGCTGTGCACTGGTGTCAAGGTCCAATTTATTTTTTAAACAAATTACTTGCCAAGTAGCTATCCCTCAATTTATGAACGTTCGGTTTACGAAATTTTGTGATAATGCAATTGACAAATTATGGATTTTTTTCCATTTAAAAAATAAAATTTCCACGTAAACGAAGTTCAAATGGCACACGCCATAAGATGATCAAACAAAAAGCACCCGGGAGGCTGCGTGATCCATCCACGTCAGCAACACGGTGTCCCTGCAGTGCAACGAAACCGCCTCTACATCAACTTTCCAGGCATTCCAACATGCAGATCTTTGGTGAGTTCCCAAGAAAGGTAAAAAAAATGTTAAAATTAGTTATATGATAATTTTAATGTATGTTCATTATTCTAATTTTTTAATTGTGAAGTGATTTCGGTGTATATTTTTAGGTTAGTAACGCTGGAATGACTATCTAAAGACATCCATAATTTTTTGTATTAAATAAATTGGAAAAGCCATACCGATTCACGAAATTTCGTATTATGCGTGTTTTTTGCAGAACACATCTCTTTCATAAAGAGAGATACCTGTACTTAATTGGGAAGCACATGGCAATCATCACCCCAACCGTGAACACTTAGCGGGACCCTCCTGAAAAAGAGTCTTGAGACTCGGTGAGTTTTTTGGAGACCTGAAAGTGACTGAAATTTCAAACGACAAAATCTGTGAAAACAGGCGATAAGCAACGCTACTCTTCATGACAGACATGTGACGTGACTTGGCTGGACCCAACAATGGAGCCTGTAAACAGGTGACCTTACCTGGCCATCAACCATGTATGAGATCATCATGATCTGGTCTGTCTCAGCATCGGGGAACTTCAGGGGCAGCTTGGTCGTCTCGATGTCAAAGGCCAGAACCACTGGGTCCTGAAAACAACCACGGTAATCTGGAATTCACAATCACCTTAGCGCATGTGCACATCTAATAACACTGGCCAGCCGTGAACCTCCATCATTACCACATTGCGGACGTTCACACAATACACCTGTAATCCTTTTAGGCTGAGTTAACCTAGAGAAAGCCCAGGTCAGGTTAATATACCAATAAGCACTGGTGGATGTGCATTGCTAAGACTCCAACACATTTTGGCAGATTCAAAGCGCAGTGCGTGAAGCACCGAACCACCGATTCCCATTTCTCTCAATACTAACGAAACTTAATTTGGAGCTTTCGTGACTGCAGGAATTATTCTTTGGTTCTTTCGGTAAAGTCACGTATAAAGATAAAATAATAAATCAAATTAAATACTAGCATACAACGTTTCGATTGCAACACAAGCAATCGTCATCAGGTATAAATTAAATAGAAACACAAATCTAGTATACTTAGAAATGTAATGTAATATAACAGAGTCGGATAACATAACAGTCAACACCCTATCTGGTTGATTACGTTCTTCCGGAGAATGCTAAATTTGAGAGGGAGATTAAACACAGAACCAGAAACATATAGACAGACATATAAGCAGACAGATATCACAGAGATACATAGAGAGAGAGCAAACATAGGCACAAAGAGAAACTTTACCGAAAGAACCAAAGAATAATTCCTGCAGTCACGAAAGCTCCAAATTAAGTTTGAACCACTTCTACGGGGAAGTTTTAAGTTTGTTTTTTCTCTCTCTCTCTGGGTTTTTTCGTTGTCTCTCTCTCTGCTTGTCTATCGGTCTTCGTGTCTGTGTTTTTTTAAATTTCACACTTAACTTCTAATTTAGCAATCTTTGGAAGAACGTAATCAACCAGGCTATGCGTTAATTGTGTGTTGACCGACCCTCTGTGTTGCATTGCATTACATTTCGAAATTTTTGCTAGGTTATTTAATTTAGTGTGTCTCTCTCCCTGCCTCCTAATTTTTTCAAGCTTTCGCACCGTACCACTCATCGTGCTACTCATTGACATGCTAATTTCTGTAACCCCTCTCTCTCCGCCCCTGCCCCCCTCTCTGAAGCTTTTTACACCTTGCCACTCACCGTTTCCACTCATGGACATGCTAATTTCTCTAACCCCTCCCTCTCTCTCCCGCCCCCGCCCCCCCTCTCACTATTTAAGGCCTCGACACAGAGGCGTAGTTTCTCTTTGTGCCTATGTTTGCTCTCTCTCTATGTATCTCTGTGATATCTGTCTGCTTATATGTCTGTCTATATGTTTCTGGTTCTGTGTTTAATCTCTCTCTCAAATTTAGCATTCTCAGGAAGAACGTAATCAACCAGATAGGGTGTTGACTATTATGTTATCCGACTCTCTGTTGTATTACATTACATTTCTAAGTATACTAGATTTGTGTTTCTATTTAATTTATACCTGATGATGATTGCTTGTGTTGCAATCGAAACGTCGTATGCTAGTATTTAATTTAATTTATTATTTTATCTTTATATGTGACTTTACCGAAAGAACCAAAGAATACTAACGAAATTAAAACAAATCTTCACTTAAAGCTTTCATGACTGCAGGAATTCATATTATTTGGGTCTTTTGGTAAAGTCACATAGATGGTTCTGTTATATTCTTTGAACCATCTACAAGACTTTACCAAAAGACCCAAAGAATAGAAATAAAAACATCTCCCGTTCAGCCTGAAAGGCTGAAGGGTAAGTACAGTTAGTGATAACCAGTTAAGGATGGCACTGCGCGCGAGGGGGGTCGTGTTCAGAACCACTCCCCGCTGTATTCGTCTCCCCAGTGCAAACGTTTAGACATTGCATGAGGTAATTATTGAAGGCCGGGCTAACCTATGAGAGGTCTAGGACAGGTTCAGTTACCACTACCCCATTATTATGCACATAGCCAGAAATTGAACACAGGCAGTCAGGATTGTAGTGCAATGGTAAAACCAATCAGCTACCACAAACGTTTAAACACACATAGCTATCAGCTTGTGCGCCTACAACAATAAGTGTCGAAGGCCCTCTGGCAGAACGTCACGGAACGAACCCAGGTGATTAACTGATATGATTGGCAGATGCACCAACTGTGCTCCCCACGTGCCAACTCTCTGCGTGTTAGCCGCCCGGCGCTATGCTCGTTTGTTGCTATGAGCGTCGCTCCTCTGCCCTCCATTGATCCTGGAAGGTGACTGCTTCCAACTCCCCAGCAGCGTCCTTCACAAACTTCCTCCAGAGGCCGATCTTGACACTGCTGGTACCAGTCATCGGCAAGTCCAATCAGCTCCACATCCTTATGTACCACATCTGGCCATCTCTTCTCTAGTACGTGCCACTCCCGTTTAGACCCATCTATCCGGCCAAACAGAAGAAGCTTGGACATGCGGTGGCTGAGCATGCGGGCTAGACGACCCAGCCAAAGACACAGACACATGCACCGACACACGGCTCTGCACTCGTCCCCCACTCCAACACAGACCCGACAAGACTGCAAACTCACCGGCCGCTCCACCAGGTCATCTCTCCGGGTGATCTCAGGGGGAAAAGCACTGCCCCGAATCCGCACGTTGTACCAGTGTGCCTGCATCACAACAGAAATCACCAACATGTTGCGCCAGTGGGTGCGAATCACAACACCACAACAAAATAATAATCACTATTTATCTGAGTAATGACATAAACCATCACCACCAGAATCAGGCTACATACAAAATGACAAAAATTGGGCAGTGTAAGCATTGGGTTCTACCCATCTCAGTCCTGAGCCAGTGATGGAAATTCCACATTCCAATGGCGGGGGCGAGTCTATTTATAGGACAACCACAGTTGTAATCCTCACAAAGTATCCATTTTAGCAACCCCAACCTACCACCGCTCAGTCAACTTGAAATCTTTTGCTCTACGGCAGATGAACTTGCAGACTAATTGAAGGAATGAGGCAGAACAAATGAGACAGAATGACAGATTCGTGGTGACATGAACAAGTCACTCACCACGTGTATCTTGAGTTCTATGGCCACGCGCACGTGATAGGGGACGTCATACTCCCGAATGTCCGTGATGTTCTCCATCTGGTCAGACATTTTCTTGGAATTGCCCTCATCTTCTGCCAGCAAGTTGCCTCCAGACAGCGCACTGGGACCAAGAGTAAAACAATGTTTCGAGAACGTTTCCTATTCAAGTAGTAACTTGATTAGTTTGGAGATGAGCTCATTAATTAGCACAGCAGGGTGATGCCACGTTCACACTTGTGCCTCACAATAAGAAGGGCCTAGGTTCGAATTGCAACTGGTGTCTTTTTTTTAGGAGTTTGCATGTAACTCCTGCTCTGTATTAGTTTTCTTTGGGTTTGTCTGTTTCCTCCCTTAGCTAATTAAAAAAAGGAAGTGGTATTGGCCACAATATCCCAATGATGAATGATTACCTTATTTGGGAAAACACATAGCAACATTGCCCGCTCTCAAAAAGTCTTGAGATTCAGGCTTTCCTGGGTAAACAAGCGTAAATAATAAACAATGTTTTTACAGACGGTTTGCGGTTTACGACGGTCCGATTTATGACGTTTTATATTCACGACGTTTATGTCATGCACCAATGATCGATTTATGCAGGAAGTTTATTTGTGACTCACCTTCCGACATGACTCCAAACACATTGCAACAGTCAGTCTTGTTTCCGATGTGATTTGCCATGGTGCTTTTGATATTCTCAAGTGTGTTTGTTGATTTTGACCTATTCAACCCTGTTAAATATGGCCGTTAAAGAAAAAACGCATTGGCAAGTGATGTTTCTGCTTCTACTGTCTATGGGAAAAGAGGGTCCGACTATCTAATTCACTATGGGGTTTCCAGGAAGGCATTGTGTTATAAAAGTGGGGACTGCCTGTACTTTTGATTTCTGAGCACGTGCATAACAATTGAGACTCATAAAGGCCGTTAGTACTCTTGTGTTTGAGTGGCTCCAAATTGAAATGTCACCTGCTATTGGCAGGTGACATTTCATGCAGCCAAGGCAATGCAGCCTTTCATGGAATAAACTTGTTTTCACTTCTCAAGAGCCTGAGCGCCATGGTGGCGAGATGTTACCTCTCTCGTCCGGTATGCAGGAGGTCGTGGGTTTGATCCTAACCCTGACACCTGTATATTTGGTGTTTGCATGTTCCCCTGTGGTAGTGTGAATTTTTCTCGGGGTCTCCCGGTTTTTCCCTCCACATTTAAAAACATGCATTTCCAGTATTTGGCTGCTATACATTTCCAAGTGAAGGACTGAGGCGAGGGGACCAAGTGAGGCGAGGGGACCGAGTGAACAAGGGGACCGAGTGAGACGAGGGGACCGAGTGAACGAGTGAGGCAAGGGGACCGAGTGTACAAGTGAGACGAGGGGACCGAGTGAGACGAGGGGACCGAGTGAGACGAGGGGACCGAGTGAGACGAGGGGACCGAGTTAACAAGGGGACCGAGTGAACAAGGGGACCGAGTGAGACGAGGGGACCGAGTGAACGAGTGAGGCAAGGGGACCGAGTGTACAAGTGAGACGAGGGGACCGAGTGAGACGAGGGGACCGAGTGAGACGAGGGGACCGAGTGAGACGAGGGGACCGAGTGAGACGAGGGGACCGAGTGAGACGAGGGGACCGAGTTGACAAGGGGACCGAGTTAACAAGGGGACCGAGTGAACAAGGGGACCGAGTGAATGAGTGAACAAGGGGACCGAGTGAACGAGTGAGACGAGGGGACCGAGTGAACAAGGGGACCGAGTGAGGTGAGGGGACCGAGTAAGAGGAGGGGACCGAGTGAACGAGAGAGGCGAGAGGAACTGTGTGAACGAGCAAGGTGAGTGAACTGAGTGAGATGAGGGGACCGAGTGAGGTGAGGGGACCGAGTGAGCGAGTGTGGCATAACGGAGAGGCGTCACTGCACGGCCCAGCTACCCCACAGGGGCCACCCCTCACCTTGACAGCATGCTCGTGTAGGCATCGTTGGATTTCTCTCGCTCACGATTCTTGCGGATCGCCGGGAACACGTCTTTGCGCACCTTGATGAGGTCCTCCGTGGTGATGAAGCTGAGCTTGATGTAGGTGTGCTTCAAGCCCACCAGGTGATTGGGCTGCGCATGTGGACAGAGCGGCAAGCGCGTGCATACACGCCCTCATTTATTGAGCAAATATTGTTTTTATTGCAGCACCGGTAACCAAATGAAATAGACGATAAAAACGATGGTTACCAATTTCAAATGTCTGGTAATAAACGCGGTATGCTTAGGTTTTTAACTGAGAAAGGCAAGGAGCTGCCATGGTGTAATGGTTAACACACTGGACTTGCAAGCCAGCGGTCACCGGTAAAATTTTGCAGTTGGAACCATGGGGCAAGTTTCTGAAATACCCCCTACCGCCTCTGTCCACCCAGCAGTGCGCGGTAGGCCCACCTCTTCCAACATGTCTGGTCAGGGTGGAAGAGTAGACCAATTATCCATGACAGCTCCCTCTATCAAAGGCCAGTTGGCCACCAGTGGAGTCCGAGTAATTGCAGGACTGCACCTTTACTTTTTAGCTGATAAACGACAGATAATGCACCACGCGGTGTGTACGTTTGCTCATGCCAATCAGGGCATTCATTATTGATGTTCCACTGGAAACGGCGACCGGTTCCCGACTTTCGGAAACTGTTATCGATTCTGGAACCGGTAACCGGTTTACCGCGTGATAGGCTGACGCGCGTCCAGCCACGGTGTCTCACAGACGAGTGCAGCCTCACCAGATCCAGGTCCTCTTTGGCCACCATCTCTATGCCTGACAGCTTCCCTTGAAAACGGCGAGACAGGAATGATGACACCTCGCGCTCGCATCCCTGCGGGGAAACACGGCGTCGAGTGAGTGTGCGCAGGGCAACACGCGCACGTGCGTACGCACTGGGGACACACCCGTCGACACAACTCAGCTACGCGGTGATGCTCACTTCTACACAGAGATCCTTCATGTAGCCCACACAGGGGCATGTACTGTTATAGTAGGACAGCTACAGGCTTAGTGCGGCCTGGAAGTGTATTATCAAATAAATACAATTACAATTCCTTATAAGGGAAACAAATAGCAATGAATAACAATTGAATGATTACCAATCTATATAATTACAATACCTTCCCCCTCCTTACCTAGAATCACTGCACCAGATTGAATTGAATTAAATGACGTCACCCTGATGCTGCTCTATTTAAGACCGGAAGCAACAGGAGAGCTTCACCATTCTTGCCCGATGAAGCTGATTGTAATTATCAGCGAAACGTCGTACTCAAATTTTTAAATGCTGTTGATTCTCTCTTCAGCACACCGGTGGGCTAAAGAAGTCAATTAATTTGTCCTTTGAAAACGTGACACATTTTTTACTGTTTGGCCATGTCGGGTGGTGGAGGGTTACGACACATTTATAAATAACGCGATCTGACCCAAAAACCTATACTATGAATTGTGAATGTGTGTCTGTTCGAAATGTTTAGCATACTTCCCGACATGCAACAAACTTTAAATTTGGCATGTAGGTAGCTTCCAGATAGTACACAATGCAAAAAGTATGAAAATAGACTTTTCTATTTTGGGGGGGGGGAGTGGCGCAATAATGGATATAATATATTGCACGGCAAGTGAGCGGTGACGTCACATCTGTCTGTGACGTCACCCGCATGTGGCAGCGTTACGCAGTGTGCCTGCTGACGTCACGCATCCCCCCCCATACCCTCCGAAAGGCCGTCTATCCTGCACGAATGCGCTGCATAGCTATCTCGATTTTCTAAGTCAACGCGACTATTTTCAAGCTCGCTCTTAAATATAAAGCAGAAAATACATCTGTTTGTGTGAAGCAGCAAAAACTATCAAACGCTGAGCTCTGACGTCATAAAATTTGCACAGCTTATGCTGTCTGGAATTTTCAGCTTGCCACGTCATTCCCTTCCCGAGTTGCCTAAATCGACCTTGCGTATAAGTGGGTTAAGGTGAATAAACAACCGATATAGTTACATTATTATTTAATTTTTCTTTCTACATGACTTTACTGAAAGAACAAAAGAGTAATTCCTGCAGTCAAGGAAAGCTCCAAATCAAGTTTGAACCACCTCTACGGGGAGGTTTTAAGTTTGTTTTCTCTCTCTCTGTATGTCTCTGTTGTCTGTATGTGTCTCCGTGTCTGTGTTTTGTCTCTCTCTCAAATTTCACACTTAATTTCTAATTTAGGAATCTTTGGAAGAACGTAATCGACTCTGTGTTGCATTGCATTACATTTCCAAATTTCACTAAGTTTGTTTAATTCAGTGTGTTTTCTCTCTCTCTGTGTCCTCGTGTTGTTGCTCTATCATTTCCTGCAGTTTGGTTTCTCTCTCTCTGTGTGTCTGTGTTGTCTCGCTCTGCTTGTGCGTCGGTCTTTGTATCTGTGTCTTGTCTCTCTCTCAAAATTTCACACTTAACTTCTAATTTAGCAATCTTTGGAAGAACGTAATCAACCAGGCTTTGCGTTAATTGTGTGTTGACGGACTCTCTGTGTTGCATTGCATTACATTTCCAAATTTTACTAAGTTTTGTTTTATTAAGTGTGTTTTCTCTCTCTGTCCTCGTGTTGTTGCTCTATCATTTCCTCCAGTCACGAAAGCTACAAATCTCTCATTGACATGCTAATTTCTATACACCCCCCCTCTCTCTCTATTTAAGGCCTCGACAGAGGCGTTGTTTCTCTGTGTGCCAATGTGTGTGTCTCTCTCTGTGTGTCTCTGTGTTATCTCTCTGCTTATGTGTCTGTCTATGGGTCTCCGTGGCTGTGTGTTGTTTCTCTCTCAAATTTAGCAATCTTTGGAAGAACGTAATCAACCAGGTAGGGTGTTGACTGTTATGTTAGCCGACTCTCTGTGTTGTATTGCATTATATTTCTAAGTTTACTAAGTTTAATCTAGATTTGAAGCTTTTCTTACCTATATAACCTCTTACCACAGCATCTCTCTCCAACTTCAGCAAAACAAATTATTGCTGTGGTTTTCCCACCTGATGATGATTGCTTGTGTTGCAATCGAAACGTCGCGATTTATTTGACTTTATACCTACGTGACTTTACCGAAAGAACCAGAGTATTTACTAGGTTTGTTTTCTCTTTCATTTGTACCTGATGATGATTGCTTGTGTTGCAATCGAAACGTCGTATGCTATTATTTAATTTATTTTTTCTTTCTATGTGACTTTACCGAGAAAACCAAAGAGTAATTCCTGCAGTCACGTAAGCTACTGCGGTATTATTAACCATTAAATTATACGCGCTGTCAGTTTCACAGTGGACATAAAAAATGCCTTTATGTCATTCCAGAGACGATCCGCATCTAAGAAGTTTCAATTTAACAAGTTTCAAGTAATTTTATTCAACCAAGTGAGAACTCAAAAAAACAAGAGGAGTCTTATTTGTAAACATAACCTAGGGCATTGGTCTGCCAGCGCAGGCAACGAATACCGCTCACACCCATGAGTCATAGGTGACGGGTTCCTTTGCTCGTCTGTACTGCTTATGTTTAAAATTCAGCATCGCGAGTCGGCACTTCATTCCTATGATTAACCAGTGGTGTTATATCCCATTACTTAATCCCAATTGAGTAATTTGCAGGTCATTTTTTTATGTGACAGTGCATGTTACACTATGGGGACCTCATTTGCCAGTAAAAATATGATAATTGGTTCTTTACCCTTCTATCTGGCAACAAAACTGACACCTTTTTACAAGGAGTCATGTTTGCATAGACCGCAATACCTGCAGTCATAATACAAACTAAAGAACATAACTCTGATAATGTGCACTGTCCTTGAAGTTGATTGGTCCACACCCGAGACAGCTTTCCTTCGAGCCTAGTCTCATATGGGTTGGACCAGATGACGCCATCTGGTCCAACCCATATGAGACTAGGCTCGAAGGAAAGCTGTCTCGGGTGTGGACCAATCAACTTCAAGGACAGTGCACATTATCAGAGTTATGTTCTTTAGTTTGTATTATGACTGCAGGTATTGCGGTCTATGCAAACATGACTCCTTGTAAAAAGGTGTCAGTTTTGTTGCCAGATAGACGGGTAAAGAACCAATTATCAGTGCATGTTACCTTTTTAGTAGCGACATAGAAGTAGGGCTTGAACGGCAGAGCCACCTGAGGGACACGAAGTTCAAGCCGTCACTTTCCACACACAAACCATACAGTACAGGTCACGGAAAATGTAGAATACATATCTGATAGAGGGCCCTGTACACTGGGACATCTCACAGCTCTTTACAAGTGATAAGCAATTTATATCTCATCTGAAACATTTGATAGGGCATATCCAGTGGCAGCTGTCTCTGTGGACACCTTGTGACTCAGCACCTGGTCTAAACTTTACATGAGGAGAGCGATGGTTGCTATGCGTAATTGTAATGTCGGTCTAACACTAATGAAGTAGACTAGCCTCATACTTACCGCAGTCATACATATTCTGAATCACACGCACTCTCCTGTGTGCCACTGCGGGTACAAATTCTGAACCGTGGACAGCATCACTTCCCACTGACCCGATATACACGTTAAGACAGTGGGTGGGTGGGTGGGTGGAGGAGTATATCTGCAATTCACTCACAGACAAAGCAACAGAATAGCTAAATCACAACTGAAAGTGACTGAAATGCAAAACTGACCTTAAATCTGCTCCCATCTTCTCGAATGAAGTAGTAGTCCACTGCACTCGTCAACCTCTTGTCTTCATCTAAGATATCCGTCTACGAGACACAAAATGACACGACAAACACTCTTAGGCTACTTGTGCTTACAAACTAATGCAATGGTGTATGCAGATTGTTATTACTCTACTTGCTTACCCAGGAAAGCCTCATGGAGTCTCAAAACTTTTTTAGAAGGTCCTGCCGAGTTCTCCAAGTAGGTGTTGATGCTGCTACTGTGTAATCCCAATTGAGTCATTTGCTGGTATTTTTTTAGATCAAAGTATCCTTCGATATACAAATGTTCGGTTTTACGAAATTTCGCGTTAGCACAATTGACAAATTAAGGACACTTTTCGATTAACTGAATCGAATTTCTGCGGTCAGGAAATTTCACACGGCAAGCGCCATGAGATCAAACAAGAAGCACCCGGGAGGCTGCGTCATCCATCCGCGACAGCGTTACGGTGTTCTTGCAGTGCAACAGTAATGCCTTCACATCACCTGTCCAGCTATTCCAATATGCAGCATATATTTTAGTGAGTTCCTTGAAAAGGTAATTTTTTTATTAATTACTATTCAACAGTTTTTATATTTGTTCTTATTTCTTATTTTTTTTTATTGTGAAGTGATATAGGTGTATATTTTTAGGTGAGGAGTAGAGTTCGTATGGCTGTCCGTAACACATCCTTAATTTGTTGTTCTAAATGAAAGGGAAAAGCTATTCTGATTTACGAAATTTCGTATTATGCGTGTTTTTTTAAGAAGGCATCCCTTCCGTAAATCAAGGAATACCTGTTTTGAGATGTTTGGCCAATATCAGCTACATTGTGTATTTTTTAGCTATGAGAGGAAAGCAGAGAACTTGGAGGAGACCCATGCACTAAACAGCAGGAAAAACATTTACACTCCACGCAGAAATACAATCCCAGGGCCATCTTTCTGTGAGAGGCAAAATTGTTACCAGTGTCACTCTGCCACCCTCTCGACTGGTCATTCCACATTCCTGTGGTGAGGCTCATTTGTGCAGAAGTGATGACATTCTGATTTGTGACTGTGGAGAAACGTGGCGAGCAGGAGGTACCGGGTGCATGTTGATGAGCCAGCCCGTGTGCTCCCCGGGTTCCCGCAGTCGCACAAAACCGAATTTGAGGTCCATCTCGTCCACCTGGCGGCTCCGCTCCAGCCGCCGCACGGCCGACTGGGGTCCCCCATCATCAGCACTGACAGTAGTGGGGGAGGAGGGGCAGAAAGAGTTTTCCGCGAGCCAGGCGACTCCATACCCAACTCGTGCAGCCACAGTAACGTTCGTACAGAAAAGACGGTGCGACAACTCAGAGCATCTCTTCGTCAGTCCTCGATCTGTGCACCACGGAGACGATGGTAGCCAAGCAACAGTGCTGTGAACTGTGAACATTAGGGGCCGTCCATAAATGACGTCACGCGATTTTGGACGATTTTTTTACCCACCCCCCCCCCCCATCGTCACAAAAAGTCAGACCCCCCCCTCAAATATGACGTCACAGAGCTCTGCTCCCCCCCCCCCCAAAAAGAAAATATGCTTCAAATCGCTTTAAACAATTGTCATTGTAGTGCGTATTTAATGTGGCGCTGCACTCTGATGTTGTAGGAGAAAACATTTATTAAAACATCTATTTAATTAAGTAGAACGTGTTGTCTTTATTTATTTAAAGTTGCGCATTTTGACGTGACGTCACATTTCTCAAACCCCCCCCCTCATCACACATCGTCACAAATGTCTCACCCCCTCCCCCTAGGTGTGTGACGTCATTTATGGACGGCTCCTTACGGCAATCATCCTCCCCATGCAGCTACCACAGTGAGCAGGCCAGTACAAGTGTAAGGCTCCCCTTTAAAAAAAAGATAATCGAGACGTCACCATGGCCAAAGCCGTTGATGCCTCCAAACCTCAATGCCAATGCTGACTGCGCTCTGTCAAGATACCTCAGCTACTGCACGGGAGGGCATGCGACCGCCAAGATCTGCCCTGGGTCCCCCATCATCTTCAGTGGAAAACTGTAACAGTACCGCTTTTTCAATAATTTTCAGGAATATTAGAAGATAACGCTCGGTTTCATAAGCTAGCTTAAGAGGCTGACTAGCAGGGGCGGTTTCTTCATTAGGGCGATTGGGCGACGCACCACCAATGTGTGAAAGGGACTTTTTCAATCACATTAACAATCTCATTCAACCACAGAGCTATGCTAGCCGTTACTGTGCCTCTGGATATAGTCCAATCAGCGTCATGTCACGTTCTGTGGAGTACCGCCTCTTTTTGGGCGATTTCACTCTGGCTGAGAATCGCCCAGAGTGTTCCCATAGACTTACATTCAAAGATGTTTTTTTTCGAACGGCGGGCGCTCCAATGCATTCTCTATGGCTTCCGGGAGGGCTCGCACTAACGTGCTTATGTCATCATACGTCAGCACGTTTCAGTAAACAATATTATTTGTCGCCACCTAGTGGAATTTCGATTTAAAGCTTTCGTGACTGCAGGGATTAATCTTCTTGGTTCTTTCGGTAAAGTCACGTAGAAGGGAAGTAATAAAGTAATAAAAATAAAACATAATAAAATAATTCTCACGACGTTTCGGCCACAACGCAAGTAGCCGTCCTCAGGTGAAAACCAGGTCTGTTGAGGCGACAGCGTCTGAATGAAACAGCACATGTGCTTGGAGCATGTATATAAGCTGGGTTGGAAGGGGGGAAGAAAGGGGGAGCCTTAACAAAAGAATATGAAATATCAAGAGGAATTTAGCATATTTATGGGAAATGCAGGTATGTGAATAGTACTATTTATGCCCGTGCATTATGCAGGATTAGCAGCATCAAAGGGAGGGGATAAGGGTAGCATTAATGAAGGGAAGGAGTGTTAATAGTATGTAGCTGCAGTAACTAAAACCACCACGTAAACAACTAAAGTATAAACTACATATTATCATCAGTATACTAAATATACTCTACAATACGCTGAGTTACTAACAGTAAGTAATACATTACAATTCTACGTCGTAAAAAATATATATAATATGCTTGCATCTAAACTTTATTCTCTTACATCACACGAGTCTACACCCTACTATATACTGCCATAGACAAACCCAACATTAAATTATATACTGTATTGCACACCAAAGAAAGGTTCTCCTTTACCGACCACCTTGTAAGTGCCACGCTGCTACAAGGAGAGATGTTTCAACAGCATGGCCATACATTCCCTGTTGAGGCTCTGAACATCACTGTCAGGGCATACCCTATGTTAAATAAGGCGAAGCTGAAGACTGAACTGTCTGTCATTTATGAGAGTCCAGAATTCAAGGGCTGCTGTGGTGCACTAGCGCTGTACCAGGTTTTGCTGAAGTACAACCTCCAGGATACTTTTTCAGAGACTGTTGCTCTGTTGAACATCCTCATAACCACTCCCATGACAACTGCTGAAGCTGAGAGGTGTTTCTCAATCTTAAAGAGAATCAAGACATTCCTGAGAAATGTAATGGGACAGGAACGTCTGAATGCAATGGCTATGCTTTCCATGGAGAGGGAACTAGTCAGGAACATGCCTGCTTTCAATGAGAGAGTAATTGATCACTTTGCTACTTTGAAAGAGAGAAGAGCAAAATGTCAGTATAAGTAAGCAGTGTATTAAGCGAGTAATGTGATGTAAGTAGTGTAATAATAGTGAGTATAGAAACAAACAAGGAGATGTATTGTAAGAGTCACTTTATTTTTCATTAATATTAAAGTAGTGAAGTTGCCTTTACATACTTAAGCTGTTAATTTATCCATTGCATGGGTAGACCTTATCCTTATCAATCATCCAAACATTTGCCCCCCGAGAGATTTTGCAGGAGCCGCCACTGCTGACTAGTGTATAATTTACAACCAGAGACAAAACATCGCTTGCTGTGTCTTACGGAGCTGGCTTCAGCTGTGCAGCACCTGCTACTATGACCGTACATTCCATAGGCAAACAACTTCATTTATACAGTATTAGGGATCATCAGTGCGACACGTGATTTTCCTACATCACATTGAGCGTCAATGCCAGTTCTACCTCAATTGTCAGTGAATGCAGCTCAGCTGCCCTACATGCCAAAAGCGTATTTTTTTTATCTATGATTAGCACCGCTACAAAGCAGCACGGGCACTTGTGAGTTACCGCACATGGCAACTGGCGATCATCAGTCACGTCCAGCCCTGCACCACCCCCATCCACCGTGAGCTATAGGTCACTATCAATGGAGGCGTTAGAAAGACAACACAACGTCCATGTACGATTCGTCACGAACACTGCCGTGAAAACTATAACGTACAACAGGCAGACGTTTCAGGCAATGTCCCTTCCGCAAAGCAATACTGATTGTACTTAGCAGCGGATCCAGAAAGTGAGCCATGGACAATGTCACTCACTCATTCGCTTACCCGTCGTCGGTTCGCAGGCGGCCGCTGTTCTGCAGCGTCGGCATCTCCGACGACTCCACACGAGTAAAGGACTCCGAGGAGGACTGAGGGAATACTCGGAAAGAAGCGCTAAGAGACTCAGGGCTGACTCGGCTATCCGCTTCTCCGCCTCAAAGCACAGTTATCGGTAGCAACTTTTCGCGCCAAAAGTTAACCCGGAAATGATTCCTGAATGAGTGACTGCCACCGAGGAGCTATGCAAATGAGTCTGACGCACCGCCTACCCGTGATGTCACCAGCGCATAACGCCCACTACGGGGGGGGGGCCCCGCCCACAAAGTGGCCACGCCCACTTGTGCCTCCTCCCACTCACAATACATCACCTGCTGGAATCACGACGAGCATTTTGCCCGTCCTAAGACGGAAGCTGTAATATTTACGGAACAATTGAGCAGAGTGTAATTGTATCTTGTGTAAATTTAATGGCAGCGAATCTTGCACGAAAGAATGTCATCAAACACTACACTGCATTTCACTGTAAATTTTGTAGTTGTTGCACGTAAATACAAATTTCTTAACTTAAAAAATGAACCTCGGTGTCCGATATTTTGCGTGAATCTCTTGTATTGTATTAATGGCAGATTCTTGCACAAAACTATGTCACAAAACACCTCACTTTATGTGACTGTAGCACTGCATTTAACTCACCTTCAATTAGTTCGAAATCACTGCTCTAATACTTTATTGTCTTCTGCTTTCGCTCGCTAAGGTTGTAATCAATTTGAATTCGATAGTCTGGAAAATGTAGAAATTGTATAATTTATAAGCATTATACTTACCTTTTGTTTCAAGTGCTGAGGAAATAAATCAAGACACCAAATACACTTTGTTGCTGCGTACACTTATTTATTTGATTACCTTTCAATAAAGAAACGTCAAATTGAAAGCGAATTTGCGTACAGTAATGTTTTATTTCCGCTCGACCTGCGGGAGTGTAAAATCCACGCGCTCATGATTATTAATGAGGGGGGGGAGCCTCTTTTGCAGTGACGTCACGTGCGGATGGAGCACTGTGCTGTGTATATTTTGACCATCACTTTCTGTAAAGAAATGTCATATTTGAAGCGAATTTGCGAATTTGGAGGCCCAGGACCGTTTCAAATAATCGTCACCGGTGGTGGCCGTGAGCGGGAATCGAACTCGGGTCGCCGGGTTTGTAGCACCGCGCGCTAACCACTACACCACCGCTCCCCACACACACAACAACAACCGCCATTCGCCACTAAGTGGCGGTGACGTCACCACGACGCTTGTGCCAGGCCAAGTGCACCTTGAGGCCACTTGAGGTGTCGAACGCCCGCTGGCAGGAGGTCACGGGGCAGACCCAGGTGCCACGGGTCGACTGACCGAGATGACCGAGATGACTGGCTGACCACCTGTGCCCCCTACTGTACCAACTTGCTGTTATTTAGCCACCACCCGGCGCTCCACTCGTTGTTGTGAGCATCGCTCCTCCGCCCTCCGTTGTTGTTGGAGGGCGACTGCCTCCAACTGCCCAGTAGCGTCCTTCACGAGCCTCCTCCACAGAGGCCGATCTTGACACCGCTGGTACCAGTCATCGGCAAGTCCAATCAGCTCCACATCCTTATGTACCACATCTGGCCATCTCTTCTCTAGTCCGTGCCACTCCCGTTTAGACCCATCTATCCAGCCAAACAGAAGAAGCTTGGACATGCGGTGGCTGAGCATGCGAGCTACATGACCCAGCCAACGCAGCCTTGCCTGACGGAGGAACTCACCGATGGGACTTTGCCCAGATCTTTCAAGGATTTGTGAGCTCACACAATCCAGCCTGGTTAAACCCAGGATGGATCGTAGGCAGGCCAGCCTAAATGTTTCCAACCGGCGAAGATGCTCCATTAGGGGGGTCCACGTTTCGCAAGCGTAGAGAAGGGAGGGAATGCCTGTGGCCGAGAAGACCTGAAGCTTCGTGCGGAGCGACAGACCAGGTAGCTTCCACACAGCGTTACGCAACCGATGAAAAGATATTGCCGCTCGACTGATTCGGAGTGAGACCTCTGCTGTTAAACTGGAGCCGGTCATAAGCACACTGCCCAGGTATGGGAAACTCTCCACTCTCTCCACTACTGCCCCATCACCGATTGGGAGTTGTGGGGGTGGAGTGTCCGATGGTACAAAATACTCAGGCAGGTGCTTAGTTTTGGTGGGGGCTGATGGTAAGGCCCCACCTCTTAGTGGCACGCTCCAGTCTCAGCAGCAGCGTCTCCAACTCCTCTTCTGAATGAGCAGCTATAACCAAATCATCGGCATACATAACGTGGTTGACCAATAGGGAGCCATCCCTTGATCGTTCCCGGGCGTCAATCAGACTCCCATTATATCTGTACCAAATGGAAATTCCCCCGGTACAGCTATTGAAGGCTTCACGAACTATGCGGTCAAAATAGATGTTAAATAATGTGGGAGCCAGAGGACATCCCTGTCGCACCCCAAGGTGTACAGGGAAAGGCTCTGACTCCCGGCCACGTAGTTTTACCCGGGCCCACTCACCATCATGAAGGTCCTTAATGATTGTGAGCAGAGGATCAGGGACTCCGAAAGCACGAAGAACAACCCAGAGCCCAGGCCTACTGATGGTATCATAGGCCTTGACCAGGTCAATAAAGCAGAGATGTAGGTCTTTTAGAATTCCCTACACCTCTGCTGTAGCAGACGGACAGAAAATATGGCATCTGTGCAGGACCGCCCTTTCCTGAAACCACATTGGGGCTCCGCAAGCCCCTCCTCAGCGTGCCTAGCAAGGCGATGTTGAATAATCCTTGCCAGGACCTTTCCCGGCACACTGAGGAGTGAGATGCCCCTGTAGTTGTTATAGTCTGTGCGGTCCCCCTTCTTAAAGAGGACCACCAGGGCATCCTTCCAATCCTGCGGAACCCGTTCAGTGGTCCAGACTGTTGTTATGATGTCATATAGGGCAGTCTGTGCACAAACGCCACCCTCCCTCAGCATTTCGCTTGGGAGATCATCTCGTCCGGTGCCTTTCCTGGTCTCAGACTCCGGATCGCCTTACGGCTCTCCGAACCTCCGAGCGAAGGCTGCGGTAAACCTCCTCATTCTCTGACGTGGGATGCTGTAGCCGATGAGAGTGGGCCTGTCGCTTTTTCTCAACTAACATGGACACCTCCTCTGTCAGCCAGGGTTTCTGCGGAGGTCTGGACCGCGTACCCAAAGCAGCCATTGCAGCTGCATGAGTCACAGTCCTAAACCTCGCCCATTTACCCTCGACATCAGGAGGAGTGGGGGACGATGCCAACCCCAGCTGCAAGCGATGATGAAATTCTCGCTTGCAACTTTCATCAGCTGAGACTAGGCCATTTTTGGTTTGAATGGGGTCCTGGGTGTACACCCACCACCGGAGTGGAAGAATGGAAGGCGCATCTTACAGATGACTAGTCGATGGTCAGAGGTCCTGGTGTCAATGATATGGGCTCGCATCCGCTGGTCCGTCACTATGTAGTCCAGCAGATGTTCTTGCTTGGACCCGGCATGCATCCATGATGTTGTGTGGATGCGCCGATGCCGGAAGAGCGTGTTGGCAATTACAAGCCCATGGGCTGCAAAAAAATCTAGCAGCCTCCTACCGTTGTTATTGAGCTGATCTGGCCTATGCCTTCCAATCACTCCAGACCAGGTGCCAGCATCATGACCAACTCGGGCATTGAAGTCACCCAACAAGATGATTCTGTCCCGAGTGGCCACTTTAGCCAGCACCTGTGACAGGTCATACAAGGCATCTGGACTCATCAGCTTTGCCTGCATCCCTCCACGGATGCTCGTCTTCGGTGGGGGCATAAGTAACCACGACCACCACTCCTCGCCTCCGGTTGATGGGAAGGCGAGCCCAAAGTATCCTGGGGCTTACAGCTTCCCACACCTCACCGCCACGCTCCCACACCCCCTTCATTCTTTTGTTCAGAAGAAGAGCCACACCCTGTTGTTTGGTAGTCTCCTGCCCCGAGTGGAGGACTGTCCACCCCTCATGGTGGCAGGAGCCAGAACTGGTCCACCGGACCTCCTGAATGCCACAGAGATCCAGGCGGTACCGGTGTTGTATGTATTGGATTATGAAATTTTGATAAAAATAAAAATTAATAATTTTCCGAAAAATGCTCAAATCACATAATTATGTTAATGTGTGTAATTAAATGCATAAATTATGATAATCACGGAGATAATCGTAGTAATGTATGTGAATGCTTGCGATTATGTTAATGTGAGCAGTTATGATAATTAAGCTTAGCTTCGTTATCCAGAGTTGTATCAATCAGGATAACACGATTATCATTGATTAAACATTTACTGATTATCTTAGTGTGTGTTATGTTATATTAGGTCTCCAGTTTCATATCTCATCACAGGATACAGTTCTTAAGAATAAGACAGTTTTGCATGGACTTGGAAAGAAGCACTCGAACAGTTGGTGTTAAGCAATTTTAATTCTAAACAAACACATGACACTCTAGTATGCAAAGGCGAAAGCATACGTCAATAAATCCATGGGCAAGATTATGCAATTAACGAAAATGAATGACTAAAACCTTTCTTATTCATGTAACTCGACGGCAGCAACTGCTTTGCACGATCAGTTGATTTGAACGCACCACCTTGAAATGGCAACCCTTTTTGAAACGGAAAGATAACTTTTTGAAAATCTTATTCGTGTGCGTGTTGTGTGTGCGTTGTCCCCTTGTAAAATTAATTAAATTTCTTAGAGCCGGGAGTTGTGTCGTTAGCTTGTGTGGTGTGAGAGGGAATATACAAACAGCGGCCAGGTTCTCTCTGGCTTGGGCGTGGCCGCAGCGAGCCCCTGCTGCTCCCTCGCTCGGACGTGTCTCTGCTTGTGCGCTCTCTCTCTCTCCACTGCTGGACAAGTTGGCACGATGCTCGGTGATGCCCGGGTCATGCTGCTGCTGTCGCTCTCTCCTTGATCGCTGCCAACTTCACACGGACACGCGCCCTTGCTTCAGGCTGTGTTGGCTTGTGGCTCTGGACGACGCGGCTCTGCGCGATCACTGGCTTGGAGCGCTCCGGCGATGAACGATGGCCTTTGTTGCTCATCCGCTGCTGCTCGTCCTTTTCGATGCTCGCTTGGTCGACGCTTGGTGATTTCCGCCCTTTTACAGGTTGATTGCTTGTCGTCAATCGTCACTCTCTCTTCTCCGTGCTTTCCTCTGTTCGTGCAGCTGCCAGCTTCACTCGCACTTAACTTCGTTCTGCGAGAAGCGACACCTGCTATCGGCATCGGTGTTTGCTCCCTCACGACGCTCCGCCAGCCGGAGCACGGCTGAAACCCAGCCTCGACCCAGGTTGAACTCAGACTTCTGCGACTCGAACGACCCCTCCTCGTTCCATCACTTCTCGAGGCACGACGCGCCCCAGCTCCCTTGCGAGTCCCATCGCAACGCTGCGTCGCAAGCCGAGTCACGAGACTGAGCGCGACTTGAACAGACTGCACTCAGGCGGTCACTCTACGACCCCTCGTCGTCCCATCTCTCCTCGAGGCACGATCTGCCCCAGCTCTCTTGCGAGTCCCGTCGCAACGCCGCGTCGCAAGCCGAGTTGCAAGACTGAGCGCGACTCGAACCAGACAGCTCATTCGCTATGTGCGCTTGTGCTTAAACTCAAAAACGTGACTCCCCTCTCTGCGCATCTCTTGCGAGAGAAAACAAACAGAAAAAAAACAGATGTCCCAGCTATGCCAGCACAGACCCCCCCCCCCCTCGCGACCCTTTGACTCCCTCTGCTCCCTGCTTGCCCTGCGTGAGTCATCCCGAGGCCAGACCCCACTGGAAGACAAAGGTGGTCGAGGAGATGTATGCAATACCTTATGTGGTCCTGTGTGTTACATTTATTCTTGATATTTCTTATGAGTTCCTTCGGTCTTAGTATTGTAGTTATCATTCGTCTATGTTTAATGAATATTCGTAATGATCCTCGTTACATCATTATTTTGAGGGCTTCGCCAAGTTTAGTTCTTCAGGGATTGGTGTTTTATTCTGAGTTATATTTTAATGTCCTGAGGTTAAGTGTAACTAAGTTTCCACTTAAGCTTTCTGAAATTCGCATTCTTTAGTTTTTAGGAAGGTCATGTAGATAGAAAACATATAATTCTAAATAATATATATGCGGTGAATACGAGTAATACAAGGGAATTACTAATAAAAAGCCCCTATTGTTTGCTGGTTAATTCTTTTTGTTAAGTTTCTACTTTTCGGCAAGGAAAACGTTAAGGAAAATGCGAGTTGCAAAAGTTGTTTTTCTCTGCTCTGCACCCCATCCGTGCATCTCCAGATGTCTTGGGAGGTTAGTCCATCGATCTTTTGTCCATCTGGATGTCTCTGACCTCTCTGTGACCGAATTCTTATCGTTTTAATGACCCTCCATGTTTCATAGATTCCTGGTGTGCTTGTGAGTGTAGTGGGTTTTTTCATTATTTAATTAAAAATATATATATAAAAAAATGTTTTCTTAATTATTCTTAATATTAATAACGGAAAACAGGGCATAGATACAACACCGGTCCAGCTCCCGACAAAGGAGTGGCAGCTTCTCCTCCGCAGTGAGCGTTCGAACATTCCACGTGGCCATCCGTAGCGGTTTTATGTTGTTTCTGGAGGAGCCCCGAGGGTGAAGATTCAATCTCCTGGCTCCACCAATTGGGGTTTGGCCAGGACACGTCATAGAAGCCTGTCCCCCCGGGGCCTCCGGCACAAGCTGATGTTACATTTTTATGTTTATATCGTGGTAATTAATTGAAGGTGGAGGGGTTACCAGCCCCTCGCAACCATCCAGAGCCCCCGTTTAGCCACTGTGGTGGTCACAGACGCCATGGGGGGAGAGGCCAATGGGTATTGGCCCACCCCCCACAGCAATGTCCACGACAGTGTTGCCCGTCCGGCACCGCGAGGAGGTAGGGGGTTGTTTTGCCGGACACACACACGCAGACACAGACACACACAGACAGCGCGCTAAACACTACACTACCGCTCCCCCCACACACACACGCGCTTACTGCAGACACACACAACTTTCAGGGACCCCCCCCCCTCCTCATTAATAATGAGCAGGTGACATAACATCACATGGAGAACCCCCCTTCATTAATAATCATGAGCAGGTGCCGTCACTCCACAACGAACAGCCCCCCTCATTAATAATCATGAACAGGTGACGTCCTTCAAATGGACACGCCCCCTGCATTAATAAGAATTAGCGGGTGACGGCACTTCACATGGGGGGGTGGGCGAGGCGCCTCCTCCCCCCTCCTCGGTGTCAACCCACAACCCTCACTACAAAGGCAGAACCCTCACGTCACGCGATCTCCGTAACGCTACTGAGACATAGAAGTAAAAAGGACGTTATGATGAACAAGAGATTATAACCTTTAAATGAAATGTCTGTCACCGCGGCCTTACAAATTGCACACGAATGGATGCAATGAATATCACGTCGCGGTCTGCTGTTCGCTTGCAAGTTTCAGATTTACTGCAATACACCCGTCCTTGGACGGGCAAAAGGCTAGTCTTTATGATTTATAATCAGAATCTTTAAACTGGAGAAATCCGATAAGCTATGAAGCTTTTTCGCAAAAAAAGGATAGGAGTGCAAAGTACAGAAGATGTAAGCAAGTCACTAAAAATGTATTAAAATATATAAAGTATGCACGTACAAATGGCATAAATAAATTCCTACGAATTTTTCAACACTGAAGCTTGGGCAAGACGGCAAAACAACAAAAAGTCCCAGACGACACAACGACAACACACAGTTCCTCAATTAAATGTCACGTTTTTTATGTAACTGAATACATGGGTAAGAATCACACCTGAGACAAAGCTTTTTAAAATGTTTTATTTAATTTATTGTAGCTTCAAATACGTGTATCTGGCATTTCTTTTCGGATGCTTCAACTTCACAAATGTGGGAGTTAAATCCTTTTGTTGATACTAAATATCTATTGGATTACCAGTCATATGCCCAACTAAAAACTGATCATAAAATATATATTCTCCATCACACCCCATGGTGTATTATTATCCACTTTTTTTCCCTGTGATATGAAAAAAGGCTATTGCCCAAAACGTTAACGATATATTTTCTCCTCAAAGGCAGTGTTATTGACGAATGTTGATTTATGTTGCTTGTGCATCACTGCAAAATACATAAAATTATTAATTCACCTTGCTTTGCTCATCCAGCAGTTTCTGTTTATTGTTTACGGCCGATGGTAAAATTAAACCTACCGAGATTGCATGAATTGCAGCGATTGAGGATCGTCGTTCACATTCAACAATACACTGTTCATTGTTGTGCATTCGTTAGCATGTTGGTTTAATGAGCCTGAAGTTAACGTGAGTGGATATCGTCAATTTGATGGCCCTCGTGCCCACAACTCAGAGGCAACCCCCTTTGAGGCTCAGACTTAAATCAGAAGTCATTAGAATCGTTGGTGCACCACAGGCGTTATCGCTTCCTTCTGCCATATCCTCAGCAATTTACAGTTGATGCACGACTTCCATAAAACTTTCTACTGTGATGATTGGCGCAAAGTTGAAGAAATGAAGATGCATTTATTCAGAGAAGAGCAACACATAAGAAATAATACAACCCAGCACAACCTTACATACCAAATTATTTTATGAAGCCATGCGTTTAAAGACGTATGTATAAAACAAGAACGAATAATACTATCGAAAGCTTTGATGGTACTATAAACTATCAACGATGCATTCAAATTAACAAACCATAAGGCAATTATTAAAATATATAAGCAGTTCAAAAGAAATGAGTTTTCAATACAGTTCGAATAGTGCATAGCTCCAATGGCTTCCTAATATACACAAAGCAGGGTGAAATGACGCAAGTGTGCAGGATCAGGCAGTTGGGTGGTGCAGTCGAAACACTGATACCTTGCAGCAAAAAGGTCCTGGGCTTGATGCTTGACATGGGAGCCTTTTCCATATGGAATTTTCCTGTTCTGTATGGGTTTCCCTCCAGGTTCCCCGGTTTCTTCCCATAGATTAAAATGTATTATCTGGCATTGTCCAAAACATCAACTGGAATTACATATTGCAACATCGCCCCCTGAAGCTTTCCTACGTAAACAAGCATAACAATATTACAGTATTTCCTGCTGGACAGCAACAGTTTTCAAAATGCAATGTACGTATCTTTGCCTTTGCAAAATACTAAGCTTTTATCTTCTAGCACTGCCAGGACCCGTTCCACATGGCTTTCCCGCACGGTGACTCCACACAGATTACGCACCGCGTACGTTATGTCGCCCAGGGACACAGCACTCTGCTTGGAAGCAGGCCCTGTGCATTTCCCACGCACCACGAGCAGCACGTTATCGCGCAAGTTGACGTCCAAATCTGTCACCAAGTACAACTCATTGTTCGTGGGATGTTTGTAAACGAAGCCATTCTGTTCGAGTCGGCACAGAGCATCACGGAACTGAGCGAGCGTGGTAACTTGTGCACTGCAGGCCACACAGCCTTCCTGTTTTGAGGAAGGGTGCGAGGCACACTTTTCACGCTGTGAGGAGGTATGTGCCAACATCTGACTTCGGTCTGTGTCGCGCTCTGTGAATGCAGCGAGCGCTGCCAAACTCTCCACACGCTGCAGCTCTTGGAAATAAACACTTCGAATACCATTATCCTCCAGGAACTTCAAAATCCCATCACACAGCGTGCTCAGTAGAATGTCGCTCTGTCCTCTAAGCTGACTGGTGTTCCCAGCCCATGCATACTCCTTATCGTAGTATTGCGTATACAGCCGCACTTGCTCTCGCAGGCGTTCTATCAGCTGCACGCACCCTGGGTCATCCACTCTTGTGTAGTACGTGGCATGTATCTCTCTGGTTCCCCACTGGCAGTTGATGCTGCCGAGTACGTGCAGCCAGTCTCCGAGTTGCGCGCGTGAGCTCTCCGCTTCCCTGTGCAGGACCGACGCAAGGAGATCCTGGATCACGACCTGCGATGCACACGAGTGGGGTAGGGTGCCACCTCCTCCTCTCCTGCACCGCTCTGGCTCCTTCCAGCACAGGCAGGTGATGACGCCCGTTCCATCGTCAAGCGCGTACGCCGTGAAGCTCTCCCGTTCTCGCACCTCCACGACAGTACCCATCACATCCACGTGGGTGATGGCGTGATTTCGGTAGAAATACACTCCTGGCGTAGAGGCCGCCGGCGCCATGCCAAGGATGTCAGCCACATAGAGCTTGACGTGCGTGCGGTGCAGCGGGTCGAGCCCCCACCACTTCATGGGTGTGGGGTCAGCAGCCATCTGTGTAGATAATACACTCTCATTAAGGTTTGACCGATGGGATGTGTATAAAAAATACACTTATGTTATGCGGAGACAGCTATAGATGAGGCATCTTGTATGCACAGCATGTCATTACGTGTATCATATCAGCACCCTGGAGATATCCATCTGTACCCTGTACTCAGTCTCTGCAATATATTTAAGTTTTTGTATTTTGTTGCTGCTGTCCTCACGTACCACGGGATCACCATTGTAAAATAGCCAGGAAACTGCCTAAAGGGAGCATCCGTGTAACAAATCAAATAAATTCAAACCCAATCTGAAGGAATTATCGAGGCCATTTTCAGATGGGCATTGGTGACTATGGACGTAGCGTGTAGTCCATCACTGTAGAGGCGAGGGTTGGGGGATTGTACAAATGTTGTGAACTCCCTTCCGGTTGGCGTTGAGGTGCCATAACCCCGTCTCGCTGGAAGGCAGTAGAGCAAGTGGGCTAATCGGGGATAAGGTGTTGCCTCCTCGCGTGCGTGTTTTTACCCCGGGTGCTCCGGGTTTTTAGTACTTGTATAAGCACTCGTCTTTAATTGGCTAAAAACATCTTTAAATACAAACCCAATGTAAGACCCTCCTGAAGAGTCCTACGGCTCGCATGTATAAATAGATTAGGTGAAATGTAAAAAACCAGCACAGTAGCAGTTAGCAGCTCATTAATGACACCGCGAATCACATCCTTCCTGATGCGCGGTGTCATTAATGAGGGAGTTTCACAACTTGAATTATCATTTTAACACTTAGGCTTTCGCGACCAATATCATCCAAAATAGAGTTGTTTGGGTTAGATCGCGTAAGCTTATAAATGTAACGTCGTACTCGGATTGTAAACGTTGTGGCTTGGCTATCCAACACACAATCGGTGTGCTGTACTAGTGACGAATTGGCAAGTTCTGTTTACGTGACAACCCTTACTAGTTGGCTGTGGTGGCGGGTTTTAACGACATATTTATACATTTACGCGATCTAACCCAAAAACCTCTATTAAACTTGAATTGTGATCCACCTAACCTTGCTGCCTCAACATTACTCCTGGATTGCAGATCTCCTGCATTGCCACCGCCGCCACCGCCCGGTATTAAACAAAACAGAAGCACATAATTGTGTGTGCTGTGAAGAGTCATTGCCCGAAACGTCGCCTATTTGTGTTCCTTTAAAGGCCCGTGCAGAAGCGCCGCGTCCTTTACCTGACCTAAACAAGATAGCGGCACGCGGCAAGGGTAACCAATCACAGCACGTTACTCAGAGCACGTGCGTCGTCCTAACCAATCGTCTACGAGGGACGTAGCAACATGGCCGCCGACGACGGAATGTACCTCGGAGCGCGAGTGAAGGAGGCCGGAGAGGAAGCGGCTCAGCGCGGGACCCCGGGGTGAGCTCCGTCGCCTGAAGGTTCTGAGCGGAGGGGCGCGTTAGACACCCGCGTCATCGACGTCGCTGGTTTATCGCTGATTAACGGGGCATCCACACGCGGGTGCATTGCCACGCGAAATATGCGGTAACAGGAATACGCTGTGCATCGATTCCGCGAGTCGAATATATGTATGCACATCGATTCCTGAAAGATCGCACCAGATGCGGTTCATCGATTCGCGGGAATCGAATTGTAGAGACACAATGTGTTATTGTGGTACGGAGAAGCGAGAAGATTTTTTTCTTTGCAAAAAATCTATGCCTTAATTTGGAGCTTTCGTGACTGCAGGAATTACTCTTTGGTTCTTTCGGTAAAGTCACGTATAAAGATAAAATAATAAATTATAGCATACTATAATAGCATACTATTATTTAATTTATTATTTTATCTTTATACGTGACTTTACCGAAAGAACCAAAGAGTAAATCTATACTTATGAACTGTGACCGAATTTTCTTTGCATACTATTCTTTAATTTATTATTTTATCTTTATACGTGACTTTACCGAAAGATTTTGATTTAAAGCTTTCGGTAAAGTCACGTAGAAGGGAAGTAATACAATAATACAAATAAAACATAATAAAATTATTCTCACGACGTTTCGGCCACAACGCAAGCAGCCGTCCTCAGGTGAAAACCAGGTCCGTCGAGGCGACAGAGTCTGAATGAAACAGCACACGAGCTTGGAGCATATATATAAGCTGGGCGCATTGACAAAGGAATTTGCATATCAAGAGGAATTTAGCATATTTATGGGAATTGCAGGAATGTGATTAGTACTACATATGCATTATGCAGGATTAACAGCATGAAAGGGAGCTGCAGGTACTGCTGCTGCTGCTGCAGTTGCTGCCAGAGGGTGGTGTGGCTATGTACGTGACCTGCAATTCAGCACTGAAAGCGAGCGTTGGTGGATCACTCACGCAATGCTCCACTCCCTTCCGTGGGCGTTGAGTTGCCAAAGGCAGTACAGCAAGTGGGCTGTTTTTATTTATTTATATTGGAATCCGATGAGCGATGAAGCTCTTTTTTTACAGATGTCCAGTAGGGGCGGGTCATCAAGTTACACCAAACAATACAAGCACGGACTTGCCTACTGTACTGCTCTTCTTTCTGATCTTCTGCAGAAATTAATAAGTAAATGCAACTAATTCAGAATGCAGCGGCACGTGTTCTGAAGAAAATCAGAAAAAGCACCAACATACACCCATTTTACAATTATTGCTGCCAGTCAGTCATAGAATTTATTTTTAAAATCTATTGGTTTTTAAGTCGTGGAAGGGTCTGGCACCTGTATACATGTCTTCCATGCTTTTAAGATATGAACGAACAAGATCCCTCAGATGGTCTTTTAGTCGTCCCAAAGGCCAGGATCAAAATTTACGAAGAAGCAGCTTTTAGTGTATACGGTCCTCACCTGTGGAACAGCCTGCCAGGGGATCTGAGGGCTTCAGAATCATTAAGCACTTTTAAAATAAATAAATTAACTTTCTTTTTTACTTGCCTTTAATTAGGATTTTCTTAATGTGTTATTTTTATTATGTCTTTCCTAAAAAAATTACGTGATTTTATTTTGTATACAATTTCACTTTTATTGTTAATGCCTATAATGCACTATGTATTTCATTTTTTCATGGGTGGAAAAAACCCGATTTTTCCAGCGGCAGGCATCGGGGTTTTTCTTTGATACAATTAAACCCGATTTCGGGGGAATTAAAACCTGGTTTAATGAATACGAAACTCTGATAGGCTTAGGCTGCTTCCTCGTCGGTGCTGCTATCGTACTCGGGGCCGTCGGGCACGGGGTAGTCGTAGAATGCGGGCAGGTTGGTCTTGATGAACACGAGCTTCTCCACAATCGTGGGCGCCAGTGAATTCCTTAGCTTGGAATGGATGAAGCCCATTGTTGAGAAGTTCTGCTCGGATGCCGCGCTCGACGTGGCCATGCTGAATAGCTTGATGGCGATCTTCTTCAGGTCAGGCCACTCCGAGCCGTCGGTCTGCCACCATTGCAACGCGGTCTTTTTCCCCTTGACCAGCATCTCAATAAGAAAATGGCGTCAATTGCGCAAATGGGCGGAAGCAGGCGCGGTGTCCGGCGGGCCGCTGGCGAAGTGCGGTTCTGCAATTAGAACCAATTAAACCGGATTTTTCCCAATCTCAGATGATCGGGATTAATATAAAAAGACAATTAAACCCGATTGCACGAATAGTGCTATAGAAATAAAGTTTGATTGATTGATCCCAGGTCTTGTAGCCATGACGTTTCCTTCCAGCCAAGATCTGCTCTCTTTAACCTACAACTGGCATTGCCACGTCAACCACACATGCTCTTTATCCTATTTCAGCCAGACTAGTGCCACTTTTTGAACGTATGTGTTTTTAAACTTGATTTGAAGCTTTCGTGACTGCAGGAATTACTCTTTGGTTCTTTCCGTAAAGACACGTAGAAAGAAAATAAATAAAATGTAAAATAAATGAAATAAGTATTATTTCATTTATTTAAGTATTTATTATTTAATTTATTTTCTTTCTACGTGACTTTACCGAAAGAACCGAAAGAAAGAGTATATGTTTTTATTTATGTTTTGTGATTTTTCTTACCTTTCCTTATACGTATTTTGCACTATCGTGTTTTTGTATTGTCGTTACTTTCTGAACCGCCGCTACTGAACATCTGTGAAAAATATCTTTATAGCTCATCGGATTTCTCCAGGAACAATATTATAATTCTGACTTATTTGGCAAGGGTCCAAGGGCGTGCCCTCTCAACCAATCTGAGTTGATCTCAACTTTGGAATAACTAACCATCAGTAGAGCAGAATAAGTTTTAAAAATCTAACAAAATGGGCTCTGCTTGGTGGACTGGGACCAACTTCTGGATTTGCTGGTGCCGATCTCGAGGCGCTCTTTGGGGTCATGTCAGGATCTCGCCCACACTCTCAGTTCCGATACTGCTCCTACTGGCGGCAGTCCGCATCGTACCTGTAATGCTGGCCACGCTAGAAACTTCTTTCTCAATGTATGACACTGCAGAATAAGAATATTTAGACTAGAAGAATCTGATGAGCTTTTAAGCTCTTTTCACAGATGTTCAGTAGTCTGCACATGTATCTCTGTCATTCGCTACAGAACACAACGGATGTTTAAAACATTATTTATTCTGATATAAACCCGGACAAATGTAAATCCTAGGCTAGTACCATATTGAAAAATCAGCAGCAATTTGTACCTATGTACTTTATTTTAGTGACTTGCTTATATTTACTCTCCTTTGTATTGTTGTAACTTTCTGACCTGCCCTGACTTGATATCTGTGATAAAGAGCTTCACAGCTCATCGGATTCCTCCAGTCTAAAGGATTAATTCTGACTTAAAATGTATAAATTACAGCACGCGACACCAGTAGTGGCAGGTCTACTGTAACACTGCTCTTTTAAAAACATTGACTCAACTTATTTAAGTATATTTTTTATAATAAGCGGAATTATTTCCCTTCCTCTTTATTGTGGCGAGATATTAATTCCCTCGCCTGGTATGCAGGTCGTGGGTTTGACCCCTACCCTGACGCCTGTATTATGATTTTGCATGTTCCGCTTCCCATGGTCGTGTGGACTTTTCTCCGGGTCTTATTTTTTCCTCCACATTTAGAGTCAAAATCACGCGTTTAGAGTATTTTTCCTTTAAAAAAATGTTATTATGTAAATTGGGGAAATCATGTTTTACTGACAATGAACATATAAAACCAATTTTCTTTTGTATATCCGAATGAGGAATGCAGCCTCTGGCAAAACACCTATTCTGCTCACCCCATTAACTCAATGTTAGATTAAAGCTGCAAATCGGCCAATTTGTGCATTCCCAATGAACAGCACAACATACCACAATAACAGAAAATGTTATCAACTGTAAAAAAAAATCTCAAAGCTATAACATGCTAATCATCTTCCAACTCCATTTTATTTATCACACCCGTGAATATAATTAAATAATTATTGCCACAAGAGTGACGCCATCTGATTGTTAAATACCCGCGGAAAAATAGCAAACACACTACCACTCAAAATAAGTGAACATCATATACCTGCAATCATGACCAGACACACCCTCATCACCCTCCACGTCACACAACACCTCACCTCAGTCCTTCTGTTGATGGGATCGACACCAGTGTTAATTTTCGAGACCCTATTATAAATATTTTCATATCTGTGTAATGACAGGGTGACACCTGCTGGCATGACAGGGTGACACCTGCTGGCCTGGGAAGGGATTCACGGATACGGGCATTGAAGTAACAACAAATCGGGGAAGGAACTGTATCTGTGGAAAAGGTAACAGGTGGGGTAAGCCGTGGCCGGAGGCAGGGCCGAGCCACGCCTGGGGGGATATAAGGGGAAGCGGACCCGGAGCTCGGGGCTTGTGTGTGGGGTCCTGGGTCCTGGCTGTGTTGCTGTTCACCGACATCTCTCTCCGTCGTCCGGTCACGTGGAAGATCTCCTGCGTGGTTTCCATCGCCGTCATCGTCACGCTGCCAGCCAGCGGCGTGGCCAAGTGAGGCGAGGGGACCACACCGAGTGATTGGCTGTGCGTGTAGCCAGTGGAGGTGTTATTATGTAGAGTTATACTCTAGGAAGAACAAGTGTTGGTCTGTGTTGTGCCCAGTGTGGGTAATAAAGAACAAGTATTCTCTATACGACGTGTCGTGGAAGTCGCTCATTACATTGGAGTCAGAAGTGGCCAAGTGAGGCGAGGGGACCACGCCGAGTGATTGGCTGTGCATGTAGCCAGTGGAGGAGTTTAGTGCTAGACAGCAAAGAAGGAAGTATGTCTAAGCATCAGAAGAAACGGAATCCATCTGTGGCGTCTTCCGACGACGATGAAAACGTTACCCAAGATCTCCTACCAGCCCGGGAACCGCGGTCCCAGTTATTGAAGCCGCGCGAGTGAGTTGGCTGCGCCAGAGATGGTGGAACTTGGAGCAGCCACTCCGCACCAGCAGCCCGAAGATGGCTGGCAGATGGTGTCAGTGCAGCTGGACCTGTTGCGGGTGGTTGTCATGCAGTTGGTGACGCTCGTGACAGAGACTACAATAGCGGGTCGCGCTGCACTGACATCACCATGAA